TTTTAAGACTTACTAGTAGTATTTCTATAAGTTCCTATTATAAATTATTATAGATAGAGAATTAAACTAGTTAAGTAAGTTCTAGATAACTCTCTACTGCCTAGTTAGTATTAAATAGCTACTCTTAACTTCTTACTACCTCTAGATAGATAGAGGTATAGAATAAGTTAACTAAGAGGTGCAGGCAATTCTCTAAGTAGTTATCTGCTTTAAGTAGGTTAACTAGGCAGATTACCTTATAGTATACTAGTTAGCTCTAAACAACTATAATTTAATAGTTACTAGTATAAGCGCAAATAAAGCTATATATAAGTACAACCTAAGCCTAGTTGTTCTTACAGAAATAACTAAGCGTTTTAGGATAATACTATAAAAGTAGGCAGTAGTATTTCTCTAGCACTTAAAGAAGAGTACTAACTTAGCGTAAGCTGTAATTAATTGCCTATAACTAGCAGCAGCAATAGAAGGCTGCTAATAAATAGCAATATCTAGCTAAAAGGTTCTAAGTAGAGGATCTAGTATAGTTAAACCTCTATAATATTAAGACGTATAATAAGCTTAATTTATAAGTAATTAATTCCTAAATAATAGCATAAAGTATAGAGCTAATTAATTAATTAAAAAAAAAATATATAGAACTAGACTATAGTTATATTAGTACTAAGGCTAGCTAGCAAAAAAAAAATTAATTATTATTAAAACAAAAAAAAAAAAAAAGAGAGAGACAATATAACTATAAAGCTTAATATACACTTAACCTGCACTTAACTTATGCTTAATATAGCGCTTACTAAAACAAGCGCTCTAGCTTATTAAGCAACTTTTGTTGCAACTTATTGCTAGTTAAATTAATAACTTAATTATTAGGAGGAGGAGAGAGCAGAGAGGGGATAGTATTCTAAATACTATTACCTTTATAACTACTCTCTTCTCTACTATAGAGATAAGTTAGAGTCTTAGAGGTATAAGAGCAAATATATTAGCTACAGAGAGTTGCCTCTCTGCAAAGCATATTAACTAAAGTATAGGTTAGTTCCTACTAGTTAGTATACTTATAGCGCAACTCTGCCTGCTCTGCCTGCTGCTTATATAGCATTTACTTAATATTTTAAGCTATAGTAGCTTAGCTCTAGAAAAAATTTACTAGCATCTGCTAGTTAGAAGGCAGTGCGTGCCTGCAGCAGAAGAGCATTAACGCGCTAGTAAGCGCTAGCGCTTGTAAATTAGCGCTAGCAGCTGTATTACTAGAGAATAAATTAGCTAGCATATATAGAGAGCAGATAGAACTAGGGGCAATATAGGCCTGCTTTAACAATATATTAAACTTTTTAGTTGCAGAATTAAACTATATAGAGAATTTAGCGTGTATACTAGAGCTCTTACTTAACTTTTTACGTATAGTAGATATAATATGCCTGCTAGCATTTGCAATTTGCTGCACCTTTTTCTATTAGCAGTGTAGCTTAGAATTTAAGGCATAGAGGTGTGCCTTCTAGACGTACTTCTTATAGATTTTGTAGCACTACTTATAGGCTATAGTAGAGCTAGGGATATAATTAGTAGAGCTAGTATTAATAAGCTTATGCTTATATAGTATGTATATTTCTAAAACTTCCTCTCTATTAAAGAGGTTGTTATTATTAAAGTTGCCTTCTATAGCATACTTGCCTATATAGCAGGCGTTAAAGCGTTATAGTAGAGGCAGTAGGGGCAGGGGAGAGAGCGTGCTAGCAGCAGCCTTACTAAAACTAAATTAGCTGTATAGTATAAACTATATAGTGCTTAGAGCAGTAGAGGCAAAATAGAGGCAAAACAGAAAGAGAGGCAGGCAGCAGTAGTAGTAATCTTTAGAGACAAAAAGTTTTTAGTTGCATAAAAAGAGTATTAGTAATATATATTAGGAAGAAAACAATAAGAATAAGCAGTATAGAGTTGCTAAACTATTTATAAAGTAGAGGCATATTAAGCATATACTACGCGCAAAAAATATAGAGCAGAGATATATAGTTGCTAGGGGGATTAGCACTATATATCTGCTCTTGCTATACAGCAGCAATACAGACAAACCTACTAAAAGGAGAGTATATAATAAACTTAAGCTGTAGGCTTAAGTAGGTATAAAGTACTATATTAGTGACTTATTAAATACGCTTTAGATATATATTAAATCTATATATATATAATAGGCAGAAAAGGGGGGACAGAGAGCTTCTTCTTTCCCTCTTTTCTCTCCTTAAGTTTATAGTTAATACTAGTAATGCTTACATGCAGTAGCCTGTAAGGCTAGTCCTTAACACTAGGCAGCCTTCTAGCTTCTTTCTTATATATAATTTAATTAACTAAGTCTTTCTCTTGTTTTTTTAATAGTTATTAAGAGCTTACCTTAGCCTCTTAAATTAATTAATAACTACTAAGTTGCTTATAAAGAGTTATTTAAGAAATAGTATAATTTTAAGCTGCTTAGACTTCTAAGAGGCTAGAATAAATGTCTTTAATAGAAGCTTTAATTCTATTCTTATAAGCAATATTAGTAGGTGCTATAATATAAATTTAGAGTTAAAAGAGCTTAAGTTAATAGAGTTATTAATAGTTAAAAAAAGGCCTTATGCATTAATTGCGTTGTTGCAATATAACAAAAATAGAGGGCTGACGATGTAGTGGGGCGGCACGTTATCTATATATATATACTTTATATTTATTTTGCCTCTGTAGCGCAGTAGTTAAAGCGCTATAGAGCCCTAACGGCCGCAGGGAGCCGGTTCGAACCCGGCCAGAGGCACTTAAATTTTCGGCCTAGTTACCTAGAAATTTAGTTAACCTATAAACCTTATTATGTAATTAAGAGGTAGAATTAAGCTAAGCTTACCTTAAAAATTAGCTAGTAGAGCTCAGAGCTCTAGAGCTAGGGAAAATTAAGCTAGCACGTAATATAGCAGTTATATATTACACTGAGGTAATAAAGTTGAGGATAAATAGGTAGGAATATATAGTTTAGTACTAGTTACAAGAAGGAAATGCTTTATATTATAATATAATATAAGGCCTAGATGCAAAACAGCAGCAGGCAGGGTTTTTCTTTCTAGTTAGAGAGTTTTCTAGGACTAAAATAAGAAGCAGATGTACTAGTTATATAGCTATACAGCTATCTAGAGTATTAAATATATATTTCTTTAACTTAATAATCTCTTAGTAGAAATAGGCCTAGAGCTTATTTAGCTCTAAGCTAGTAGTAGTAGTAGTAGCTAAGATTTAAGTAATATATAATATATAAATAACTTTATAAGCTAGACTAAGCTATATACTAAGTTAGAGCTAGAATAAAGGCAGTATAAAGAATATATACTAACTTACTAGCAACTTTTAGAACTAAGACTTAGTTATTATTTTGCCTTTAAAGGCACTAGAGGTCTTTATACTAGTTAGCTACTATATAGAGATTAAGCTAATACTAGCTTAGACTTACTATAACTTTACTTATATTAAAAGACTAGAAAGTAAATATAGTAATAGCTACTAATAAAGATTAATAACTCTCTGTTATAGTCTGAGCTATGCTCGACCTTAATGGAATAGATGCGCAATGCGATGCGCGATAGGGGACATAAGCCCGTGCCGCGACCTATATAGTGCCAGATTGAGCAAGCTGTGGGCAGCTTGTTTAAATTGAGCAAGCTGTGGGGAGCAAGCTGTGGGCAGCTTGTTTAATACGTACCCTTTTGACTCAACGGTCAAGGGCTCCAGCATCGCTGGGATGACTGCGGCTGGCACCCGCTATGGCCCAATAGGGCCAGTCCATCACACTCTCTAAAGTTAGAGCTAGTATAAAATAAATATATATATTTATTACCCTAGATAGCTATTATAGCTATATAACTAGTACATCTGCTCCTTATTTTAGGCCTGGAAAACCCTCTAACTAGGAAGAAAAACCCTGCCTGCTGCTGTTTTGCATCTAGGCCTTATATTATATTGTAATAGAAGCTTAAAAGAGAAAGAAAAAAGAGAAGAAAGTTAGAGGGAGTCTAGCTAGCTTTATAGTTAATAAGAGCTTAAGTTTAGTATAGCAGCTATACTAGCTATAGCTAGCTATAAAGCTAAGAGGTAAATTATATATAAAATAAAAGTAAGGGAAATCTAAATATATAAGCTATTATAGCTAAATACTTAATATTTACGCTAGTAGTTATATAATGCTCTAGAGCTAGGCTAGCCTACCCCTAAGAAAGTAATAAAAAACATATTATACTAAGATAGACTTTATCTCTAGAGAGAAGGGACAATTAGAAACTAAAGAATATAAAAGATAAGTAGGCAGAAGCAAGATAGCCTTAGCATAAAGCTAGAAGCAGGATAGATTTATAAGAGCTGTTTGCCCCTCTAGAATACAGCTGGCAAAGCTGGCAATAATTACGTATAGAAGACAGGCAGACTCTAGCTAGCATAGAGCTAAAGCTGGCTATCTAGGGTAATTAATAAATAGTAATTAATATATATATTAATTACTCTAGATAGCTATAAAGCTATATAACTAGTATATTTACTTTCTATATTAAACTTAGAAAACTCTTTAATAAAAAGAAAAACTCTACTTACTACTATTTCTACTTCTTAAGCTAGCTCTAGCTCTATACTAGCTAGACGCTGCTTATCTTCTATATATATATAGTTATTACTAGCTTTACTAGCTATATTTTAAAGAGGCAAATAGCTCTTAAAAAATCTAGCTTACTTTTAAAGGTATAGCAGCTTTACTCAACTCCAAAAAGCGTCATTGAATAATGCTGCAGCCGTACGAATTTTTCAACAGGCAGCAGCTTTTTCCTTCAACAACATCACGATGCCTGACGAAGGCCCTCACAACACCTCAAATCCGCCCTTAAATTTGCCGCCCTCGCCGGGCTATAGCAGCTTTGATGACCTCTACAAGGCTGTACAAAATGGCACCAAGCATCTGCTTTGCTGTCTGTCCAGCTTTAACATCCCCTTGATGCGTCTTCTTGCTAGAGACGCGTCCTTTCTCCGCAAGTTACACCTTTTATCCCTGTCTCTAGGGTGTGCTGGCTTAGCCCCAGCTCGGCGCCTGGCCACGCCAGGAACGCTTCAGCATTAGTGTCTTGAGGGATGTCTGCTTCAGGGTTATACGCTGTTGGGCGTTGTTCTCTGGCGGCCTTCAAGGCTCGTTGCTTGTTCCGAGTGTTGCACTCGCTGTCATTGTGACTTCCGGGGGTGGGCAGCCACCCATGTATAGTACAGACTTTCTGATAAGGCCCCTTATAGTCACTGGGTTTGGTGAGCTTTGTTCGCTTCCATGGTGGTTGGTTTGCCCCTGTCGTATCCCTTCTGTGCTTGTAGCCTGTACTGCCTTGGGCAAGGTACACTGAAGGATCGACGATTGCGCTTCCGCTGCGGCTGGAGAGTCTCTTTTCGGTCTCTAGACGCTGATGTTCGTCCTGGGCAAGTTCTATTAGCTGGTCTAGCGTGATGTCTGCACCATTGCCGACGCCTGCTATCCTGTACTGTTGGTATACTCGCGATCGAAAGGTGCTGAAGGTGTCATCTAGGTTGATAAGGAACAGTAGCTGACAGAGCTCCTTAGGCATTGTCCAGTTTAGTTGCATGCGCTCAAGATTGTGTAACTTTTCCCTGAAGGCCTGTACAAAGTCTTGCACATCACTGTGCTTCTGTAGGTTGTCTGTGGTGAAACCAATAATTTCGCCGAGTATATTTGCTCCGCGTCGCTGGCTGTGTTTGTGTAGTGTCATATATGCTTTATAGGCCATTGTTTCGCTTCTTATCTTCTCAGCCATATATGGGGTGCACGACCTGCGTATGCCAGCCATCAGGTTGTAGTTGCGTCGTTGCCAGTATGCAAGTTGTTGCACATAATTGTTCCAGGCGGTACCTGAGCAGGGTTCTGCTGGAGGAGATGGCTGTTGCAAGCCGTCAAGGATTGGGATCACGAATTCACCCATAGCAGCAACGTTGAGAGCTTCATCCCATTCAGCCCAGTTGCTTGAGCCTTTAAGTTTAGGTATAGAGGCGTAGTAAGCGCCACTACCAACTGCGCTTGACACCGCGATTTGTACGTCGACATCGTCAGGGTCAAGCCTAGGAGTGTCATCCAGCTCCTGGTCTACCCTACGTCGTGGAGAAGACATTGTCGTTGAAATTTTCGCAAAGTGTTGGCTCGCGGGTCTTAATGTGTCTTTTTAAGAGGGATCGAATGCCAAAGGTGGCCTGGTGGGTGGATTATTGAAGATGGGATTATTGGAGTGTTCAGTATGACCGCGTTCCCAGTCTGATTGGGTGCGGGAATATGTCGAAAGTGTCTCGGGGATTGTTTGATTGCGTACGGAGTAGTCTTCGTGTCATGCTTTTAGCCTAGTCTTGACCCGGAGGCACTGTTCGAACTGTATATATTGCATGCTTGTGTGGTATGTAAAGTACGGAATACCTAGGTACATGTTGTGGGCGGTACGAGCCCTGGAGTTTACTCCACTACCCGACCCAGCCGAGTGACTGCAACTGGTTGGGAAAATCGAGGGGAGGGCAAAACAAAAAAATCGACTCACGCCCATACAACCAAAACGCCCACACTCACACATTTTGATTTTCCGGCCCAGACGACTCGCCATGCCCCCGCGACCCGCCTGCGACCGTTGAAACGCCTCGGAACGACTGCTAGGGCGAGGAAATAGCGCGCAAAGGTGCCCTGCAGGGAAGGCGCCTACCCTGCACCTACCCTACACCTCAGCGCCCACCCTGCACATAAGCGTCCCCTGCCCTGTACCTGCCCTGCCCTGCCCTGTACCTACCCTATACCCCCGCAGCATACAGATTACTAGTTGGATAGTTGTTGCAGAAATGCGTAGATAGGTCTAGAGTGAGCGAGCGGGTTGGTCGCGTGTGGATACAGGGGCCGGGCATGTAGTTGTTATAGTGGGAGCGTTCCCCCCTGCTAATGTAATAGTACAGAAGGTCTAGTTTTAGTAGTTATTAGTTCCTTAGCTTATAACACTTAGGTTAGGGGACATTCTTAGTATAAATGTATTTTTTAGCCTCTATATAGTTCTCTACAATATTATCTACTTATAATAACTTGCTTATTATTGTTTTAACGCAGAGGACTCTATTACTATAGATATATACGCTATACTTGCTGCAGCGTGCTCTAGAGTAGGCAGATACCCTACACCCCTCTGCTATAGGGTAGGTAGCATAGCGTGGGGTGCTAGGTGGGGGATGTAATGTAGTGCAGAGTAGCTGCGCTGTAGGGTAGCCTGCCCCTCCCTAGCGCTGCTTGTATAGCAAGGCAAGGCATAGATCTTTTCTTTGCGCTGCCGCGCCCGCCTGCAGAATCTAAGTACAGGCCTGTGGCAACAGGGGAACTTGCGCCCGTAAACAACTGTTCTTTTTTTACCTACCCTGCTGGGGCAGGGCTGCCACCGGCCCCCCACGGCAGGTAGCGGCCAGCCTGCTGTGCTGGTCGCCGCAGCCCGCCTCACTGACCCCCCGACCCCATTGACGGCCCGGCCACGCCACCGGGCGCTTGTGGGCCACTTTTTATTTTCTGCAAAATTCACCTGTACTGGGAAACAAAAAAATCGACCTACGCCCATACTGCTGAGACGTGCCGCCCACACGCATCTTATTTTTTCGGGCGCCTTGCCGGGAGCGTGAGAGCCCCTGCCGACGCCGCACAGCTGTCGCGTGACGCGCTACTGTAAGTCACGCTTCGTGGGTCTTACTCTTTACACAATACTACTTAAAACAAACAAGCCCCTTTCAACGATAGTAAGCGATAAGAGTGTTGTGGAGGCATTTTTATTGTATTTATATTAAATGTAGGATCCCTCTACAATCTCTGCACTAGACTCATGCAATAGACTCGTGCTATAAGCTTAAGTATTAACAATTCACTGTGTCGGTGCCTTGTCGGATACTTTTCGGATGCACATCGGGACCTACATGTATATATTAGTGTAAGAAAAGGGGGGACAGAGAACTCCTCCTTCTTTCTTTCCCCTCTCCCTGAGTCTATAGCGAACACTAGTAACGCTTACACGCAGTCGCCTGTAAGGCTAGTCCTTAACATACTATAAACTTCAAAACTACCACAATGGACAAATGTTTTTTAAGCCCAACAGAGGCTAGCTCACAACCGCCAAGAGATGCAACACCTCCAAGTCACCAGGCCCAGCTAGCCGCCCTCCAGGAAGTCGTCAATAATCAAGCACAACAGATACACGAATTGACGCAGCGGTGCCTCGCATTATCCGGCACGTTAGACAGTCTCCCACGCCCTGTCCTGCCAGAATACCAGCCAAGACGGAAGCCAATGGGGTCCCCCTTCAACGGAAACAAGTCAAAGTTCGTTGCGTGGCGAAGCCTTATGTCGCACAAGCTAGTAGCTGACGCGGCGTTCATCGGCGATGCTCACAACCAGTGGGATTTTATATTCCAGAATCTCTCCACAAAGGTTCAAGGCCAAGTAGCTCCCTACTTTAAGTCAGGAGCATCTGTGGACTACAACCCAACTGAGTTTCTCAACTACCTGTCTAGTATATATGCGGACCCTTACCAGGAAGACATAGCCCTCACCGAATTGGATTACATCGAACAACGCGCAAACGAGCCGTTTGCAGACTTCTTCGTTCGGTTTGAGAACAAAATGGCACTTGCAGGAGCCATGTACTGGCCCGACGCAGTTCAGCTAGCAAAGCTCCGCCGGGCTTTAAACAAACAGATGCGTGATTTGATTATCGGTCGGGATGTCTCTCGTACAGCATACTATCCGGCGATTGAGAGGTTGCGAAGTATAGCCGTGGACATTGAGTTGCTCCGCTTAGAAAAGAAGTATCGCAACAGACGCGGCCGAGGCTAGACTCGGTTCGGGGCCACACAGACGTTCAGGAAACAGCATCAACATGATTCGGGTCGGGGCGGCGGCGGAACGGGAGCGGAGAGCGGGCGAGACGGTACTAATCTTCAAAAAACGGAATCTTTTCTTGCACGACGATGAGGATAGCGGTAGTTGAAGAAAAAACAACAATGACAGGTGGCGTTAGGTTGGCAAGCTGTTTGCGAAGCGGGGGTGAGCCGGACACGCACTGCGCACAAAAAACAAGAGGCCGGGGCGCAGAGTTGCCGGGGTGAATGAACCCCGCACGCTCACCCCTGCCTTCCCCACTTGCGACTGTGCATGCATGCACGCGCGAGCGCAGGCCCGCGGGAACGAGGGAAGTATGTAATGGACTCGAGCTGTAGGCTCGAGTGTACACAAGGCACTGTGTCGGTGCCTTGTTGGATACTTGTCGAATACTTAAGTACTTATTAGGTGTACATCGGACCTATGTATATATAATAGCGTGAAATGAGGGGACAGAGAGCTTCTCCTTTTCTTCTCCTTTCCCTTAAGTTTATAGTTAATACTAGTAACGCTTACACGCAGTTGCCTGTAAGGCTAGTCCTTAACATATCTATACTATAAGTTTAAGCTACATCTAGCGCTAAGGCAGCTATTAAGACGCTATCCCTGCTAATAAGCTCTAGGACTTTTAGGACCTATTTAATGAACCTTATAGAAGTATAGTTTTTGGGTGGTGCAGACAAAATCCGCTTATTTCCGCCGATGTAATGCAAAGGTGTGCCTACTACATCGATAGACCGGAAGATCCGCCAGTACAAGCAGCTGCTTGTGCAAACCATACGTTAGTAGATGAAGCTTCCCTGCCTAAGTAGGTGACTAGTCTAGCGCAGCGACCGCCTCACAGCCGAGCAGAGCAGCATGCAAACCCTAAAAGCTCGGCACTGTGCTACTTAGATACGTATTGCTTTGTGCGATTACGCTCCTAGCCTGCATAGACACAGGCAACGCCGACCTAAACAATATTTAGGCTGAAAAAAGCAAGCCTCTCTATAGAGATCGAGTGTGCCAAGCAGTCAAGTCATTGGGAAATGCGAACGGCAGTAATCGCGACCCTATCCAGGAGCCTCAAAAACCCAGCCTATCTTGTTGAATCCCGTATCGCAGAGGTATTACGCGGACTTTCCATCTTTTCGGATTAGGAGAACATGTATATTTGTGACTCGTCCGCTGTGGCGAACGAGGTTTGGCGAGATTTCTAGAAGCCCAACCAATCCGAGCAGTAACCGAAGACGACTCAAGAGGAGCTTAAAGATTATTAAAGCATGTACAGGGACGGGCATACCATCACGAGAATGCTGCCGGCGCCTGGGGAGATGAGTTTAGAGGTACGGCGTTCTGCATTCGCTCAAGCTCATGTTTCCAATGTGTTTTGCCAGATACTACTTGTTCGGTGTTGTGTCCTTTTCAGGTGCTGTACTTGTGCATGCCGAGGTTAATGTTGCCTTGGACCAATCTCCAATCGACGTGCAATGAGATCCGGGCCGTCTTGGGATTGCGTAACGTCATTGTTGTGCGTGGGCACGACACGGGCTCTGTGTATCGCCGTGGCACCCGGATAGAGCGAGCTCGCAGTCAACTCCGTGGTACGAGGGCTTGCATGTTCGTCGCTGGTCCAAGCCTTTTTCAAAGGACCACATTCCACCCACTAGTCCAGGGACCTGGGTTGTTAGTGCCATGGCACCTGCCGAGTCCTGCACCGCAGAACTGAATCAACAGTTGGAGCCCAGCACATGTCAGCTTTGAATTCTCGTTGCCGGTGGAAGCCGTCACGGTCCGGTCTCAGGTACCCATGATATCTTGAGGCAATTGCAAAAGGGTTCGCACAGTCCATTCGTCGACTTCTGGCTTTTCTCCCATCGCGCTGGCTATCAATTCTGTGACCCGACGTTCAATAAACTGTTTTTGTGTGGCAGTTTGATCTTCGCTTGTACTGGAATAAATGCCATCGTCGGCGTGTATGTTTGGCTCGTCCTCGTCGATGGCATTGGCAGAACTCAAGCTATGCAGTTTGGATAGCAGACGGTCTCGACGTATCATCATGGAAGGTGTTCGGACATTCAACTGCGCAACAGCCATCAAGAGTTAGCAACAATGACGCTAGACAGGGAGTCAGCACCCTGGCAGTGTCAAGGGAGACTATGTGATACTTTCATACCTTGGCTAATAATGTTCCATAGCCAATTCCAAGATGGGTACCAATCACGTTGAGGCGACCTTTAATCCAGATCCGCTGAGCTTCAGTTACGTGATCTTGACTCTGTACGCCATTGAGGGCCCAAGCCAGGAGCACGGCAGCCATACTTCTCTGCACGGTGCTGTCGCCATGCTTTCCGCCGCCCTGCCTAGCTTTAGCTGACGACCTGTGAGGGTTGGAGACGTAGCCAAGTTGGTAGGGGACCGACGCAATCACGTCTGTAATAGTCTCGGTACAAAGTCTCGCAGCCGTGGCGTATTCCTGCGTCGAGCGGTAGTCCTTGGGCAAATGGAGCCACGCGGTAGCCCGGACAAGGACTGACAAGAGGACTATTCTCGACCAACGGGCCATGGTCCACACAACCGCTATCCAGGAGTCGGCGTATACGTCGACGCGTCCTGGGAATACGTCGGCATTGGCGTAGTCGTCGTGTGGCACGTAGACTTGCCAATCAATAGTCTCCCATCTAAACTCCTCCGGTACGGCGTCGGCCCAGCGAACAAAGTGTTGGTCAAGGCTGTGACACTGCTGAATAACGCCCTTTACCTGGTCCATGTCTTTCGGTGTCATCGAAATACTTGCCAGCAGCCCATTGGCATGAGCGTTGAGCTCTGCGGTATGGACACAAAACTGTTCGCATTGAGAAGCATAGTTGTCGTACGTGGAATCGGCCGTACACCAAGTAAACCCTGAGGCCAGCGAGCTGCCAGTGGTGAGCGAATGAATTATCTGTGAGCCGAATTCGGTCAGAAAACACCCATGTCTACGGAGTACTCCGTGGGGGGGGTGGCATGCTTCACGATCAGAGACCAACATACCATGAATGTTCGAACAGCAACAAACATGTCTGACCCGAGCTTTGTGTGGCGTTGTTTGCTTCCCCTCGCCTTGACGATCCGCACGGCGGCTTCTATGTGCGAATACCATCCTATCAAACTAGAACTTGCAGCCGTTATGTTCTCGAAAAGAGCCAGCAAGAGCACAGAAGCCAATGTCTCGTCCTGTAGGGTCTGTGCCGGATCCCACAATGCAGTAGAAGTCGCTGCCAGAGCGCTTGTGTAGCTCTCGAGAGCTTTCGACCTAAGGCGGCGACCATCGGCAGCCTGCTGGCTGAGCGACGCCATGGCACAAGCGTTGAAGACATGCTCGAACTGGGGGAGTTGAGATCCTTTGGCGGCAATGAGAGCCAGATACTCGTTGAAGCCGCGAATGATGCGCTGGTGTGGCGTGACAATGAAGTTGAAATGGAAATAGCAAGGCGCTATGGCCTCGGCAGACAGGTGAGGCTGCGATACAATTGCTCGATTGACGGGCATGTCGTCGAGATGTCTGCATACTGACCCGAGATCCGGTGGCATTGGTGTTTGATATCTCGCGGCGCTCGTGGCTGGGTCCGTGTCGTGCTTCTCGTCGCGCCGCTTCTCGTAGCTCCCATGGTATCCTGGACATTGTCGTCGCGATCTGATGCATTGGTTGCAGGTCGGCCTCGACTCGTCACACTAGGACGAAGCCAACACATCGGGTGAGCAACGTCCAATCCAATGTCTGTCCGGCGCTGGTCGACTTGCTCAACAAGACGTACGTACCTTGATTTTGCGAATTCGGCATGAGTGACACGCTCCCGACCTTCTTCCGTGATAAGGCATAACAAGACTGGACCACTCCGAAAAATGGCAAGAGTGCGCTCCCGCGACACGGGACGATGACTAGGGGAGGAGAGGGCGGGGGATTGCGCGTCATAACGCGAGCACAGGATGTCGCGAGCTTTTGTTCAGCAAGAGGAGCCGCCGTGAGTTGTTGGCGTCAAACGACGGGATCCGCCAATCGATCGACCGTGGCATTTTCATCCGCGCCACCACGGCGCTCCCTGCCGTCAGCCAAACGTTGAGCATGATGTGGCGGCTGCGCGCAGTCCGGGTGCACGCGCCCATTGTTGTTGACAAGTACTTGAGCAGCCGGAACAGCAGATCTCTGTCATGATTCGGCAAAGACGGAGGGGGCTGACCTCCAAGTGCCACCCTAGCACCGCCTAGTACGTAAGATCTTAGTGTGGGGCCTTCCTGGATGAAGAGTGGTTGGGGCATTTTCGGCAGCCGATTTGCGTGACCAGATCGAGCCAAATGGCTTTGGGAGCAACATTCATGTACGTGCTTCTGATGATGAAAATGGTAGATTTGTTGTTGAATGCGAAGAAAGCGGCTGTTATTGTTCAATGCAGCTGCTCCGCAGTTTCTTGCTAGCTTATGATATTTCAAGTCACGATCACCTCATAACGGACAAAATTACAACATCGCACCAAATTATCGCCAAAATTCGAGCGTATCCACGCATCCCTGGCCTCGTCAGAATCAAGCAAATTCCACATCATAGAATTCAGCACGTCTTTCTTTATCCACATCATTGTTTTCAGCATACCATTGATTCTTTCCGCCCCAAGAAACTCCCGGCAACTCACAAGCGCCTTCTTGACCTCTTCATGACCCGGAGCCTTCCTTTCGATCCAGTGATGTTTAGCCTGAGCGGCTACAAAAGCCAAGTTTATTATCTCGGCGAATTAGTGACGTGATAATCTGGAGCCCTTCTTTTTCTTACTCCCGATCGAACTGAATTTATCGCTCACCTTACAGGCGTTGTAGGCAGCCTCAAGTTATCCTCATTCTCCCATTCGTCGAGCTGACTCTGTTCCGTGTGCTAGGGTTACTCATACTAGCAGTATCGCCATGATCGCTTTCGTCCGAGAAGGGATTAAGCCTTGATGAAGGCCGCAAGTCATAAATCCTCTGTGCTGCAGCAGCAGCAAAAGCAGCCCCATCACAAGCCTCAATATGATACTGGCCGGCAGGAACGTCTCGTCGAAATATTTCAGCCCACGTCTCGAATGTGATATCTTCACTGACCGATAGGCCACTATTGATCACCCTAATTGCGATCCGTGCTGGTTCTTTCAAGCTGACGAGGTTGGCATTATCAGTGCTTATCAAGACCATTCCTGTTGTTTCGCCATATTTAGTGCCTGACTGCTCAGATGTAGCACGAAACGCTCTCTAGAAATTCCAAGATTTGTTTTCCTTCTTGTCAAGCACCGAATATTGCAATTTCGTTCTGGGAATTGGAACTCCAAGATTGGAATAAAGTCTGAATACAGCATCTTGAACGCCCTTCTTTGAGCTATTTAATCGACCGTCAATTGGAGTATCAAAAAGAAGCTGTAAAAATCACAGTTTTGTTATTCGTCCATCGGTTATAGCTGACAAGTGAGCTAGAACCCTCTTGTGTATTGTTGGCTCACAGGATATGGAATGCTGACGCAAAATGACGCGGCGTGATTGACAGGGTCAAAATTGAGGTCAAAAAGGTCTCAAAGACTACATACCGAAGTAGGTGATCGTAGGCTCTATCTTACTTACTAAGTCCATTCATGTTTGCTCGTATCAGACGGTCGCTATGCCGTCAAGTTGGCCAGTAGTCACTACTACAAGTGCGACTGTTGAAGCAGCACCTCGACTCGCCACGAACGATGCTTCGTGCATCGCATTGCCGGCAGCCCTATTGTGTGGCGACTGGAAAGCGCACAAAGCGCCGGAATGTTGGAATGAGTGAGCGAGCGCGGGTAAATATTGCCAAGATATAATAAGGACAATGTATGCAAAGGCTGAAAGTGTATCTCTACTAAGAGTATCGGGTTGAGGAATTGACGACTATTGAAGCTATACCTTCTATTGTATTGACAGCAACTTGCTTATACGTGCCAACACGCACACCTGAGCCATGCAGCTGCTGTGGCTAAGCTGTCAATGGTTCATCTCCGACGTCAAGGGTGCCTCGACAATCTGATTATTCCTGTGGAAATGGTCAATGCTACTTCTCGGTATATTGCGCCAGTTGACCTATTGGTACTGGTCTTTGCAATCGGTAGCTCGATGAACCCTTGATTGTCGCCATTCTCGAGACGAGAAGAGGATGTCGCACTAGGTGTTCCTCTCTTTTATCGGTCGAGAAGGCTTCTCTTCGGTTTAATCAGTAAAACTGTCGTGCTGACATGGCAAATCTAGCACCGAGGAACAACAGCGTCGCCAAGGACGTTTGATATATCAAAAGAAAATGAATGTACGGCTGGACATTCCAGGCTGAGACGAAAAACGCGGGTGCTATACCTGTTGAAGGGCTTTGTCGCCCAAGTATCGTAACTTGAGGAGGGGTGGCAGAGGCATATCGAAACTTGGCCATCTCCTGCCTGTGATGAGAGACCAACTGCATCAGGTCGTATCTCTGGCCAAACCGCATGAACCTAGTGCGCCGGTACTTGGGATTCTGACCAGCCGCTCTGCGCCGATATAGTACCTCAGCTGCTTCTGCGACTCTACGACTGAATTGAATCAACGACAACAGGTACACCATCGATCATGTCGCCGAAGATATTGATAAGTGCTAATCCACGCAATCATATCTCACTCAGACTGGGCTCATGCTGATTTATAACTCGCCGGCCAGATCTTTCTCGTTGCGAAACAGAATTACTTGATTAAGCTCATAGAGTTCATAGCAAACTTGTAGACATGGTTGGTCATCCGTCACCCCACCATCAGTGGCACATATCAATCACGACAAGGCCAAGACCGGTCAAACACGTATAGGGATTAGTCTATTTGTATCGAACTGAAGTGATTACTTTCGCTTTGTGGCCTTGCCAGTGTCGGAGCCGGTGGCCTTGCCCTCGGAGTTGACAACAGGCGTGCTCTTGTCCTGCCCATCATTCCGGGGAGAAGGCTCCTCGCCGTCACCGCCCTGGCCGAACTCGTTGACGCGGGTGTAATCAGTTCTGTAAGCCCAGCGCTGGTAAAGGTAGATGAAAAAGATGATGTCGTCACGGAAAGTCGCCAGTCGATGGAGAAATGGCATCTTGATAGTGAATGCAAACAAATCATCAATAAATGTGTTGAGGAATTTGTACATCATGGCTTTGGCTGGCATGTGAGCTACGCTCTTCAGGCGGTAGTTGATGTACAAGGACGGTACCATCATAAGGAAGCCATAAGCATACACAGACCCAACTAGGGTCGCAATGATGAAGGAATACCAAGACTTGTGAGAATCGTACACGAGAGAGTAGACACCGTAAGCAATCAGCAAAGGCGCAGCCACAACGTACATGTACTTGAAGGCGACGGCGTCATACTCCTTGGTCTTCTCTTCGGTCTCGGTAAGCTTGTGCTTGTCCTCGAAGACAATGGCGAACGGGAAGACTGAACCGGGCGCTGATGACCGGAAGCGCACGTCCACAACAGTCGTGACCTTCCAAAATTCGATGACAATGCCAATCGCCTGGGACCCGAGAATCATCCAGCTAGTGTTTTGAGAATTATCGAGTAGATAGAGGAAGATGACGGCCTGCATGAAGACGTTTGCCAAGATGGAGCGGACAGAAATGCCAACATTGTCCTTCTTTTTGCGGTAGTGGGCGATATCAGAGCCAAAGGCGAGCATCTCGAGAATGATATGTGCCACACTGACCACAGCAGTGATGCCCAACAGGATGGGGTTCGTATCAATGAAGATTTCCTTGACCATTTCAATCTCGGAACCATCACCGCCGGTAGGCAGAGAGTGGCCGAATGCAGCCTGGCGAGCGTTTTCCTTGGAGTTCAATTCAATTGATGCAAGGGTGCTGAATTTCCAAAAGGCCATGGTGGTCAGGTCTATGTGCAGGGGAAGCTCCTTGACCGTTTCATTGAGCACGGTCATGTGGCTCGCAAGTTGCCAAAAGTTGTTGACAAACAACACCGGGTCTAGCAAGAATTCAGTTAAAGTAGAGCCAACAGGGGGCGGATTGACTCACAGTACCAGCCATTTTGGCCACTGCCGTCACGAGCCCCTGTTGCTTCGAGACGAAGGAAGTGTTTGACAGCAGGGTGAATGGTGTTGAATTCCTTGACGCCCATGGCTGGGACAAAGGCAAAGCTGGCATTAGGGTGATAGTGATTGGTAATAATGGGACCGGTAGGCGCTTCCTCTTCTGGCTCCTCATCACTGGAACGGCTGTCGAGTAAGTTTCTCGTTTTGGCGACCTTCTTCTTGGGCAGATATTGGGTCAAGGGGTAGGCAAAGTGATATGCTTTGGCCGAGTCGTAGCCAGGCTGGCGGGGATCCAAGCTGCTACCGCTGAGGCCAACGTAAAAGTGGCCCCAGAGGGTTCCGTTGTTCTGAACGGCCTTGGGAACGGTAAACTTGGTGTCGACGGTGCGCACATCGGAGCTGTTGCTCATCTGGAAGTTACTCTCTCGCAGCACGACGTATTCGGCCGGGGTCTCTGAGATGGGTGTCGGGTTGAAGGACGGCGAAAGGGTTACTACAATGTCGACGTGGCTGTCTTGGGGCCAGATTGGCGCGATCTTGCGAGGGATTGGTCGGTACTGCGCACCCTCGTCAAGCTGACTAGGACGTAGTTCAAAGGCGGGAATTTCACCCAGGTTGGATGCAACCGTGATGGGTTTCCCGGTATTAGGGTCGGTCACCTGGACGCCTCGTTGGTCTTTGGCCAGGAAGTAGGAGAGGGCAAGATTGAGCCCGAAATATGCTGCACCGCCCATGAGAAGCTTGCTGAAGTTGAATCCCTGTTAAAGAGTAGCCTCGTGGTTAGCAATATCTCTCTCGACAGGACAATTGCCTGCGGACAGAGACACTTACATGCCGTTCTGGCGGTCGCTGGGGCTGGCTGTCGGGCTGCTGCCGGATGACTTGGTCAAGTCCAGACATGGCAGGATCAAAGACGGGAAGAAGAAAACGACGGGCTCGGGAAGTTTTCAAATGAGCGACGACTTTCGCCTCGCCACGGACTGACAATGACAAGGTCGCGCCGCGGTCGGTTGGTTGCTTTGAGTTGAAAAATCTAGGTTCGCCGGAGATTTCGACGTGTGGCTCGCCGCTCTCCCCAAATATGCGCCGCACCAATTGACCGCAGGGTAGCCGGGTGCTCAAGGTCTGTTGGTATGCTCTGCAAGGCCGCCTAATGGGCCCAAAGACATCCAAATACGGGGTAGAGACGACAATGTTGTACAGAACAGAGGATGAAAAGTCCCTTTTTTGAAGACTGTGGACCAAGAATAAACGTTACGTACTCTGTATCCAAAACGTAGGGACGCCGATCTCGGCATAATACCTGTTGGTCAGATATCACCACCCCTACTACTTCTCTCCGATTAACTACACTTCACAGCATGTGCTAGTGCTATTGCTAACTTCTTAACAGCAGCTCACCAACATTGTCGACTTGTCATGATGGACATGGATTCTCATTACAAGAGTGTTTGATACGTGGAATGACGCCAATCTGACGCGGCCAGACAGCTCGTTCCTCTCTTCTCAAATATAAACGATTGTCCTTGAAACTCGCCGTTGGAAGAAGATGCAAGGCACGAGGCATGTCCGAAGCACACCGACGCTTGCGGCCGGTACATAACCTGGGATCTCGTCAAAAAGAGTATGGTCCACATTTTGACCGCCAACCGGAAACGCGTTATGAGCCATCAAATCATCGTCCAGGGGTCTTCTCCACCTACATTGATCAGGCTTCAGACTTAGGCCAGGGAAGCCTCCGTCAACGACAATTTGTTGGCGTCCCACCGAATATCGGGCGTGGGCGTGGCCAAGTCATCGGACCTGTTGATTTAGTTGACGTCTCGTCATTTATTATTTCAACGCCATCCCTCGCCGTGGAGCCGTCCCGCGTGCTTATGACTCTCACCTCGCCGCTCGCCGCTCACTCTCTTTCTTTCCTTGATATTGAACAGCACAACTTCATTGTTGTTGCGCAGCTTTTTCCGTTCGACTCGCCAAGCCTCGACTCCACCCCTCCGCAGAAATCCGGCATTCCTTCCTTGGTGCCGTCTTGTCGTCATATGACTTCGTCGACGTGTTATGCACCGACTTTGAATCTCCGACTTCAGCTTCCTAGCAGCACGCAGCCAATTCGCAATGTCGTCCAGCACACACATCGCGGGCCGGAATGGCACTTCCACGACCAATGGCACCAGTAGCAGCACACCTCGTGCAAGGATCTGCGTCTTTTGCGGCTCCAGTGGCGGAACGAGCCCGGCACACATGGAAGCCGCCCGGCAACTAGGCAGAGTAATGGCAGAGAACAACATTGACTTGGGTGTGTAGCATCTACAGCTGTAGTTCTGATCCCCAAACAGCTCCAGTACCCTAATGTGTTCCCACAGTATATGGCGGTGGCACTGTCGGTCTCATGGGCGAGGTCGCCAAAACGGTCTGCGCCATCAACGGACCCGACGCGGTCCACGGCATCATCCCCGAGGCTTTGGTCAGATATGAGCGGGATGGCACGTACCAGACCGTCAACATCAACAATCAAGTTGTTCCCACCGAGTCCTTATATGGCCGCACGACAGTGGTCAGGGACATGCACACCCGGAAGAAGCTCATGGCAGAGCAAGTCTTCAACGGCGGACCCGGTAGTGGCTTCATTGGCTTGAGCGGTGGATACGGCACCATGGAGGAAGTTTTCGAAGTCATCACCTGGAACCAGCTGGGCATTCACACAAAGGGCATCTGTCTACTTAACATTGAGGGATACTGGGACGGTATTGTGCAGTGGCTGGGCAAGGCATCAGAGCAAGGCTTCGTCAAGTCTGGCAACGAGCATATTGTAGTTGCGGCTACCGATGCCGAGAGTGCCGTCAGGGCCTTGAGCAACTACAAAGTTTCTGAGGCTACTTTCAAGCTTGAGTGGGGCACGCAGTAGAAGGAATATATGTGCACTACCTATATAGATCATGTAGAAATAGTTGTGACGGGGATGCATTCTCTTCATTGGCGTTTCGTGGTGTCACCGATGTGGACCCAGAGAGAAGGGGGGGGTAATATGGTTGATGTATGCGCCGTCGCAATTCAAGCCGGAGCTCAGGGGAAAAGAAAACAAATGGCAAAATTCGCCGTGAGATCTGGCCTGCAACTCTTTGGATTTTGTTGCCCTGACCGCGGTATGCCGCCCCAAGGCAGCGTTTAGTTGTAATTGTACATAATGTAGCGGCGTGCTCTTGCTGTTTCACATCAGCTGAACCGTCTAGCCGTCAATATCCATGCCTTCCTCGCCTTCACCACTTCCTTGACTCTCGCCGACACTGTCAATCCACTGCTTGACCTCAAACTCCTCATACAGCTTGAACGGTTCGATGCTCTTCATCCCTTCCCCTTGTACACCGACCAGGCCGACAGATGTGTTCTCCACGGTCAGCTCCTTATCCTGCACTAAGCTCTCCCGCAGTGCCTTGAGACCATGCTTGACCAGCTCCTCTCTCGAGCAATCTGCAAAGGACTCGACATTGCGTTCCAAATATGTTCTTGCCATCTGGCTTCGGGCACCAATCGCAAATGCAACCATTTCTTCGGTCATTCCTGATGGCTGGAATTCAAACAAGTGAGGGCCCCGTTCGTCTACGCCAGCAACCAACAGGCCGACACCGTACGGCCGCTTACCGTATACTTGGGTGTTGGTCTGGGCTTTTTCGCCAATCATGTCGACGAGAGAGCGTAGCGGGATGGCGCGACCGTACGTAAGGCGGTGACCGAGACATTGCTGCTTCATGAAGTTGGACAGGACGCGAGCATCAGATGTGAGACCTGCAATGGCGATGCCGGTATGCTCGTCGATGGAGAAGAGCTTCTTTTGATAGGAGGACAGTTCTTCGGCGTTTCTCTGTGAGCTGGTTAGACGGTAAATGGTTGCATAACAGAGTCGGTGCAAAGTAGACCTGCCTTGACAGCGCAGAGGACCGCGTGGGTTTTGCTGACGATACCGACAACAACGGATCCTTGCTTCACGGCCTCGGCGGCATATTCAATTTGAAATATTCGGCCCTGGGGCGAACTAATGAGCGCTGTATGTTAGCTGATGATCATTACAACCAGCCTCGTGAGTGATGCTTGCTTGAGAAGCGTCCCTCCCTTGGGGAGAGGCGGGGGGGGACACACAATGTGACGGAGTCGTTGTCATAATTGTTTCTAAACATGATGGGCTATTCGACAAAGAGATCAGTTGCTGAAGCTGAGTTGATGACTGATTTGTGGTCGCGAGGAGGCAACTGATCGTGATATGCCGAGCTCAAAGATTGATTTGCGCCCATTGGCGTCGATGCGGCCAGGCAACCTCGAGCTTCGTCGTCGGTGCTAAGCGGGCAGCTCATGGCGCGGTGAGTGGATGCCGTGGATACTCCGCCTCACCGCCTGCCATCTTGTTTCCGTTATGACAAGTGAGTCGAGGTCACAGGTCACTGGGGTAGGGTAGCTGCATTAATCAAGCTCGTTGCGCAGCACAGAAACAATTGATACTTGATGGTGCAGTAGCTCAAAGGTGAATCATGACGTGAGATTTCCTTTGTGATTGAACCAAGGCTCCTCGATTCTCCTATGCCTTTGGCGGTGTTCTGCCAATGCGCATTGGGTCACAGGACCACGATTCTGCTCAATGAGAAATCCTGCATTAAAAGATGCACAACTTGCAAGACTAGCACGACCATAGAAGTTTGCATGATGTCATTCTTGTGAGTTGTAAAGAAACACCAACGAAGGTACCTACTTACCTTACAAGTACCTACGTAGGTACCTATAGGTAGGTACGGTGGTTATTGATTGGATTGATTGGGTAAAGTAATTAAGTCTCTACCTACAGGCTACAGCCATGTACAGCCGACCCAGTCATCAAGAAGCTCCTCTCTACTTGCATCATAACAAGGTCGACGGCCAGGACGCCGTGACCAAGGAGAAGACAGAGCTCAACTGCAGTGTTCTAGATGCCTGCCCCGATATGTATGGTTGTTCCCGACAAGTCATTTCGCTGAATGATGAGAACATCTGTTTCGCCAGGGAGGGAGGCGACTTCGTTGCTGCTGAGAACACATCCTTCATGAAGGCCGGACCCGACTGGGCTGGAAGTGTGTCGTCACAACAGGCTGCGTGTTCTGCGGAGTAACGATCGAATAAAATATTGTTGCTTAACAAGATGGCTGGGAATGATGTAGTAAATTTGACGCAGAACTTGTACAGTCGTCTCGACGTTGTGAAATCAAACGCGTGCGACGAAGCTCCATCAAAGCCGACAGGGCCCGGGATTTCCGCCCTCTGTACGGAGTCCCTGCTCCTTTTTCATCTTGCAGGTCGTCGGCCTCCACCCCCGTGCCATCTCACATTTACCTCGCCGCAAAGCCTCGTCGATGCTCCGGCGCTCATCTCGCACTACGTTGATATTCGCTGGGCCTCGCACATGGCGGTGCGTTTCACCATGCTGTCCACGCCTGGATACGGCACGGCCTCGGCCCGTTGCAAAACGCTTCACGTCCAGCTCCATTCGTCGAGAGCACAATCACGTCCGCACTTCAATCTTTGGAGATACCATCTACGCCTTATCCACGGCACATGGCAGGGCAGGAATTGCTGTGATCCGCATATCTGGCCCATCATGTTTACAGGTAGGCTTTTTCCGTCAAAGGGCATCGGACCTGGTTGACAACAACAAACTCCAGATATACCAGGGCTTATGTCCGGGCAAAGCACCACCCAAACCAAGACGTGCGACTGTGCGTACACTACTTGACCCGGCATCCAGCACTGAGCCCGACATACTGGATCTGGAAGCTCTCCTCCTCTACTTCCCCTCGCCCAAAACAGTCACTGGCGAAGATGTCCTTGAACTCCACGTCCATGGCGGCCCGGCAACAGTGCGAGCCGTCCTGTCTGCCATACCGAAATGCCGAACCAGCACGCGCATCCGCTACGCTGAGCCAGGCGAGTTCACCAAACGTGCCTTTCTAAACGACCGCCTTGATCTAGCGCAAATCGAATCCTTGGGCGACACTTTGGACGCTGAGACGGAGCAGCAGCGTCGCGCAGCAGTGCGAGGCAACTCTGGCGCGCTGGGGCGAACCTATGAAGACTGGCGGCACCAATTACTTCAGGCCCGCGGGGAAATCGAGGCTCTCATCGACTTCTCAGAGGACCAGCATTTCGACGAACCGCAGTCCGAGCTGCTGGGCAACGTAGCGAGACAGGCAGCCAAGATTGTGCACTCCATCGACCTCCATGAGCTAGGCAGCCAGCGAAGTGAGCTGCTGCGCAGTGGAGTTCGAATCGCATTGGTAGGGCCCCCGAATACTGGAAAGAGCTCCTTGATGAACATCATTGTTGGTCGCGAAGCGTCCATTGTGTCAGGTGAGGCTGGCACTACGCGAGATATCATAGAAGCCAGTCTCGACATGCGGGGGTTCCTGTGCTCTTTCGCTGACACCGCTGGGTTCCGGTCCAAGGGTGAGACTAGCAATGAGGCTATTGGCGCCGTGGAGGAGGAGGGCGTTCGACGAGCGAGGAAAAAGGCACAAGATTCAGACGTCGTCGTTGTCCTGGCATCTGTGGAATCAGGGCCGTCTGGACCGTTCATCCATTTCGACAAGGAGACGTTGGCCCTCGCGGCTGGAGCACAATCATCTCTCGTCATTGTCAACAAGAAAGACGCAGTCGACGGAGATACGCTCTCCGGCCTGCTCAAACAGTTCCGTCGACTAATTCACGACAAGTATGCTTCTCTGCCACGGGAACCAATCTGCATATCCTGCAAAGAAGACAACTCCAGGATCAAGGATAGCGGCATCCAAAACGTCGTCGACGCACTGGTGTCCTTGTTTTCCCAATTGACAGACATGCCGCCCGACATGCGGGATCTGCTAGGTGTTACTGAACGACAGCGCCAGTTACTCACCAAATGTAGGGGCCATTTAGAAGATTTCATGGATGAAGCGTCACCGCATGAGGATGGGCACGATTCAGACATTGTCCTCGCAGCCGAGTATCTGCGCTACGCTGCCGACTGTCTAGCTAGAATCACCGGCAAAGGCGAGGCAGGAGACGTAGAGGACGTATTGGGCGTGGTTTTCGAAAAGCATGTGCCCCTATCTTTCACGTGGACGTTGCCGATGGCTAACAAATCCAGGTTCTGCGTGGGTAAATAATAACCAGCATATGCACTATTTATGATACCGCACGATGTGAAGAAGAGATGTATTGTGTCCAGCACATGCCTCTAGCATTCCTTATCCGGGTACCCCCTGCGAAGGGGAAATCGTACCCGTGATCTGTCAATGCATTCTATATCCTTTTCCTCTCAAATGTGAGACTGTCTATGCGCCGTTCTATGTGTCCGCGATGGCAATGCTAAAGCTATCCAGATATATGCAAACGTTCTATTCCCTTCACCCCCAAAGAGCAAGTTTCCAGCATGTGTTCGATACATTGATAGATTATTTGCGACGGTGAATGTCGCCATGTCGGATGGATGGCTCTTATCGACGATCCTCGTCGTCGCTTGGGGCGGTTCCGGGTGCGCCACTGACAATGTTGTATCCCGAGCGACCGTAGTTGACGGGTTCGAAGACGGTTGAGGCGGCCATCTTGGTGAAGAAGCGGAGTGTGAGAGTACCAAGTGTGAATGCTTTCTTTCTCCTTTATTCCTTCAGAATGTGTCCAGTAGACGTGTAGTTGTAGTTGAAGCGTGCGGATATATGTGATTGGTACAACAGATTGTCAGGTACGCTGGGGCGTGATGATGCCAAGGCAGTGTTTGTATATTGAAGAATATGTGAGGAAGTGGTAATGTCTTTCAGACGCTGTCTTGCGAGGAAGAGAAGGCTCATGTCATGACACGGCATCCATCCATCTTATATACTGTTCCGAAAACACCCCGACATGCTCACCACAGAGCCCATGGCCACGAGGCAATCGGCCCCCAAGAAGGCCTTCCGGCCTTTCGCGAAAACGACCACGATTCACACGTCTTGACGGACGGTAGGGCTGAGGGAGCCTGGCTTTCTCAGCGGCCCCCAATATTTCTGGGTCCCCAACGTGAGCCAGGCCATGACTAGACCAAGACAACGTGGCTTCCAGGGCGCATATCTGACGCGTGAGTCCAGTCTGACCAGTAATTCGGTACGGAGTGAAAGTCACCCTTGTCACGGCCCAATCGGTGCCGACGAAATCCCCTGCAAGCAAACCGGCCCACGGTGCCTGCGTATTCAGCCGTGACACAAGGCTGTTTCCAGGCATATTTTCCGACGGCCGATGCAATGTGCGTCAGGGGCATGTACGCAGAAAAGATGCAGAAGCAGAAGAAGAAGTGGAACAGGAGGGAAGAAGAAAGAATATGTAAGCCGAAGCTTCGTCCAGAGCGCCAAGATCCACGCTCAGAGACAAGCTTGAAAATGCCATTTCGTTAGGCAGCCAGTCCCACGTCCATGTCATGACGAAATCTGATGCTGTGCCTGCTCTACGTGTAAGCTCTTGCCTGCGTCGCCATGTCCTAGGAGCCCACGAAGTCTTGGGGGGACTAATCAGAGGCACAAAATAGTAGCCACCGAGCGTGCCAATGTTGCTCAAACCGACATCAAGAGCCTCCTCCGTGTCCAATGACCTCGTTCATGGACACCCGTGGCGTCGCAGAACAAGGCAAGCCGCAGAACGGCAATAGAATCCTTCGGAGTGCCTCTAACGGGCCGGCCGAGGCCAGAGACCGACTTTGTCCATGTCATGGAGAGAGAAAAAATGGCCCCTCATGTGTCAGACAGCGTTGCACCAAAACGTGGCCTTTGCCAGGCACCCGCTGCTCTCGTTTATGATCACAATAAGTGCACAATTCGGCACGGTGATGCATTCGACTTTTTCTCTCTTTTGTGTGTGCGCGCGCGTGTGCGTCAGTGCAGAAGGAGCTGGCCAGATGCGGCAAGCTCAGACTCATTACACCGATCGACAATGTCGGTGTATATGACTCTTCGTACTGTTGATTGGCCGACTTTTCATTCACCTTCGCAAATTTTTCAAAACGGATAAATGGCATTTCGGTGGCTCGGCAGCAAACCCTCGACGAAGCTGGTTGCACAAACTTTGTCAAAATGGTAAGCTGATTTGTCAAGACGGTCAACGGCAAAAAAACGTCATTACGACTCATCATCCGATTTCTGTCCACCGTCTACTCCGGTCCGCAAGCTCACCGTCTATGTGACTCTCATCTACAGCTCATCCCGACCGTGTTGGCTCAAATCATCCATTGCCATAATCTTCACCACCAGACTCGTCCAGCCGGTGAAGTGCTGCGTTCTTTGTCCAGCTCCAGTTTCGGGGTTGTATTGCTCCCATGCGAATCCCGTCTCCCTCCAGCTGTTGTATACTGTGTCCACGAGATTCTTTCGGAGCTTCTTGTACATTTCGCGTGCCCTGCTTCGGTACGGACCCTCTTGCTTTGCGACACTCTAATACGACTGTCGGTTAGCCCGTCATGGTTCGGTGCCCAAGAAGGAATGTTCCCTGTCACTGTGGCATATTAAGCTCACCTGCAGCTGCTTGACTATCATGTAGTTCATAGGCATCCAGATTGGACTGCGCCAATAATTCTCGCCTGTTCCATAAAATTCATCCTGCTTGCTGAGGCTGCGGATACCGTGCGGACTCCAGAGCTCTTCCTCGTCGGCGATCAGGTCCAGGGTCTTGCCGAGCTTCGGGTCGCTTGGCTTGAGCAGCCCTACCATGAAAGGGAACAGTGACACGTAACCCTTGTGGCAGACAAGTTGGTGTTCCTCAAAAGCATCGATTGTGGCATCGCAAAAGCATCCGTCCTTTTCTGACCAATGCAAATCGTTGAGATTATGTTCGATTGCATCCAAGTTCTTCGCCAGATCCGCCACATCTTCCTCCATCTCAAGGGCTTCGGCAACGTTCTTCAGCGACTTTGTCATCAAACCAACCCACGACATGAGGTCGACGTGCAGCTCCCCAGGGTGTGGTGGCTGTGGGCGTGGATAGTCGTCCAGTCCACTCGTCAAGATATGTGACTCGGATCTCCCTCGCCACCTGTAGCCCTCTTTTGACGAATACGCCGCCCGGTCGTAGCCCTTTAAATCTCCGCGCTGTGTTTTGCGGAACCAGTTATATTGTCTCTTCAGGAGAGGGTAGATCTTTCGAAGATAATCCTCACCCAGCTCCACATTGTCCAAATGTGCCGTGTGCAGGGAGTGTTTCCTTTCTTGCGCCAACTTCTCCTTACCTGACGGTTGCGTGCCGTTGGTCTTGCGGAGGCGCTCCATGAACTCCTCGATCACAAGAAAGAGCGTGGGCGGGTTGGCATAGTGTGGATACTGAACTTGAAACTCCGCGGGAACCTTGGTGCGAGCTTCCGGGCCAAGAATCTGCTCTCGGGGAATCCAGCCATCCTCATCCATCGTGTTATACCAGCTCGTAATTACCTCGAGCGTCAAATCAATGTCCCAATCGGCAATCGGAATCAGGTGAAATCCTTCATCCCAAAGAAAGCCCCGCGGGAAGAAGGGCCGGGAGGGGACACTAGTGAACAGCTCATACGGTCCTTCGAGTGTCTGTGCTTGACGTTCTCTGGCCTCACGAGTTTCCTCCCAAAAGCCCTCATTCTCCTCCTCGTATTCTGGCGCATACGATCGATCAATCATCTGCTTTCCGTGAAAGTATCCTACACCACCCAGAAGGTTGGAGAACATGTTTTTGGCGAATTGCTGGTACTTTTCGGTCTTGAACGGTGTCTTAAGCTCAAAGATGCTCGGAAACCTATCTGCAAAGGCGTTGGATGTACTTGCGATGGCTTCTGTGACATCTTCCTTGGTCAACTCCTTGCCGGTAGACGCAGATGAGAAAATGACGTCAAACTCAAATGAGCCCTCATATGTTCTCTGAGTAATATGCGAGTTACCCTTTCCAGGCCGGTGTGCCATGCGATAGACCTGCCATGCAGGTGGGGGGTTCTCCATGCCGTACTCTTCCTGCACGGCCATAGCTGCGGGTTGCAGCTTTTGGAACAGCAAAGGCACGGCCTGCCAGATGGCGTCGTCCGAAACTTCAGCGCTATGCACCAAAGTAACATCACCAGGTCGAGAAGTGGAAATCTCATGGTTCCCAGCGGGATGCTTGCCACTGCCTTCGGCGACAACAATCTTGTAGTCACCTAAAGCCTCCGAGTTTCCAAGGAACGTCGCATCGCCCCTATATCCGAGTTCGTCGCCTTCACCTTGTGGCACGAGCTCGCCTTTCCCCTCTTGTGCGATGTAGTAGTAAACGACAGTCTTATGGTCCGCAGGCGCATTCTCATGAAGTTGACCCTTGATCCTGACAGCCCAGCTGCCACCATTGCTTCCACCAGGGACTTTGATAAACGACGTTGTAATGTCAATCTTGTTGCCTTCGTCGTGAATGGTTTGAATGCCACCACTTCGTGCGTCGTACTCGTCCCATCCGTAGCCATGAATGTCTTCGCCTTGTTCGCAAGTATATCTCAGTCCTGATTGTTGTTAGCACGCAACTATCAACGAAATCGGGCATGGTTCCTCACCATCCTTAACGTCGTTGTACTGTTCGATTCTCCCCCACATCAACCCCGTCCACAAACTTTCTGGAATCCTAGAACGGACACCAAAATATAGGTTGGGCTTATACGGCCCCCAGAACAGGCTTTCGTTGTTTTGGCGACTAGTCTCGCCAGTCAGAACCGAGAAATCACCCGTGGCAGCTGTTCCAGTGGACAGGGTTGCTGCCACAGCCGCCGCCAACTGGATGAATCTGCTCATATTATCGAAATCGTATCGTCCATGAACAGACCGTGGGAGGGGTAACGAGATGGCGTCTTATCCAGAATGCCTTGTCATCAGATGGCGTAGGACCGCACACTTCAAGACCACGTTCGCCGATGAGTCGGAAGGTTGTTGGTGGGTTAGGCTCGTGGCGCAAGGAGCTTGGGGCGTGTGGGGAAGCCGCTCGGGTGTCCGGGAGAGCAACTTGCCACGCCCCTCCTCAACCACAACAACAACCTTGGCATCTTTTCAACATCGCATTGTTCTCGGCCACTTGATACAAGCCCTCCTGAACCAAAACTTTTAATTAAAACATGAGCGACTCTCGTCGCCTTCGCCGGCCAGACAGCCGCCAAATGTGGGACGAGTCGGACCGCCCACACCGACCACGCGACCGAGACCGCTTCGATCGCGAAAGGGACAGAGACAGGGACAGAAAGGACTCTGATCGTCTGCGCCGCCGGTCTAGATCTCGGGGGAGAAGGGATGGTTACAATGACCTCTCTAGATCCCCAGATAGGCGCTACAAAGATCGCGGCAACCGTGGCGGGGTCCGCAGCAGTCTGGACAGATCCCTTAGAGATTCTCGTCTGTACGATGACCGAGAGAGAGACCGACAAGATGCTCGTCGAAGATCCGCATCGCCCACTAGCACCAGCCCGCCGCCTTCAACTCTACAAACCCGTTCCCGCTCCGATAAACCATCCCATGCTCCTGCATCTAGCCGTCGTTTCAGTCCCCCGCCCCACGGCCAGTCCCGGGACGACACTTCCCCCACGAATGAAGATAATGAAGAGCCTGGTGAGGCCGACGTTGACGACGAAATGACTACCATGCAAGCCATGATGGGATTTGGTGGCTTTGGCACGACAAAAGGCAAAAGAGTAGCTGGGAATAATGCTGGCGCGGTCAGAAAGGAGAAGAAATTGGAGTATAGGCAATATATGAATCGGCAAGGAGGTTTCAATAGACCTTTAAGCCCTGGCAGGTAGTGTGACGGGTGACCTCGGTGGTAATAAGACGAGACTATACGATGGAAGTGCATGGCGCTACATTCAGGATGGGGGAAGGCTTATGAACCAAGACTTATGATTATATGCATCGCGTGACCTTCGGGTGCATCCGCTTTGAGATGGAAAACGGTAACCATTTCTACACGGTGGCATAGTTGACATAAATTCTCTTCGTTGAATAGCAAAATATGCCAATATAAAACATTACGTACGTACGCTACATGCACCCCAACCGTCTAGCCCCCCTCTTTACTCGCCTTCCGCTTCTACGGCCGCTCCCTCTTCAGACCCTTCGTCGGGCTCTGGCTCCTTCTCCCCCTCTTCTTCAACCGTTTCTGGTACGCCAACCACAGTGCTGTCTGTAGCAGCTGATTCCTCCCTAGTGCCGCTTATTTGACCAGTGCCGGCTTTCTCTCTCCTTCGTCTTCTTAGTCGACGCTCGTCTTCGGCTGTCTGCCTTCTTGCTTGCCGTAGGCTCTCCCTCTTCGCAGCATCATCCCCGTCGCCACGCATACCTTGTAGTAAGGCAGCAGCTCGGTTTGCAAGATCGTCCTGTCCTTCTCTAGGCTTACTTAAATCCGCGCAGATAGCCGGATTGCCCTCCACGTCAATGGTCTTCTCAATATTTTCTGATCCAGTCTCGGCGTCGGATACTTCAGTCAGGTCAGGGATCTTTTGGCCCGAAGCCACACGTACTTGGTGTCTGTCCTTGAGACGTGCGCGACGACGTCGATCTCTCTGATCCCGAACTTGTGGCGCCGCTGCTCTGAGCTTTTCAAGCAGCGAATCCATCACGCCGGTGTTGGTTGGCGAGAGGCTGCCTTCGCCCAGAGTCGCTGTAGCTGCCCCCTTTTGCGCTGCGTGCTTACGCTTCATAGACGCTTCATTTCGTCTCTTAATCTCCTCCAGCTGAATGTTCTTTTCCTTGGATTTCTTCCACTCCATCAAAAAGTTGGCCAGCTTGGCGAAGAACTCTCGTTGAGCGTTTTCGTCTGTAGGATCCTCTCCGTAAAACACCATAATGTCCTTGTACGTTTTCATCATTTCATCGAGATAAAGCTCCATTTGGTCGGCCTTGCGACGGGCATCCTTCATGCATCGCTGCACGATTTGGCTGACGCGGTCTTCCGGATGGAATTGCTTGGGGTCGCTGAGGTTGCCCGAGTCCAGAGACATTTGCACATTGCGGATGGTCTCAATGTACTTCTTAGCATCCGTCTGTAGCTGATCCACATTGATCTTTTGCGCTGTCACGACGCCACCAATATCGTTGGCGAATCCCTCCCATTCAGGATACTGGCTTCTGACTATACGCTCCACCAAATCTGCCAGCGAGGATTCGTTCTTGTCATCCTTGACCATACCTAGCCGTGCTAATGAGCTAAGCTTGAAACCGCGTGCTTGTTTGTTGGCGTCATTCATGTAGTTGCCAATATCGAGAATGAGTCCGAGGACGTTCATTAGCGATACAGAGTCTCTCAAATTCTCTGAAACTGTCACAACCTGATTTATTCTCTCATTGAGCTCCTCGTAGTCTGCCTCAAAGTTTTTACTTAGCCAAAGGGCCCTCATGCGGCTCTTCCAGTAATGGTGCAACTCAAACGCCGTGTGCAAGTAGATTTGGTCCTGCCTCGTGAGCTCCGAGGGATCTTGCTCGCGGTTCTGGCTCGTCGCATCAGGACCAGTAAGATCTCGGCTGTACGGTGCCATTTGTTTTGCTACATTGTCAGAAATGTTGCACAGGTCATCCTTTTGTAGGAACGCCATGACAACCTGATTATCCAGCACTTGAGCATCACAATGAATAATCATGCGGACAATCTTCTCGACAGAATGTTGTGAAAACTTGGCAAACGCGATTTCTACAAATGAGGCGTTAGCAACTGGCGGGCAAGTATGATGTCCAAGATGCAGCACTTACCGAATGCCTTGCGCAGGTCAGCAGAAATAATTTGCTTTTTGTCACTACTCTTTGCCATTCCACCACCCAACTTCTTAATCTCCTTGGCCATGAAAAGCTTCTCAACCTCGTCCAAGATGCCCTTTCGGCTGAGCTCGTTATACTTCTCTTCTCGTTCCTCAGCTGACGGGGCATGCGCAGCCCAGTGACTGGTCTCTGGAGTGTCGACCTTTTCCCAATGCAAAGCCTTGAGCTTCTTCTTGGGCCGTGCCACAGGGAGACCAATACTCGGAGCAGTGTAATCTGATTGCTGGGGTAGGTAGTTACCAGAAGGAATAACTCCAGGCATGGGAGGTGGTGGAGGCGGAGGAGGAGGACTGCCAAGAATTTGACCAGGCATCGGGGGCGGAGGTGGTGGTGGAGGTGGTGGTGGTGGTGGTGCACCCAGAATCTGGCTGGGCATGGGCGGAGGCGGTGGAGGGGGAGGAGGAGGAGGGGGAGGGGGAGCTGCTGCAACAGATTCGACCTCGGGTACCTCATTATCCGGTGATGTTCTTGGTGTTGACGATTCCAAGCCTGGGTGGCATGGTGTAGCCTCCACATCGCCATCTTCCGAGTCGCTGCCCTCATATTTCTTGACCTTGGACCCTAGTTCGTTTACCAGACCAGCTTGTTGCTTAGGATCGATGGTCGGCCGCTTCATCTTAACAATACGAGGACGTTCGTATATGACGCCTTCTTCGCCTTCTGTTTCTTCACTTCCTTCAATGACACCATCTTCAACATTTTGGTCAGAGCGAAGTGGTTTCCGAGTAATTCTAGTCTGGCGGCCGACGCTGCCCAAGACACTGTTCGTGAGATCACGAGGCGGTGTTCCGCTCCCAGCTGGGGATTCCAGATTATCATCGTCCATTTCTTCACGTAAGGCTCGTAAACGGTCAGATGGACCACTGGCCTCGCCCCAAACACGGCCTTCCAACTTGTATTGCGTCTTTTGTCGTTCCAGCTGCTTCTGGAGACGCTCCATTAGTTTCTCACGGTCCAAAATGCCTTGCATCTGCTCGGCTGTGTCCGCGTTATTGGTGTCGCCAATGTCATTACCGTCGACATAGTGTTTATTGCCTTTGATAGCATTGGACGCCGCAATGTCTTGCGCGTCTCTCAGCATCAGATACAACTCTCGGGTCTCCAGTTCGTTTCTCTGAGCTTCTTTGGCACGGATTGTCTGGACGTTGTTAAGCTCAGCTTTCAGACCCTCCGCTTGCCTTTTTTGGGCTTCAATAAATCGCGCTTGCTCGTCGAGTTGCTTCTGCATTTTCTTTACAAGCCCATCAGCTCCCAGTTCAAGTCTGGCGCGCATTTCATCACGCTCTGCCATTGCAGCCTCCGCTATCTGCCGCGACTCGAGAGACTCATCCTGCGCCTGCCGCGCCTCTGAGTCCGTATGCAGCTTGTCTAGCAGACTCTGGACTGTAAAGTTGAGGCTTTGCTTAAGGTCCATGTTTGGCAACCGTCGGTCCATGGCCACGTAGCTCAGCATTGAGTCAACAAGTTGAAACATACGCAATCGCTCTTCACCGTCTTGAGCACGGATGAGCATAAGATGTTGCAGCGCTGAAACAAAATAGTCCTGTGCTTTGCTCCCATGGATTCTCTGCTGTATAACATCGGCGATCTGGACTGGATCGGTGAGGTCCTTCACTTCACCCTCGATGCTGTCTTTGATGCTGCTATTCTCTCTCTCAAGCATATCCTCGTAATCAATGGCTTCATTTGTGCGAAATCTCTCGATTTGCTTGTCGAGAAGCTCATATTGGAACCCTTCCATTTTCGTCAAGATTCGTTTGATGCCACATGCTGTGAACTGGGCCCGAATATGAATTCGCAGCTGAAGGTCATGCTCTGGCGCATCGACAAGCATATTGACAAGCATGAGAGTGGTGACGGCATATTCCATGAGCAGGTTCTCCATGCCAATACCACCGGTTCGAACCTCCTCACTGGCACCAACCAGACTGCCCATTTTACCACGGCCATCAACTGTGACTTCTACCAAGCGCATCCAAGCGTCAAACCTGCCATTCTCACCAGATTGAGTCTTCAGCTCATCCAGAGCTTGAATAACCTTGATGTGGCCTTCACCATCGCGACCCCAAGTGCACAGGAATGTAAGAATTTCGCTTACGAGCTTTCGAGTTGTGATTCGTGCTGAAATGAGGCAGGTTGCAAGGGCGAGCAGGACCTTTTGCTGCATCAAGGCATCGTCGGCACCAAATTTGTTGTTCATAAGCGCTTTTAAGCACTTAATAATGTCGTAACCTTTATCCAAATTCTTCTCTGCTCGTGCATTGTCCGGCGGGGGACCAGCCGCCGTCTTGCGGTTGATTTTTTGTAGCAGTGTGACCAACGCCACCTGTCCCTGGCATTCAACAAATCGTTTGACCCAGCCTATCTGCTGTGTTCTCAAGTTGACTTCAAGACTGCCAAGGCCCTTCACATCGAGCTTATCTTCCATGACCTTTCGCACGTACCATTCCGGTGTGCCCTCTTCATCGGAGTAGGTCGTTATATCCGGTGCGGCATAGTGATTGGACCGTGCTGTCTGCCTTCTCTTTTGCTCTCCCTGCCACTCAGTTAAACGATCTTGGTAAAGAAGTGTCCATTTCTTTTGTGGCGGGTAAGCCATCATTTGTCGACGAGCTTGCTCGGGTAAGTTATGCCATCCTCGTTTTTGCATGAGCTGAAGAAACATTTGTTCGATAACGTTACTATCATCGGGTTTTGGAAAGTAAAAGCCCTCGTGGGCTGTTAAAAAGGGGCCGGGAAACTTGGTCTGCCGATGGGATTCTCGATGCGACGGCTGAGAGCCGTAGGAACTCTGCGACGAGACACTTGGTAATGCTAGCTGCGATGAGTGTGTCATCCCCCCAACATCTCGATGGGTAGCATTACCTGAATATAAGCTTAGGTTGTCCCCAGAGTTGCGGCCATCATTGGCGCTAAGGTATGATTCGTATCGAGATGTATGTAAACCATTTACTGTACTAGCGGTGCTCCCTCGAGGACCCCATTGTTGAAACTGGGCCTGGCGACCAGTAGAAGCCATGGTCATGTTAGACTCTCTGGGCCTAGTGCTTGACGGATCGAACGAGGGATACTGATGAAAGTCCATGCCACTATTGTTAAGGTGATGAGGCAACGGATCTCTGCGTACTGGCGCTTGTTCAGAGTTGGGCAAATAATCGACGGGTATCGGGGATCGTGAGCCGGAAGGTATATTATCGTAGGGGATAGATGTTATCACTCCCGCCATCATGTTGACTCCGGGATCAGGAGATATGGGTCTATCGGTAGACACAGAGGAGGAATCTCTTTTATGCCTAGATGCCCGGAGGCTAAGAGTGCTGGCGGCGTCGAAGGTGTCACCATCTGTCGGCTTTTTGTCCTTGTTCTTACTTCTGGAGAAAAGGGATCGGCCCCCAGACGATTGTCTAGATTTGTCTGCGGATGACATTGTTGCGATCGGCGGAAATAGGAGCGTAACAACTGGCTACCTATGTGAAACTCGTAAAAACGGTCAGATGCTGGCCCAAGGCCGCTCGCATGATGAAAGATGCAGCCGGGGCCTTTGTGTCACGAGTAGCAAGGGTCTACTGTGGCAAAGAGACGGGGACGAATTTTTGGCCGCTCTTTTCCCCCCCCTGACTGAAAGTGAGAGGGAAAGAGATTCCCGTACAGGCGAAGAAAGACGGCGTTGGTCTCCTTCCTGGTTCCTTGATTTCTCAGCACAGCCGTCACCTTATCTCCACGAGGCGTCGTGAGGTGCCGGCTGGTGTAGCGCGAGGCACGTGCCGGTCGAGTCGAACCGACGGATTGCTCGCGGTCTCGCTAATTGTAATGTCCTGAAACAATCAGAGAAGACGTCGGGCGTGGTGGGATTAGACAGGCGGCGACTGTGCGAAGGTTCGAAAGTGACAAATACGAAGGACTAGGCCACCGCTGCGGGAATAGGGGTCGGTGACCTCGTATCGATAGGAAGTACTAGCAACGAATGGCTGCCACTGAACGGTGATGCCTGAAGCGCAGGTATTTGGTGTGAGCTAACGTTGCGTCAGCCTTGTTGAAGGCTACAGGAGTGGTTGGGGCAGTGTTAGAGAACAAAGCGTCGTGCTTGGGATCGCTGACATTGGTCTTAACAGCAGCCTCACCAGACCGCATAAGCATGCGGAGAGTTCCGTGACAGGCCCCTGAAGAATGTCGAAACGGGACACAGACAAGGGGCGCTGCCAGGGTGGAGGCACGGTTTGGGGTGTTGGTCTGCCACCAGCTCGAGTGAAAAAGAGCCAGCACGTGGGACAAAGTCAGAGACGTCCAGGAACAACCAGCAGCAGGCCGACAAGTGACTAAACAGAGAAAACGACGCGGTTGTGAATATTGTTTCCCTCGGCCGACATGATTTATTCTGGCCGAGTCTGTAAACAAGCCGTTGAGCATCTCATGGAAGGCTGATGGGCGCTTAGAAACAGGCTGAGCGCCGCCGATTACATTTGGCAAGTTGCGTCAATTGCTCTTGCCCTGCCAAAAAAAACTGCGCCCTTGACATGAGCAGCAGCGACGCCAAGGATGGTGGTCCGAATCAACGAAATCTTTGTGCAGGTATATCGCTTCAATCATCTCTTCTCGCAAGCAGGACCCAGTGCTTTGCCACAATGCCAAGCAGATTTAAGTATCTAAGGCTTGTGTGGAGTTGGGCATCAAACGGAGATGGGGGTAAAGCCACGATGACATCGGCTTGATCTTTCGCTCCTCTGTCTCGATTACAAGGTCCTCAACATGAAGAAATAGAGGAATCGCGCCGGAACCAGGCCTTACTGCATAGGTACTTCTCAGGTACTCGCGTACTTTAAGTACTTAGACCTGCCTACTTACTACCTACCTAGGTACTCAAGAACTTACTTACTTACCTGGTACCTACCTAGGAGGTACTTGAGTAGGTACGTGTTTTTTTCCCAAGTCGACATGCCGATCGAACCCCACCTCGAAAAGCCCTGCCGAAATCACGCGCGGCCTTGCCCCCATGATAACTACTTAAGTAATTAACGGGGCCAAAGATCAATGCGCGACTGCGCCAAGCACGCCAAACTCCGCACTCTGTAGCCCCAAAAAAAGTCAACGGACACCTCGTGCAAAATCAACTCCGGCATCATCCAAACCGTGTTCAAGTCTTCACGGCAGTAGCCGTTTCTACGGCATCTGCGTCGTCTTCACCCGACATCGACAGTTCCACCGCTCAAAATGACCGCATCATCGTCGTCATCAATGTTTCCGCTCGTGAAGGCATGCGCCCTAGTCTCCCCCTTTCGGGATCATCAATTTCGAAAGTGTCCCAGTCATTGTTTGGAAACCCCTGTAATTGCTGGATATTTTTTTTCGGTCTCCTGGCTAACTTAGCTGACAAATCTCATGACGTAGACCCTTCTAGTCCCAGCGGTCGTGTCCCTCATTATATTCCTCCTCCTCACGTTCGTCATCGCCCCCATATGGCGCCGGTACCGCAACCGCTACAGTCAATACTTCCCCGTGGAATCCATATCCAACCACGCATCTGGCCTGCGGCATTCCTTCGTAAATCGTTTCTCGAGACTCAACTTTCCTTCATCGTGGAGTAGGAATAGAGCATCTGTGGACAATCCGAGCACGGCCGATTTTTTGGAGGATGGAGAGGAACTGGGCGACGTGGATGAGCAAACGTTGAATGCTATTCAGAGATTGCATTCACGCTTGGTTTTGGGGCTTGACAGCAATAGGCGACTGAGTAGAGAGTAGGTGGTGGCCTCCGTGAACTTCGTCTACGATTGAATTCTTACAGTTTCTAGTCTCGAAGAGGGTTTCATGGACGACAGTGACGAGGAACCAGCTAGGGGATGAACTCCACAAATTGCACTGTATTTCTAGCAGTGCTCCACGTTCCACAGTCTCCAAGGGAACAACGTAAAGTATTACGAGTCACGGCCATAACTACTTTGCATTAAAGATATGACATGGAACAAAGTCCATTCTCAATACGACGTCGCTGTTATATTCGGTGCTAATATCTTCGGCTTATACTACGTCAGTAAGCCTGTTTCGCTTAAGTTCTCTCGGGTCAAGATTCGTTCCCGTTGCCCCTTTTGACCGTTTTCCAGGCCCGTGGACTTGCCTGCCTTTGCTCAAACTGTTTCCACTGAGCTGTCCACCATTTTTTCTGGAATTCATCAAGTTTCCTCTCATGCCACTCGATAAGAGACCGATACATTGCCAGCCTCTGATTTAATGCGACAGTCTTCTCCCCTTGAGCTTGCTTAGCCTCCAGCTTTCTTATTTTCGTACTCGTCACTTTAATAGACGCGTGGAGCTTAGCACCTTTGGAGCTCGAACAGAACCCATAATCCCACGGCAAGACGGTTGCCTCGCGTTCTTCCACTGCTCTCCCAAACCTGATCAATGGTTCCTTGGCGAGTGGTGAGTTTATGTGCTCACACTGGTGACGAATCGAAATACAAGGCATGGCTGGACAACGTCGTGAGCCATTTGGTGTTGTCATCCACTTGAAGAGGCAGTGGTGGCCTACGCCATGGCCACAAGGAAGATACGCTATCACCTCTTTCGTATGCGGCTCCCTTTCCCCAAAAAACTTTCCACAGATATAGCAGGTGAGGGGACGCATTTGGCTGTCCAGATTAGCGTCAGCCGTAGTCGCAATAGAAAATCTACATTCAGAGCTATTTTCCTGGCCAGGTGTAGGTGTGCCTTCTGAGGTCTCAAAAGTAAAACGGCTAACCAAGGGCTGTTGTAATTGCTCAGCGTGGCTCGTGTTTGGCCGGTCGTGGGTGCTGAATACCGTTGTATCCTGACTGTCACTTGACCTCTGTCCTCGATTTCGGATCCTCAGAGAACGAAATGTTGGCAGGGGCGGGCGAGCCGTCATTTCAGATATTGGTGACTCCGGTTGTGGCAGCAATGGTGAATGAGCGGCAGCACTCGAGCTAGATGCCTCGTCTTCAATAGGTCGTCCGGTCAAAAGCGGCTCTTCGGATTCCATGGATTCACGTCGTCGTGTAAGCCAGCGCTCAAATAACCCCCAGCCATACTTCTCGCTCAATCGGTGAATGATGTCCTTGATCCGAGGCATTGTGAACACGGGAGAGTGTAGGTATTGGCGGACCAGAGTACGGCGTTCATAACGAAGCTGGGATCAAAAGAAACAGAATAACGTGTTAAAGGTTGGGTCTGTTCAAAAGAGAGTAGAGCGAGAACGTGATCCCAAGTCCCAAAAAGGGCTTTTTTTTTATGAAAGAAAGAAAGAAAAATGGAAAAAAGAATTTAAGCAGTTCTCAACGAAAAGAGTGTATCACATGAATGGTACAGAGGTAATTTTGATGTTTTGTTTTTTCAAGGCCAGTCCTCAAAATGTGAAGTAAACAAGCCCAAGTCTCCTCTACTCGGGAAGGTGTATTCGGGGGAGTCGTAGCAGCAGATGCTCTATCAAGTGCAAATGTTATTCGAGACTGCATCGCGAACCAGCAACCCAGCGCGAGTTGCTCAGGATATGGATTGCCTTCTCCCCACCCACTCCCTCCTTCCACGGTTGTGCCTGTAGCAAGATCCAAGCCCCCACCACGACGCCCATCAATTGATCGCTCCTGCATCAACGAGTAATCACCCGCGGCAAGATGCGGTTCAGGACAGAATTGAAAAACATACGCACCTTTGCGAGTGTGTCTCTCCATATCTGTTGCCAGTTGCTTCCTACGCCGCTAACATCTTGCAGAACTCACGGCTGCCCTCTCATCCTTAGAGAAGATAGCCTGGGTCCGCCTCAGTGATGACACAGCCAGGTTCACCGTCATCCCAGACATGGGATCACAAGTCTGGGCGTATGGAGTCATCCTTTATTAAGCAATCTCACGACGTCACTGACTCTCCCGTAGCTCATTGGCAATGGACCTCATCTTCGAGAGCCACCACATCCAGTCCGCAGAATCCCACAACACCATCAACCTCGAACTTCCCCTTCAGCCGCTCCAACGCGCTCTCAAATCCGCCCTCAACAGCATATCCGCGTCCCTGCGGCTCACCAAAAAAGACGGTCTGCCAATTCTCTCCATGACCATCACAACAACAACATCGAGTGCGTCTTCAGCTGCGGCGAAACTGTCGTCCGAAGACCCCTTTGGCGACGAAGTCTTTGAGCAACAGCACCTCGAGACATCGCTGCGCAGAGAGCACGAGAAGATCATTACACAAGATATACCCGTGCGTGTGCTGCATCCAGAGACCGTCGAGACGATCATGCAGCCCAGAGTCCGGGAACCTGACGTCCACATTCAATTGCCACCGTTGATGCAACTCAAGGCCATCTCGGATCGCTTCACAAAGCTAGCCCTCACTGGTGCAAATTCCTCCAAGGCACCGAAGTTGGAACTCAGTGCCAATATGCACGGTAGCCTACGGCTACGAATGGCCACGGAAACGACTGATATTTGCAGCGTGTGGTCCGACCTTGAAAATCCGGAACTGGATCCGGTGCAGCTCGAACGGCCGGTTGAGGAGCATCCCAGCACCAAGTTTCGCGAAGAGGGCCCAGGTCGATGGGCTACGGTGCGTGTAGATGGAAGAGACTGGAGTAGAGTGCTGAGTGTGGGTCGACTGGAAGGACGGGTCATTGCTTGCTTTGCAGATGATCATGCATTGATTCTCTATGTTTATGTGCCGCATTATGATGATGCGACGGAGGACGACTCCGTTGTTACTGTGAGTTTTCGTACTGACAAGCCGGTCACTCTTAACTAACTAGCTGCAGTACTACGTGCAATCATACAGCAAGTGACTGAGAATATACTTCGTGTGGGACTGGGTACGGAATAACAACTTGCGTCAGGCTCGAAGGTCGGGTTTATAGGTTGAATTAAGATATTACTTGAAATGGTATTGTAATTGGCGTGAATACTACACATCTGTAGTAAAGAAAGACAAAAATCTATAGTACGAGAATGTCCCAGTATTCATTAATTCTAATGACGCAACGCCGTAATGCGTGTGAACCCACAATCATTGGCGGCCTGCTGTTTATTCGAGCCATCCTTTGTTGTGCCTTGTACGACTCTGCTACTCAGACTATTTGGCCATAACGTCAACATATCGACCGCTCTTTCGCGCCTTCTTCGGACCTGCTTTTCTTGGTCCAGGCGCACCGAGCAAATCGTCAATGCTGCTTGCATTGCTCATACTGGTCGCGGGCCTACTAGGCGGACCAGTGGATGGTGGTGCCGACGCCGTGGCATTGCTGGATACCGATCGTGAGATGCCTGCAGGGGGTGCCCCGATGGCAGCAGCGCCAGTCAGGTTCTCCATGGACTGGGCGGTCGCCAAATTGCCTGCAGAAGATCTGAATGGCATAGGAGGCACGCTGGATCGTCCGGCAGGCGGAGGCGGCGTGCCAGGTGCTCGAGGAGGAGGAGTGCCGCTCACAGCGCGGGGAGCGCCCCGTGGCGGGGGTGGAGCAGCCTTTTTGGCTTCAACGTTCTCGGCGCCGGGCTTTTTGTTGATCCAACGCTTCAAATCTGGATCATAGACGAAGCTGCTCTGTTCACCAAGTTTGGCTTTGATGGGTTTGCCTGGTTGAGCTTCGCCAATGTTGCCTTCGGCTTTTTTCCCGCCTCCAAACCATCCTCCAAATCCCCATCCCTTTTTAGCACTGGCTGATGCAGCTGCTCGCTTGGCTGTGCTTTTGTCAGCAAACCTGTCGCATGGCACACGGTGGACACAACACTCACCATCTTCTTCTGCTGCCTTTCGGAACATATCCTCATTCTCTCGGTCCTTCTCCGCTTTCGATTTCTCCTGTGGTTGTCTCACTGAGGTTATGTCGTCTTCGTCGTCATCCATGAAGCTTTTCTTCTTGGGCTTGGGTGAGTCACCGCCTTCGACAACGGGCTGGTCTGAAGGGGGCTCATAGCCATACGGTTGGAACGAAGGTGGCTCATATCCGCCATCCCTAGTCCCTTGAGTCTCATTTGCAACGGGGGCCGGGACCATTTGTGGAGGTTCGTAACTGTAAGATGACGAATGGTATCCTTGACCAACGCCATCACCTCCGGATTGGGGTTGAATATCTGGTGACTCTTGAAGACCATTCGGGTGGTACCCGCCAGAGCCTAGAGTGGGCATGACAGAAGCTGGCTGCTGTTGGATATAGGACGAAGCTGGCTGAACAGGCTGGTGGTCAGCTGGCTGAGCCGCCTCGGGGTAGCCCACGGGCTGAGATCCACCAGTTTGACATTGTGCTGCCGGTGCTATTGGATGGATTGCCTCATACGGGCTGGGGGCATATCTCCGGGCATTGCTTGTCGAGGTTGGTGGTGACGCATGTTGCCCCTGCGCGGCTGAAGCATATGTATTGACTTGTACCGGTGAGAAAGGCACGGTTGTTGCTGGGGCGTATCGAGAGGCGGCTGCGCCAGCTACGGGCGCAGACGCGGATGGAAGACTCGGAGAAGAGCCATACACATCAAAATTGGAAGTTGATGGCGGCCTAGAAACGTTTGGTGAAGAAGCGATCCGAGCAAATGGTCCGTTATCACCATCAGACCCAGTTTGGCCATTGCCATCCTCATCTCCCGAGACAAATTTGTTAAATCGGTTCCACATGCTGTCAGATACCTTGCCCATCGTCGGCTTGGAAATCCAGGACGAGGATGCTTCCTTGGGTGCCTGTTTTAATCTTGCCAACAAATCTTCCACTGAGGCCTCAAGAATAGGATGATGATATGGAGACCTGCGCGTCTGTGAAACAATCGCCGAAGCAATCGCATCACAGTACTGCAGAGCCCTATCGCGGAAGCCGTACTCGGCGAGAGTCATGGCATGCTGTAGCTTGTAAGCCGCTAGATGCGGCGCTCCCGCAGTCGCGGTTACACCTCCAGCAAGAGTCAGTCCATACTCGTAGATCTCACTAAGCTGCAAAGCCTCAGTCTCTTTGGCAAATTGGTCTGAATGCTTGCGATGGTCCGAGCCCAGTAGGACAAAGTCTGCCTTGGGATCATCAAGCCCTCCAAAACTAGACAGCTGCCTGCTAAAGATGAAGCAGATATGCGCCGCCTCGGCTCGTCCATAGCTTGACAGCAACTTGCCCAAAGCATTCAGTCCTCGAACATCGTCATTGCTGCGGTTGCTCAATATAAGAGTCAGGGTTTCAAGCCACTTGTCGAGGCCATCCATGGCATCTTTGGTAGAGCCAGATGAGTTTTCAGTAGACACGAGTTGCAGTCCTGCACGAGCATGGGAAGGTACAAGTTCATCAACGCAATCATCAAAGTTGCCGGACAAAACCTTATACAGAGCAGCAAGAGACTCATTGTTGTGGCCGGGATAGTTGATTTCCTTGCGAACAAATTCCTGCGCAACCCGTTTATACAGATCCGGAGAGACGGTCTGAGAAATGATCATGGCATGACCCCAGAGACGCTTGTCCACGGCAGCCCAAACAGCAGTCTCGCGATCGCCTTTGAGCAAGTCGAAGCGAATCTTTTCAATGGCTCCTGAGTCCACACCATCTGCCTGCATCGGGGTTACTGCCGTTGCGGTATCTGCTGGCGCAAAAGGCGGTGCGCCTTCACTCCGCACCTCAGTGGTGTCAGGGTTCAAGATCAGTCGAACAGCCTTGTCTACTGTCGGACTGCCCTCAAGCACGCCATCATGTTCGACGAAGACTCTCAACAGCCTCCATAGCAAAAGCCGCTCGATGGAACGTTTAGCCTCCAAAGACAGCTGAGGATGAAAAGTGACATCTGGAAGCTCCTTTTCCATGGATTCGATCCCAGCAGAGAGCCAAGATATTGCCTCCTTCTTCTTGGACTTCCCTTTTAAAGGACCAGGAAACTTGACTAGGTGGTCCTGAAGAGGGTCAAGATCCTTAATATTTTGAACCTTAACTTCGCCCACCGTGCGTACAATAACTGGACTTGTCTGCCCCATGGCGTATCGAGGACTGCTCTTTGGAAATATCGTTACAAATGTTCCGCCAACTCCCCAAGACATGACTGGAGCTCCCTTCCACCTTTCGAGAGGATCATGCTCTCTGCCATCGGTGGGTGGCATCAGATTGGTGAGTGACTGACCACGCGCACGGGTAATAGGGGTATATGATGACTGAGTAAATTTTGTCATCGCAGGTGCAGTCGATGCGTGAGAGGAAGAAGGACGAGGGCCAGATTCGGATGATTTGCTGCCCTTTCTACCAACGTTTTGTATGACACCAGGGGAGTTCGTTTGGGCTCGCGGAGGGGCTGCAAATGAGGCTTGAACAGGCGCTGCCACATGTTGGGGTAGATGAGAATAGCTTCTCTTGGTGGGTGAAAGAGTAGCAGCGGGCCCATTAGTGGTAGAGGGCAGAGGAGGTGTGTATCGAGCTGCACAAACTGGTGAAGATGGGCTATATCGCGACTCTGCGCTGTCGGCAGTCGGCGCATAATTGGCGCTGTAAGACCCGTTTCCAGGAGATGCTGCTTCCTCGTCTTCCTCGTCCACTTCTCGAGTTGGGGGCAGAGACGAGACCCGATTTAATCTTGGCTCAAATGACGAGCTTGTCCGACGATCATGGTGCTGCCCATCAGCGGTGCCGCTGCTCTCAAAGTGCGCCAACGGGCTCGAGGTCCGCGGTAGATGAGGGAGACTGTGCGAGGGCCCAGTGCCATATGAGCTGTTTGGACGTGATCCCACAGAAGGCGCTGGTGAATATCGGCTGGATATGGAAATGCCACTAACTTGTTGAGCTACCGGTGCGGGCGAGTATCGAGAAGAACTGCTTGTTGGGGGAGTGACGGACGGGTGTTGGGATTGGAGCGCGGAATAAGGGTTCGCCTTTGGAGGAACAACCAAGCCGGCCACGCCAGGAGATGTCTGGGTTTCCTCAGCCAAATGTTGAGGGGTAGAGAGTTGGTTTGCTGTTGGGGCCAGAGGAGGTGCTGCTCGTGATATGGGTGGAGGTCCGTGTTGAGGCAGTCCCGGTGCGTACTGGCCTGGTGAAGATGCCCGGTGGCTTTGTCTTGAGGCCGATCTGGGCTTAGACGTTAAGGGCAATTCCTCAAAGAAACTGTTCTTTGAGCGCAGAGCCGGGACAGGTGTCTTTTCATCCCGTTGAGTGTCCAGACCAGGCGGGGGGTAACTAGCCAACGCCGGAGCGGTTGATGAAGCAGGCGACGCCTGCCCTGGCGAATACATGCTGGCACTTCTGGGAGGCGGAGGAGCCCTTTCTGAAGTGACGTGTTGAAGACTTGGTCGCTTTCGTGGCTTCACGGTTTTTGTGACCAGATCAGTGGGCAAATCGTACGGTGAAGCATACCCTCCCTTGGATCTGTCTGCAAAGCTCTGGGCTTTGGCAGCTTCAGACTGTGGTGGTGTCGATGTTTGCCCGGATAGAACGGTAGTACCACCATACGGTATCACGGAGAGATGCTGAGTGAAGGCGGCTGTAGCAGCCGTTGCGTTGTAGGGCGTTGATTGATGGGCTGCGGAATCCGTCGGGGCATAGGGGTTCGTCGCTCGTTGTAAGTGGTGTGATGTTTCAATGGTTGGGGCAGGTTCGTCAACCACATCATCTAGAAGTCCTTCATCATCACTGCCTAGAAACGCCGCCACATCAACGTCCTTGTTCTCTGCTGTTGGATCATCTAGAAGGAAATCATCGTTGTCGCCCTCCCCGAAGGCTTGTTCCCACTTGGAAGCCAAGTCCTCCGTTTCCGACACTGCTTCGACTGTCTCTGGAACGCCCTGTGCAATTCCTTCCGTGAACTCTCCAGCGTATCCTTCAATAGTCTCCTGAGGTGTGCTCTGACGATAAGGTGTGCCGGCGTCATCCCTAGCTAGCATGGCTTGTGTCGTGCATTCTCGCTCCGAAGGTTCGATATTTCTGTCCGAGTCATTCGTCTGAACCTGGGCAAAGAAATCATCCTCATTTTCCTCGTCGTCTCCAAATGGATCGGCATTGGCTTGCAGCGCCTCGGTTCCCGCCTCGCCCCGCGCAATCATCGGTGTCTCTTCTTCGAACCGTGCCGGGCCAGTGGGGGTGGTTACGTCCACAACTTCACTGGTAATGGATCGTGACGGCGCATGACTGCTTCGAGCGGCCACTTGTCTATGCCATGATGCAGAGCTGAAGCCTCCGGGACCTTGCATCATATATTCGTCTCCCTCAAGCTCAGCGCCCTTCCCATCTGCAGCCATGACATCCAAGGTCTGATTGGAAGGGAGTGGTAGGATGTCGTTGGATTCGGAGGAAGTCGTGGGCTGGACAACCGGGAACGAATTCGTCCTTTCCGATGGTGGCATGGCGCCAACGTGGGTGTCGGATCGACCCAAATTCCATTCACCGTCATCATCGTCGCCGAAAGTAATTTCGTGGGAGACAGTACGGGCAAATGACATGGAGCTAGAGTGCTGAGTCATGGGCACTGAAGGGCCTTTGGCTATATGTTCCGTTTCTTTAGCCTCATTTACAGTGATTCGAGTGTGGTCTTGGTTCAGCGCGTCGTAAGGGGCCATCTCATCGCGGGAGTTCATTTCGAGAATATGCTCTGGATCCTTGGTTGGAGAATGGTACCCCCCTTTCTTGGAGAGCAGCATTGCGCCACCGTCGCCATCGTCACCGTTGGTCAGCCATGGGATGGCAGCATCTTCTGACTCTTTTTGTTTTTCAAGAAGATGAGTTTCTACCGAGGCGGACACTCCGGCCGGTTCTGTGGGTCGTAAAGAATGTGTTGGTTGCGTAGGATCGATGAAGTTGGGTGATTCAGGGTCTTCTGATATTAGCCACGCGTTGGCTTCGTCCTCACTTTCATGCTCCTTGTCGAACCATGGGTCGGTGGGATCATGCTCCCTGGATTCCGTATGTTCATGCGCTGTAGTATTTACAAAGGTGGTAGCCGTTTCGGACTTGTGACTCGGGACAACAACATCGGCGACGCTATTAGGTCGCATAGCCGGGTGCCATGTGCTGGATGGCTCTGCGGCCATTGTTTAGATGCAATAAACAGAAGGCGGCGAATGGATGAATACATTCACTAATTCTAATCCATCAGTGTCAATAATGCCCGAGGATTGGAGAGGCAAGCAAGGAGACGCCAAGTCACCGATGCTCTGCGCAACGAAATGCTTGGGGGGAGGGACGTACATACAAGGCGCGGAAAAGAATAGAATCAAGATGCACAGTTTTCTAAGTCGGATTTCGATCCGCCATATCAGGAGAAGTCCCTAGAAGAAACAATGGGGGTGTCGGATGGCGAGATGACGAAAAATGAGGGTGAGAAACCCGAAGCGGATAGGGGCGACGTGGTGACGTGAGATGGCACGAGAATTTGATGCAAGCTGGCATGTAAGTTGCAGTCTGGTTGCAGGACCGATGTACGGGACAACTTTGCACTTCCGCAGTCAGTCAGGAGAGCTGTCATGATGGTGGTGGAGCCACGGGGCGGTTTGCAGCTAATCGCAAGCCACCAGCAGTCACGTCTGTCTTGTGCTCCGTAGTCTGCGGGGAATGAGGGACGGGACAGGACCTCCTGTTGGTCCCAATATTCCGTTTATCATTTATGTATTCCTCTCTAGAACTTCTTCTATTTTAGCAGTAAAGCCTCTGTATAGTATGGGGGGTAAGCATTCTGTGGTCGATTTCGAATTATTAAGGTTACAGCGATTTTTTATGCTTTCATTGATGAGGATATCCATAGTACGAAATTAGCTTGATGAGCTTGGATTCGTTTGAGATATAGCGCTTGGCTATAGCCGGCCGAGGATGGGAAAGTGATGGTGGGATATTCGCCTTCGATAGTACTAGAAAGAATGTCCTTGTGCACCAGGCTGCCACGGGAACTAGGTGTCAACTGGTCGAGTTGGGCTTTCGTATTCTACTAAAGTACCTTGCTGTCCGAACATAAGACCTAACAAGTAATGGTTCCCATCAAGGTTCCAGTCCCGTTTGAGAGCGAGAGGTGGCGAAGCCTGGGGATGAAAACATGTCAAGATTGAGATAAAGCACTTCAAAAAGTAAAGTAGGTATGTTTGCTTGTGGCGCAAGTCTCTCAGCGCTAAGTCACTGAATATGTACTTAGGGTAACTCAGATGGGTGCAGTACCGAGGTCGCACTGTCCACTTGACTTGCATTAACATCCAAGCCAGAATTTGAACCCCTGTTAGCATCCGCAGCTTGGACACGGGCCAACCAGGTGCAGACGCAGAGCAAGTTACGTATACGTAGCTTTAACCTCAAACAACTCCATTTCTCCTTCTCATCTGCATCCCACTCTATTGCCTGTATAATTCTAGACTGGCTCTTTTTCTTAACCCCTCGTTTCTGATTCTTCGATCATGCGCCAAGAACTCTACTGCAGTCTCCGTTGATCAGCAGTTTCTGCCTCCGTAACGTCTGACTGGACAAGATAGCGCCTCGCAGCGCAGCATGATCATCCAAGCAACGGCCGAGACGTCAGCGCATCACGCACAACTCGCTACATTGCACAAGAGGTCGCCACGTTTTCTCTCTCGAAATTTGGGCAGAAAAACGTTGATACGGCATGACTTCGACACATAAGTACAGACCAGCCGAGCGCCCTGAATCCCCAACGCATGACTCCGACTCCGACCTAGATCTCGACGTCCACGAGCTGGATCCCATCTCGACGGAGAACATCAGAGGATCTGGACGAGACCAATATATCGGTTCATCTGAGTCAAAACCATCGAGAATAGCTCTCCGGAACTTGCGTATGGGAGGTTTGCGACGTGCCAATAAACGCGGCGGCCGCGGGTACGGTGAACTTGGCCAGAACCGGGATGATTTCGACGAACATACCCGTGAACTGATAGATGAGCATGATGGAGCAGGAGGCAGTCATGCTGATGATGACGCGCCTCTCCTTGGCGGCCACCAGAAGTCTCACAGCCAGCGGCTGTCCTTGCCTAGCATTCGACTTCCTACCTTTTTTTCTGGAAATAAGCCCCTACCACATAGAGACGATGAAGCTGTAGATGAGCAAGATGAAGATGATCCTTCGGCGTCAAGACACGTCGTTGTTGGATCTATTCAATCAACCCGATTTCCGGCCAACATTGTTTCCAATGCTAAATATACGGCGCTGACTTTTCTTCCCGTCACCCTCTATAACGAGTTTTCTTTCTTCTTCAATATGTATTTCCTCCTAGTCGCTTTATCGCAAGCGATACCCGCCCTTCGGATCGGCTACTTGTCCACCTACATAGCGCCGCTTGCCTTTGTTCTCTGTATCACTATGGGAAAGGAGGCGTACGACGACATTGAGAGACGGCGGAGAGACAATGAGGCTAACTCGGAAGAATACCGAGTGCTGACATTTGCTGATCCCGAGTCACAACTTGCATCAGTCAAACCACATCGTCGACCACTCAAATCTGATTCAATGAATAAAAGGGGGTCACGACGGCAAAGGGAATCGCGACACGACCTGACTGATATTCAGGAAGAAGACAACGCCTACCATCCTTCGTCTTTCGTTCAAGAAGCCAAGCGCAAGTCCAAGGATCTGAGAGTTGGTGATGTTCTCAAACTCAGCAAAGGACAACGCGTGCCGGCCGATGTGGTCATATTGCAATGCTACAATGTGGATGGACCTACCTCGTCTACCCCCAAGGAACCTTCAGAGGAAGAGACACTCTTTGCTTTTGCCGACAATGAGCCTGATGGGAAAGGGAAAGAACCAGAAATAGCGGTACAGAAGGACGAGGGCGAGACTGGCGGATGCTCTGGAGAAATATTTATCAGAACTGACCAACTCGATGGTGAGACAGATTGGAAGTTGAGGCTGGCCTCGGCTCTGACGCAGAACATCCCCCCCGAAGAGTTTGTGCGATTGAGAGTTACAGGTGGAAAGCCCGACAAGAAGGTCAGCGAGTTCGTGGGCACTGTTGAACTGTGCCCTACGAGACAGGATGCGACGAGCCATCACTCGATGTCTAGTCATGATGGCGATTCGAATTTGGCAGCTCTATCGATCGATAACACGGCTTGGGCTAATACAATCATTGCTTCTCAAGGAACGACCTTGGCAGTCATCTTGTATACCGGCCCTCAGACGAGGTCTGCATTATCAACTTCACCGTCTCGGTCCAAAACAGGTCTCCTTGAATACGAAATCAACTCACTTACCAAGATTTTGTGCGCTCTCACTTTAGCATTGTCAGTGGTCCTGGTTGCTCTTGAAGGATTTGAAAACACGACAGGCAACGTGTGGTACATTAAAATCATGCGCTTTCTGGTTTTGTTTTCAACCATTGTTCCCGTTAGTTTGCGTGTCAACCTCGACATGGGCAAGAGCGCATATTCAAGATTCATTCAACACGATTCGGGTATTCCAGGCGCTGTTGTTCGAACCAGCACTATACCCGAGGATCTGGGAAGAATCGAGTATCTGTTAAGCGACAAAACAGGCACTTTGACACAGAATGACATGGAGATGAAGAAAGTCCACGTTGGTACTGTATCTTATGCCAACGAGGCAATGGACGAGGTCAAATCATATGTTCGTCAAGGATTCCACATTCAGCCTACAACGGACCCGTCGTCACAGACTATCCTCATTACGCCATCCTCGACGTTCTCGACTGCTGTCAATATTGGCGCTGCTCGCACACGACGTGAGATTGGAGGACGCGTGCGAGACGTAGTTCTTGCGCTGGCCCTGTGCCACAACGTCACCCCTACCGTTGATATGGAGGATGGCAAGGAAGTCACATCATACCAGGCATCGTCACCCGATGAAATCGCCATTGTGAAATGGACAGAATCAGTAGGGCTCAAGTTGGCATACCGCGACAGAAAAGGCATGACGCTTGAGTCAACGGAAACAGGACGAACAGTTGTCCGCGTTCGTATTCTCGATGTGTTCCCATTTACATCTGATGGCAAACGCATGGGTATCATTGTGCACTTTTACGACGACTTGAAGAATGCTAATCCAAGCCTGAGCTCCGGGGAGATTTGGTTCTACCAAAAGGGTGCTGATACTGTTATGGGCACAATAGTCGCCGCCAACGATTGGCTAGACGAGGAGACAGCCAACATGGCTAGAGAGGGGTTGCGAACACTGGTCGTGGGTCGTAAGAAGTTGTCGTACCAGCAGTATCAAGAGTTCTCGTCCAAGTATCAAGAAGCTTCCATGTCCATTACCAATCGGGAGACTGGCATTCAGCGCGTCGTATCTCACCATCTTGAGAACCACCTCGAACTACTCGGCGTCACCGGTGTGGAGGACAAGTTACAAAAAGATGTCAAGTCGTCACTGGAGCTTCTCCGCAACGCCGGTATCAAGATTTGGATGTTGACAGGAGACAAGGTTGAAACAGCTCGCTGTGTGGCTGTTAGCTCCAAGCTGGTTGCACGCGGTCAGTACATCTATACCGTCGCTAAACTCAAGCGCAAGGATGGCGCGCAGGAGCACCTCGACTTCCTGCGCGGCAAAACCGATTCTTGCCTTCTCATTGACGGTGAAAGCCTCCAGCTCCTGCTGACCCATTTCCGAATCGAATTCATTTCCATTGCTGTGCGGCTTCCTACGGTAGTGGCTTGTCGATGCTCGCCTACACAAAAGGCTGAGGTTGCCGAGCTCATCAAGGAATACACCAAGAAGAGAGTCTGTTGCATTGGCGACGGAGGAAACGACGTGTCCATGATTCAAGCAGCAGACGTGGGTGTTGGCATCGTCGGCAAGGAAGGTCGCCAGGCGAGTTTGGCAGCAGATTTCTCCATTGAACAATTTTATCACTTGGTCAAGCTGCTTGTGTGGCATGGGCGGAACAGCTATAAACGGAGTGCCAAGTTGGCGCAGTTTGTTATTCACCGTGGTTTGATCATAGCAGTGTGTCAAACCATGTACAGTATTGCCAGGAAATTTGAACCCGAGGGCTTATACAAGGTGTGTCTTTTTCTTGCATGTCTAACCCGAGACCATGTGTTGATTGTTTCTAGGACTGGCTTCTTGTCGGCTACGCAACCATCTACACGTCTGCTCCTGTTCTATCCCTTGTTCTCGACAAGGACGTTGACGAAAACTTGGCCAACCTGTATCCAGAATTGTACAAGGAACTCACAGAGGGCCGGTCGCTATCATACCGCACCTTTTTTGTGTGGGTCTTAGTGTCCATCTACCAGGGCAGTATGATCCAGGGTCTGTCACAGGTTCTGACGGAAGTGGACGGGCCGAAGATGGTAGCTGTGAGTTTTACGGTGCTAGTGTTGAACGAGCTCATCATGGTTGCCATTGAGATTACAACGTGGCACCCGGTCATGATCTTGAGTATTTTGGGCACCTTTTTGGTATTTGTTGGCAGTATCCCGTTCCTGGGAGGATACCTCGACCTCAAATTCGTCATTACTTGGTCAGTTCCATCCGCCTTTTCCGTCATTTCCGGTTGTCACGGCTGTTAATTCGATTGTAGGGGCTTTGTATGGCGCATCCTTGCTATCGGAGCCATATCCCTGATTCCCCCATATGTAGGGAAACTGATCAGGAGGGCGATCAAGCCTCCGTCGTATAGAAAAGTACAGAACCGGTAGACGATATTAGCGTGCATTTGTGGAGTTCGGGGGCTTTGATGCATTAGCGATGCTGGGGTCTCATATATACTCTTCGACTTGTAGTGCCAGGTGACTCATGTACCATGTTCTTTTTGTTCCATTTCTCGTAGCTGTTACCAAGTCCACGTTGTATTTGAGGTGTCATATGGTGTATATCCGGTGATGGGTCGTTATAGCTTCAACACAAGCCAATCGTTGGCTAAAGTAGGATTCCTCCGTTGCAACATGCCAGCAACACCACCTACCGCTCCCTGCGTCAGCACTCCCCCGAGCCATGCCTTATCTCCAGCGTAATGTGCGACGAATCCAGCTGGGCCCGAAACCATGAGCAGATTCTTCCCGGAATCGTTACCGGCCGCACAGTGACACTCCGCACTGAGTTCTTCAAACTCGGACGCTTGTACATGAAGACGTTGATCATGAAGCTGGCAGCCTGGACTTGACAGAGTAGGACCACCAGCAGCCAGTGCGTCTTCCATGTCTTTCTCCGTGAACTTGACACGTTCCTCATCTACTGCCACGCGGATGCTAAGTCGCTCCCCGTACTTGGCCTTCATCTGCGCGAGCCGCTTGCCCATTGCACTTGGTTGTTCCACCTCGGCACTCAACTCGATCGGCGCAGCAGCGCTGAAAAATTTCCACCAAGGCGTCGCAGAGCTTTGTCCACAACATCGTTGCAGCTCTTCCCTCCTCCTCACAGCCCATAGCAACTTCACACTCGACGCAGTGCCCCTCTCCAGAACAGCCGTGGCAACCTGCATGCCGGGAACCACTCCGGTGCCCCCGGCCAGGAACACCACATTCTTCTGCTCTCCTAGCCTTTGCAAGACGTCGAACCCCGCATGAGGTCCTCGGAGGTAGACATCCTGTCCGACGCTGAGCTTATTCAAGTAGTTTGACATTTCTCCACCCCCTACAGCACGAAGGTAGAAACTAAGGGAGCCGTCCTCGGTGTTTTCCCCATCTGTTGGCGGGAGAGGAGTGTAGTGCCTGGCGATTTGGACCTCTGGCTGTTTGAACTCGACTGACCAAAGAGGATACTTTGACGTCTTTGAATTGGGGAGCAAGTATGGTAGTGAAGGATCAGATCCGTGCGGGGAGACGGTGAAGACGACAGAGGTAGGAGAGATGGGTTGGCGGGATGTGATGGTATAAGGAATGAATGTATCGCGGTTGAGGCTTTTGTGGCTTGTCGGCGCGAGGACGTAATATGACGCTGTGCCGATGAGGCCGATACCGATGAGAGTGGAAGCCAAAACACGAGCTTCTCTGTGGGCGTGAGTGGTGTGATGACAGCGTTTGGACCTTGCCGGTACTGAGGCGTACGATTGACTGAGGAGGTGTTTTTGTGTCCATTTGCACGTTGGCCGAAAGGCAATACGGAGCGGCGATGCCATATTTTGAGAAGGGCGGCGAAAAGAATAAAAAAAACCCCCCAGAAAAGCTGAGCACTGCCAGAAAAGAAGAAGAATATACGCACCGCAGTCGTTCCCAAGAGAGCAGATGCTATCTGTACATGACGTTTGTTGTCTTGGTATAACTTTTCTTCTTCTTCTTCTTCTTCAAATCCAAGCTGGGACGGGCGAAATTCGCGATACCCTCCTCATGGGTCACGTGCGTCGAGGCGCTGAATTTCAAAACACCAAAACCAGTGGACAAAATATCTGCGAGTTCTGTACGGAGTAAAGCCGCCGTTATTGAAGGAAGGTGATTTGAAAAAAAAGCAAAAATTCAACAATTCTATTTGAATTAGAAATTTCGTTACAATTACATTATGAAAAACCTTTCAATCATACACGAGCGTCTGGGATACACTCTATTCTAATGTCCCGAGCCCGCTCCGTCACAACCTTAACATCCGCCTCTTGGCGTCCAGCCCTCCCCTGAACATATCCTTCACCACGTTTCCCCTCAAGACAGTTTCCGCCATCAATCCCTCCACGTGCCTCGGTTCAACCCTCCCATACCAAATGCCACAGCCCGCGAGCGGATGCGGTCCGCCTCCTCGCACCTCGTGACCGGGGGGAATATACACAATCACATTTCCAGCGAATTTGTGTCCTCCAATGTGACTTATCAGTCCCACCCTAGCAACGTTCTTCCTTGGAACCGCGCCCTCCATCCCTGCCGCGTCCCCAATCGTGAGATCCACCTCCACGGGGGAAGTGAGGACGTTGAAGTCTTCTCGCGCAAGTTTCTCCTCGAACTCGTCCCTCAGGACCGGCCCCATGATGCCGCATCTGGCGTCCCGCCCTCCGTGACCGCAAATCAGGACCAAAACGTCGCCGACGTCTCGGACGCCAGGCAACAGGCCTTGATACGCCGCTTTGCGCGTCAGCCTGTCCCGGTGAATGGGCGACAGGCCATCGTGAGCAGAGTGCAGCTTCTCAGGAAGCAGGAATCCTTTAGCGAGGGCCTCGACGCTGTCGAAGGAGATTCGGGGCAGGAAGGGGATGTACTTGAACGAGGGGAGGAGGTAGGCTGACGTGCAATGGAGTTCGGGGCGAGGAGGTACGGATGACGGGAACGACGAGTTGACGACGGATATGTGGTGGAAGGGCTGTTTTTGTCAGCGTGCGTCGCGCGTGAAGAAGACCAACAAAGATCCAAGACTGAAATCGACGGTGCAGGTAGAAGTGCGGACGAGGGCTGAGAAGATGGGAAAAGACAGAGACTCACGTCACTATACCTCCCTCCCCTACCGAACAACTCTTTCAAATCTGCCGCCAAATTATCGCCGTCAAACTCGTCCTCTATCCTCGACGGCCAGTCGTCCCGCCCCGTACAAACAAGCACCTGTTCCGCATACCCCGGGATCGCTCCATTCAAATTACTCTTGAAGTCAATGTCGAAACCCTTGGGCATGGCAGGCGTAGCAGCGCAGCCACAGGTTGGCGATGGACATGACGACACGGTAGGGAACGGGGGGGGTTGCCGCGTCGCAAATGAGCGGGTGTTGGAACGGGGGACGTGACGCGGCAGACGGACGGGGGAGCGCAACGCCGTGGGGATTGACATGATGGGTTTGGGGACATTTGTGATATCGATGGGTCGATGAAGGCGAGTTTATACGCTTGTCAGCCGCGGTCAGCTCGGTCTCCGAGCACCCCAGAGCAGAAGGTCGATTGACAGAAATAGTCTCCACCACGGCATGCAAACAATTCACCGGGGGTCGCGCCAAAACGTCAAGTGTGTAAGATATACAACTGGTAGTTGCCAAACTTGGAAATTGGAAACAATGCCATGTACGATGTGAGAGTATGTATCAATTTCCGGCCCTGAGCCGCATGTCTTGAATATCTACTAGTGTCTCCGTCTCTACGACGTATGCAATTCTAACCCCCAAGGGCGCTGCCTGTACACTGTCCCAATAGAAAATAAATAAAAAGATAACCACAAAGTCGCCAATGCTCAAAAGTTTCATCGCGGATACGGACAGAAACACCATCCTGTTGCTTGCAGTGGCCGCACGCTCTGAATCTCTACGGTCCCTTCCGGTCACAGTATCCTGGGCTCGGGGGTTCAGAAGTCGCCCAGCTCATAATGGTCAACGCAGTGGTGTATGCCATTGCGACGAAACCAAATATGCATAGGATAATGTCGGAAATTCTCCACCATCTAGTTCGAGCAACTGCCTTGTAATGCAAAAGGGGCTACTCAAGGTTAACACTGACGAAGAGCCATGGCCATGGCGGTCACGGAGCTTGAGCTTGACTCACGGGGTAAATGTACACCAGTGGAATACATGCAAAGTTGCCAACCAGGGCAACAAACTTGTCAAGGTGGTTCGCACCTCCCCACGCAATCGCAGAGCAGAGCATCACCATGAAAAACCGGAACACATTCTTCTTCCACTTGATCCAAGGGTTGTACTTGCCGCTACGGGTGAACAGCTCCGTCTCGATGATACGAATGGCAGGGAATATCTGTAGCGGTGTTGAGAGCAAAATAGCACAAGAGTACAACATCTGTACTCCGTTGACGAACTTGTCGTCCTGTGGCAGATTGAGCAGAACAACGGTTTCAGTCTTGGATCCGTAGGCGGCATATGAAACCGCCCCCATGACTGTGAAAAGAACTGTGATGATAATCATGACGAGAAAGAGAACGCGAGGGAACTTTGTAGGATGCTTCATCGATTCCTGGATGGGGATGATGAGGCCGATGCCTTCAAATGTGAAAATGGCGGTCCCGATGAACAGGGTCCAATCCTTCTGGTTAAACATGATGACATCTGCCAGACCATTTGCGTTGAGCGTAATGATGTCGTAGTAAAACAGGTATGCCAGACCGACCATGATGAACGCATCGGCAATGAGGGCTGTGAACCCCAGCTTTCCGATATCACGTAGAAGGGAGAATGGGAGGAAAATGGCCGTCTGCATGAGAATAAGCAATGGGATGGTGATTGACGCCTTGCAGTCGGATACCGCGTGGATAAAAGCCTGGAGATTTTGGGCAGTAAAGACGGTGTAAGCAGCTACGAAGCCGATCTGGCTGATGACAATCGAGCCCAGAATCAGACTCCGCATCCACTTGCCGTACAATATACCGCCCATGTCGCCAAACGAGCCCTCGACGTTCAAGCGCGTCGTCACCAAAAGGACAAAACAGTAGTAGCTAAGAACGCTGACAAACAGCAATACGAGGTTGCTGAAGAGCATTCCGCCGTTCAGGTAGGCTCGGGGCAGAAACAGGACCCCTGTACCCACAAAGGACTTCAACAACAGCAGTGCAGCATTCATGGGACTGTTCTTGCCGCTGCCACCGCGTGCCTTTCTCTTCCGCCTCTTCTTTGAAGGGCCCAAGAGGGCGCTATCTTCGGTCGGCTCCTCATCTCGGCCGTCGCGATCTTCTCCCGAGTCCCAGATTTCGTTTGGTCCCAGATTTTCATCGTCTTCTTCAAGTTCCTCGCCGGCAAAGTGGCCATAGATGGACAGAAACTCAAGGAAGCTCGAGGTAAACAACCTAGGTTGGTCAAGCGTTCCAGGGGAGCCGACTCCGCTGCCGCCCTGCTCGGCTTGTTGTCCACTTGGACTGAAAGCCCGCCTTCGTAGGTGATCACGCCTGAATCCGCCGGGAACCTTGATGGTGCTAATATCCGTGACTTCCTCCTCGGGTTCAGGCCGCATGTGATCAAAGCTTTTGCTGCGATTGAGCTTGCTCTTCGCTTCTGCCTGTTCTGTCCATTTGTAAATACCGCGGGTAACGTCGCCGCCCTGCAGCTGTAAACTGGAGAATTCTTCGCCATTGACTTTGCCCGCCACAACATCTGTGGGTTGCTTGCCCTTTACAGTTCCCACAGGAGACGAGTCTTCTGAAGGCGGGTTCTCCGCATCACTGGGCTGCACCAAGTGTCGCTTTACGATTTCATGATCTTCATATGGACCGGTGGCGCTGCCGGGGCCGACGCGGGACCTTGATTCAAAAGAGCCACAATGCGTAGGTGTGTCTGCTCGAGCGAAGACGGCGGGAGATTGGGACCGTGGAGGAGTACCGACTCGAGCCGCCGGCGTGCCGTGACGAGGCGGTGACTGCCCCAGAGAGTTTGAAAGAGCGGCAGCCAAGGCAGAGACGCCAGGGCCTTGAGTAGAGCTCCCGCCAATAAAGGGAGCTTCGGTCGCCTGTAGTGCGTCGCCTCCGGGAACAGGAGAAGCCCCTCGAGCAGGTGGTGGGGTTGGGAGAACGGGCTCGGCAAGACGAGCAGTCAGCTCCTCTCGAGGAAGAGACGAAGAGAAGGGGCGAGGCTGGCCGGGGAACGGCGACGACAGCCCCGGGTCCGGGTTGAGGGTGTCCTTGGGTAGAGACATGTCGTTGGCAAAGTGCTCGGAAGGAGGCGGCTGGGTTGAGGATTGGGCGGCGAGGGGTTCTTATTGCATTTCGCGTCGGGTGCCGTCCGCTGGGTTTGTTTCAAATTGTTGATGAGCACGGGGGGACGAGGGCGAAGAGCGGGCGGCGAGGCGGACAGCAGAGGCAAGACGCCAAGGCACCTGGGCGAGGTAGGTTCCCAAGGAGGTTGTCGACGTCGCGGGCCGGGGAATGGGGTGGGCAGAATGGAAATCGAGGCCTCGAAATGGTCGTGTCGTGGCCTCAGCTGACTGAGCCTCTGTTGAGAAGGTGTTGGTGTGGTGGTGGTGGACATGACAGCACTTTTCTGGGAGACTGGAGCTGGGGTCTTTGAGAGGGACCGGGGGTGAGGGGACCATCGGGCCAACACCCGAGAGGCGGACGCTCGCTGAACCAGATTAAAATTGTCCACCAGCCCACCGCGAACGGGTCCCAAGGCTCCGTCTTGCCGTGTCGGCCAATGTCGAATGTCTCGCAACATCAAATTCATTCATCGGGCAGAGTGAGTACTCGGTGACTTTATTACATTGACAATGAACATCCAGGTCAAGTGCTGGCAGGCAATATGATGAACCTCGCGGAGCGCCAGTGAGGCCGGCGGACAGACAGCTCGGGCACAATTCATTAGTGCCGTGAGATACCAAAACTGGCAGCTCGCCAAATTCTCGAGAGGGTGCAAGCGGTCATGTCGTCTTAACTCCGGAGGTATTTTTGATGAGTCACTGGTTCACTTGGCCATTGTTCCGAAAACGCATCACAATGCGTATAGTACTACTGTTACAATGTACATGTCTCGAAGTACTCCATACCGTTCGCATCAATATCCATCCCACGCACACATTTATTTGGCTTCCACTTTCACAGTGCACATGCAGTATCGATCGCCCAGGTGCATCGTCTGTGATGGATACGGGCCGGGAGATATCGCTGACCTTTGGTGGCCTTTGTTGACAGAGGATCGAACTATAATTGTCAACTGTTGGCTGTGAAGACTTGATAAACTTCGTGGGTGCAGTCCATTTCTAGCAGAGGGCTTCAAGTGGTGCTCCGTTAATCCGTGGGGCAATGTTTCCTCGTGTGCGGGATTGATTGGCTGGCGATAAGCCGGTAAAACCTTTTTTTTTTTTTTTTTTTTTTTTTTGAACAAGTTGGATGCGGACGGCGCTCGATCTGTAGCTGTTGGCACCGACACGACTCGTTCGTCTACGCAGCTTTTGTACAACTGTCAAGGCTTTGGGCATGTGCCTTTGGCCATGATGATTCGAGTTGGCCTGTCAGCCGCTGACCAGCTTGTCAGACATACTGTCCATCACCAAGGTTACCGATCTTGCAGCTTGTAGCTCGTCAAATTGTTAGCCACGATCAGGCGTGTTCCGAGTCTGCTGGTTGCTGAATTACTCCTGTACAAGCGCTTGCCCCGACACCAACGAGTGACGGAACCTGATGCGCACAGCCGTGCTCCGTACTCCGTACCCGACGGTCCGTGATGCTCATGTGGCTTAGAATGTGAGTGGCTACATGAATCTGGGGGCGCCGGCGTGACGCGACACCTATACCAACCCCGACGCAAGCTTCTTATCACGAACCGGCCGATCCCACGCCAACGCGGGGAAAGTAAGGTCACGCTTCAAGAGCCAAGCACGATGGGGCACTCCTCAGTACGGGGTCCTCCTTGTTGCTCGATACTCCGGAGTCCGTGCGCATGGTTGATAAGTTGAGAGCACACCGTCGTTGCCTACCTGACCTGGGCAGGCAGAGTCGCCCGTCATCAGCTAACTATATCCTGTCTCACAGCATCACAGTAGTTATGTAGCGAAACGTACTTAAGTGTGCTGAGGTCGCTCCGTGCAAGGTTCGGACCAGACATTGATGAGTTGATCATCCCAACAAAGCGTCAAGGCCGCCAGCGTCCAAGCTTCAAGTGCTTTCTGTGCTCCCTTGAGCTGTTGTTACACGACTGGCTCGTGACCGCAACTCAAGCCAAGACTGCCGTGGTTGCCGTTGCCCTGGCCGTCGTCGTCGGCGGATATGGGCCTCTATGGACCGCAGACGCCACAGACGTCTGACGACTGAAGACACCTCCGCACTTTCACGGCCTCCAGTCGCTGCTGAGGTCTGGTCTTGATAGACTTGCCAACAAGTCTCGCGCTCGAGGACGGAAGCGCGACCGCCTCTTTTCTTCGCTCGCTAGACGTTTGCAGTCATCGCCACACCGCCCAAGGGCTGGCATCGAGCTGGACCTGTGATGTCTCCGTGTCGTCGGCTGGCAACTATCTGTAAGCAGAGGCTGTTCAGTGCTGTGGAGGCCGTCATCACCGGATGGGCATGTTCTGCCCCCTTTCGCGCCCTCTCCGCTCCCGTCTCTCAATACAGCGCCCGCGATGCCTGCACCGCCCGACAACAAGGGCGACCCCTTGGCCTTGGCCGTGGATGGTAAGAAGAGCTCCAAGCTGGGCTTGGTTTCTGGCGTGTACATCCCCGTATGCCTGAACATTATGAGCATTCTCATGTTTCTGCGGTTTGGGCTCATTCTGGGACAGGTCGGGTTTCTTGGAATCATGGGTATACGACAACCCCCCTCGCCCTCCTCGGAAATCGTCTTGTTAACCAAGCCTAGGACTGTTGGCCACAGCCTACTGTGTCGATCTTTTGACCACATTGTCCCTGTCAGCCATTGCCTCCAATGGCGAGGTCAAGGGCGGGGGCGCATACTATCTGATCTCGAGATCACTCGGCCCCGAATTCGGAGGTTCCATTGGGATTTTGTTCTTCTTGGCTCAAGCGCTCAATGCTGCCATGAACATTGTTGGTTTAATCGACTGCATTCGGCTCAATGTTGGACCCGAATTTCCACGCGGATATTGGACAGGGTATGGCTTGCAGACGGCAGCGTTGGTCATGTCCACTTCCATGTGCCTTTTGGGATCAGCTACTTTTTCAAAGGCCTCTAATTTATTGTTGGCTATCTTGACGGCAGCTGTGCTGAGTGTTCCGCTGTCAGCCATCTTCAAGGCCCCGTTCCGAGACGACGATGCTGGCATTGTGTACACGGGGCTCAGTCTCAATACTCTTGCCAGCAACCTTTTACCGAGTTTCGACGAGCATGTCTACCAGGGGCTGACAACGTTCCGAGACTTGTTTGGCATAACGTTCCCGTGCGTATATATTTTTTGCGTGTGTAGGTATACATCGCATTTCTGACCACTCTCAGCGCTACTTCGGGTATATTTGCGGGTGCATCCATGTCGGGGGATTTAAAAAACCCAAGCAAGGCCGTCCCCAAGGGCACACTATGGGCCATGCTCACGACCTTTGTTGTCTACTTTGTCGTGATTCTCTCCATGGCCTGCACCATCTCTCGGGCCTCCTTGCTCGCCAACGACAACATCATGTCTGTGACGAGCCTGTCGGCGGCTGTCATCTTCGCCGGAGAATGTTCAGTGACCTTTTTCTCCGCCCTCATGGGCATCATGGGCTCTGCCAAACTGTTCCAGGCACTGGCGAGAGACAAGTTACTGCCTGGACTTTCCATCTTTGGCAGAGGGACCAAGAAGGCTGATGAACCCATCTTTGCTGTTTTTCTCACATACGCTATTGCGCAAGTTGCCCTCCTCGCGGATTTGAACCAGATTGCGACCTTCATCTCCATGGGCTACCAGGTGAGTGCTGGAACGTTGGGCATGTCGGTTGGCGCTCATCATTTATCAGATGACCTTTTTCGTCATGAATCTTGCTTGCTTCCTCCTCAAAATTGGATCGGCCCCAAACTTTCGGCCCAGTTTCAAGCTCTTCAACTGGCAGACGGCGTGCATCGGTAGTCTTCTGTCTGCTGCGGCCATGTTCTTTATTGACGAGACCTACGCAGCAATTGCTATTTGCGTGCTTGTTTTCGTCTTTCTACTCATCCACTACTTGTGTCCGCCCAAGCGATGGGGCGATGTGTCGCAGAATCTCATCTACCATCAAGTGCGAAAGTACCTGCTGCGGCTGAAGCCAGAACACATCAAGTTTTGGCGACCACACATCATTCTTCTCATCAACAACCCCCGACGCCAGACGCGGTTGATACAGTTTTGCAATTCCATGAAGAAGGGGTCTCTTTACATTTTGGGCCATGTGATCGTAACAGACGACTTCAACTCTGGGGTGCATGAGGCCCGGCTGCAGCAACAGGCTTGGACACGATATATTTCCGAGTTTTCAAGAATCAAGGCCTTTGTCCAGCTTACCATGTCTCCCTCAATCACTTGGGGGGTTCGCAACTTGGTTCTTGCAGCCGGCCTCGGTGGCATGCGTCCAAATGTTGCAGTCTTGGGATTCTATAACATGGATGACCTGCGGAAATCAAACCCCACGATGCCCATTCCGGATGTGCCTGCATCTCCAGCCGACAAGACGAGACGCAGGTCAAAATCGTCCGGCAATATCGCCAGGCGTGGGCGTCGAGATACGTCTGCACAGCTACTCGAGGGGACCCTGCCCACCGATGTCATTCGGACCGAGGGCATGGTATCCCCCACTGACTACATGATCATGTTGGAGGATCTTGCGTTGAAGTATAGACTCAACGTTGCCATAGCCCACGGGTTCGACAAGCTGGAGACGCCACAGCACGATGGATCCAATTCCAAAAAGTACATCGATCTGTGGCCCATCCAAATGTCTGCTGAGCTGTCTTCGGATGGCAAGAATGTGCTTACGACAAATTTTGACACGTGTTAGTCGCCACAGTCGTTCAAAACCAAGAGGAAATCTCGCGTAGACTAATACTTGCAGACACCCTCATCTTACAACTGGGGCATATTTTGCGCAGCGTACAAGCCTGGCAAAGAGTGTTTGCCCTGCGTGTTTTGGTGTTTGTGGAGTATGCGCATGAAGTCGACGAGGAGAGAGCTAGAGTCCAGGCTCTCCTAGAGAAGCTACGAATCGACGCGCAGGTTCTCGTATTCTATTTGGCGTCTGGTCATCTCAACACATATGAGCTCATTGTCAATGGAAGTACCGACGACATTGATGCCGAAATCATTGTTGGCGAGGCTCTCAAGGATGAGGAATGGTGGGAGGACTTGCAGATGCTCCGCAGGCGGACCGAGGAGCTCTCCTCGAGCCAAGAGCTTTCGCAACTGGCCCAGTTTCTGGATTCAACCAGTGCGAGACCTGGTGCATATAATCCCCACGATGATGCGGGCAATGCGCGCCGTCAGAGCATGGCCGAAGTTGCAGAGATGCCCAGGAAGCCAGACATCGCCACGCTCTCAAAGCTCGGAGTCAGCATGGGGATTCACACGACACATATCAATGATGAAGTTCTGCAGGAGCCCGAATCAACCCAGACTCTGATACAGATGTGGAAGGTTCTATTGACGATGGAGAATTCGAAGTGGGTTTCAGGGACTTTTTCGGAGAATGGGCAGACGAACTGGGAAATTCGAGACAGCGTCTATTGCTCGAGCCTTCGCAAGAAAGCGGTGCTGCAACGGGGCAGCCTTCATCAACGCCCGGGCGAGGGCGGATGTCAAGAACCGGCGATCCAAGTACACAAGTTCCCTCGTACGGCACCATGGAAGCATCTCGGACGTTGGCAGAAAATCCCGAAGCCTCAGTCGGGTTGCGTGTCCCTGAAGTTGCTGAAATGGGTACGAGCTCTCCCGGGGCAGACAAGGGGCCTCATCAGTTCGACTCTTTCCCTACACTAGACCCTCTTCGGGTGCCATCCAGTGGTGTTCAGCGATCACGCTCTACGAGTCCCTCGAAAGTTGGCGATGGAGCTGGAGCCGTCACACCGACGAGACCGAATTTCTCGCGACAGTCTTCTGCTGCTCGGTTCTCCAGCCGACCAGTGCCCGAAACCAAAATCATCGCGGAAGGTGAAGGCACCAAGCTTAGTTTCGCACCCACTGCCTCGAATCCTCCGACGCCTGGCGCTGAACGACCAGCCTTCTCGAGGCAATCCTCACTCGGCAAGTTTTCAAGTCGTCTGTTGCCTGAAACCAAAGTCAGCGGCGTAGAGGGCGCGAGAACAATTACATTTGCAAGTCCACCAGCATCTCAGCCGCATTCGGGTCCGCATTCGCGGCATCACTCGAGACACGGCTCTCAATATTCCGTGCACCGTCAGGATCCAGTCAGCCTTGTTATTCCAGAGCACGCTGAAGCATTCACGGGGCACGTACCAAACCACGGCAGTGAAGCAGATACCGGGTCGGCTTTTTCGGGACGCAATGTGACGCTTTCATTCAACGATCTGCCTAGTCGAGCGCAGCACTTGATTCTCAACGAGCTCATGCGGCAGCACTCCAAGCTGACGAGTGTTTTAATGACAACGCTGCCTATTCCTTCTGAGGGCACGAGCCTCGACGAAACGTCTACAATGCAGTATCTTTCAGATGTTGAACTTTTTTGCAACAAACTACCACCCACGTTGATGGTTCTGAGCAACACCATGACGGTCACAGTCAGTCTTTAGATGGTTCGCGAATTACCCAAACGCATTTGTTGCATACTTCCAGCCTCTCTATTTTTGTTCTTTGTCATGTAGTATAGCGCTTGCATTCGGTGCAAAGAGATGGCTCATTTTCCCCTTTGTTAACCTAAAAATTGACGATATTCACCGCATGCATCCTTTGTTACCCGGTTTCATATCTCATACCTCCTCACTCAGACCCGCGACAAAGAGTCAGCTGGATAAAGGAGAGAGGAACTGCTGTAAAGAACTTCCCAAAACCCATTCGCAAGAGTGAATCACCTTGGTTCATCGCCACGCGCACCTGCTCCCCCGTTCCAGGACAGAAACAAAGAGCCCCTGGAAAGCCAACTGCATATCTCTCCAAAGGCCGCAGCGCCATCCCCCCCCCTTTCCCAGAGATATCATGGCCAAACTCCAATACTGAAAGCCCAACCATGCGTGCATCGAGTGTGTATCCTGACGATGGCAACACGGGCGAATCCGCAGGAGCGGAGAGAGAGTCGGTGTATGAAGACGATATCCGGAATTCGACGTGCGACGGCGACATTCCTGATTCCAGAGAAAAATCAAGGCCAAAAAGGTCTAGTGAAGCACGAAAAGCAAATCTTCGGCATGTCGACAGCCGAACAAGCGGTGGATTCCCTGTACGCAGAGTACCAAATTCGCGCTATTATTCAAGAACCTCAACGCAATACGACAGTGTTTACTGCACCTCGCCAACTGATACGGCTCCCACATCGCCAGTGCACAGCAGGCAGCTCACTTACAGTATCGCGGAGGGATATGACACGCGTCCCGCGTCAAGGACGGCCGGGAAACCGGAGGCGTACCGCAGCATGGCCAACTTGAACCCATTCGGCTCGCCCCCGTCTACGACGGCGGCATTTTTCCACCCCGTCAGCCATGAGTCGATTCTGCCTGCGCCGCTTCAGCTGACCAGGCACAGCGGGAGCACGGCGACCACCAGGGACAGCGGATCAAGATTCGACGCCACGCTGTCGCAGCGCACGAGCACGACGACCACGAGCAGCCGGAGCTCGCGAAACTCGTCCAGGAGGTCGGACAAGCCGACCACGTCGTCTTGTTCCGCGCAAAGAAGAACCAGCACATCGACATTCGAGGAGCGATATCCGCCGCAGACCAGAGGAAGCAGAACTTCGGACGCCAAACAGACGGACGGCTGGCCGTCGTCGGCGCGCACCTCCGAGGTCGGCACGCCGATATCCGAGCGGAAACTGTCGCCTCGAAAGATCATCAGGAGAGACAGCTTGCCGATACCCGAGGCATCGGGGCGTGCGGGCGCGAGGAGAGCACCAGCCGCCGGTGCACGGCCCGGGGATCCGTCTGCGACCACAGGCGAGGACGTCGATGGCAAGTGCAAGAAAGGACAGGGACGTTCAGTTGAGGATTTGAAAACCGTGGAAAGATTCATGAGGAAGTTTGGAGGCCGGAGAGGGACGTGGATTGACGACACGGGCAAGTTTGGACAGAAGATTGTGCCTATACCTTCAGGGGGGAAAAAGGAGGATTTTATTCGCCAGGTACAATGTGGGAAGTTTGTCGAGCCGCACAACAGAGGACAGAGAGATTGGGAGTGGATATAGATGTTGGCCCGTGGTTTTGTACAATCTGATATGTTGGTGCTATCGCTGTACAAGATGGGTATTTTGGAGGGTTTCTGCTTGAACAGGGGACGGTATAAGGAGTGGCCTTGGGAAATAAACACGGGTGTGTGGTTGCAGAGTCGTTACCATGTCCATTTGCCTGACAAAAGGGCGTTTCTGTGCGTCTTCTCACCCCGCGCCACATGCCAGCCATGATGCGTCACCAAATCTATCGTCTAGTCTACAAGATCCGCTTGATGCTCAGCTCGCCCTTGTTCACACCCACGGCCTCCAGATACCCGCCGGCCTCCATCTTCTTCTTCCACCTGTTACTCTCGTGCCGTGCCAGGATGACCGTCATTCGCAACGCCACGTCGTTGCTGGACCGGTGCTCCGCCTGCACCTGTCCCATGGGCGTGAACGTCCATCGACCAAACGCCCAGTTGAGAATGTAGCGGCCGCCCGGGTGGCCGTCGGGCTGGGGCACATCGGCGTCCGAGTTCTTGGGGGTCGATGACAGCGTGGCGACGGCCTTGATGCGGTACACCTCGTCCTTGGGGGCGGCTTGCAGCAACGCGAGGAGCTTGGAGGTGGATATCGCTGTCGACGGCGCCCCAAGTTCGATCGACAACACCTCGACTTCATTCTGGTGGCCGTGGGAGTCTCCATTGGCCCCGCTGTGCTTGTGGTCGTCGCCGCGGCCCCCGTGCCCGTGACCGTGCTGCCCTCCAACGGCCTCTTCCTCCGTCAAGGCCCTCGCCAGTCCGCCGTCCACACCAAACACAAGATCCATGTCGACCCAGCCTTTATCGCTCTTCACCCTCGCCACGTCAACCTCCAAATCACCCACTCTGTCCACACACTCTTCGTATCTGTCCTCTCCCGCCGTCTCCCACTTGTTGAACACAATCAAGTCTGTATACCGCGCTTGAATCTTGGCCGTGTAGCTCGTGTCTTCGTACCCCTGCCAATTCTCTACATCAACCACGCTTATCACGCCGTCCAGTTGGTATCTGCCCGTGTCCCTCGCCAGGCGGTTGACTTCCAGCGCCAACGTCGCGGGGAAAGCGGAGCCGCTCGTCTCGACGACGATGCGGTCGGGCGTGACTGTCCGGGCGAGTTCTTCCAGCGCGGGACCAAGCTGGCCCACGAGGTTGCAGCAAATACACCCGTTGAGCATCTCTCGGACACCCGATATGGCGGAGGCCGAGGCGAGTTGGGAATCGATTGCGACGTCGCCGAATTCGTTCTTCAGGAGGGCCAGCCTGTACGTCGAGCTCTTCGCACGAAGCTGCGGCACGAGGTTGAGGATAAGGGTCGTTTTACCCGAGCCGAGGAACCCGGAAATGATGGTGATTGGAATTGGCGCCATTTTGCCGGCAGGTGAGAGAGAATTTCATCCGGGAGGAGCACAAGTCGACGAGTGTGCTTTGCCCTCCCCCGCTGATGATGCATCTCGGGAGATTTTGGGTGCTTATCTTATCAACCCCCCGTGTTGGCATTGGAGAAGGTGCTCCGCCCGGACGACGCCGTACGCTTTGACGTCATGTCGGTACTCGCTTCATGACCCACCTCACCATTGGCCCGTGGATCGGAATATATGAAGCGCGTCACGCTCCTGGTCAAGTACGACTTGCTTTCCACACTCTCATCGCCGTCATCGCTGCAGGCAAACATAGTGCTCAGTCACTGTTGACAAGGGTGTTCAAAATGGCATCACCTGGCAACGAGTCCGACCGTCAACAGGAGACTTTCAAAACTCAGCTGGACCATGCGGCAGCGGACCAGCGAGAGCGAGACCAGGATCCAAAGCCGAACCCAATCGTGGAAAAGAGTGCGCAACATGTTCCCAGACAACCTCCTAGTTGGCAAGGTTACCTAACAACAAGCGTAGTCACCGAGTTCATCCCAGCCGCAGGCAAGGTGCTCGCGCCCAGGAAGAAGCCCGGAGAAGATAATCAGTCCGAGATACCTGGCCCGCCAGACAGACCTCGTCATGACGGCAAAATAGAGGAATTTGTTCGAGACCAGCATCGGAGCAAGGTGCCGGGTGGCGATTCAAAGCAGTAGGACGGGGTTGGTTGGTGAGTAATGGCGGCGAATGTGCGAACATGGCCATTGATCGTGCCCCTTTAAAGCGCGAAACATTATCGTCTGTACGCGCAAAATTCGACCTCGTGCTGCCTGGATGCAGCGCCCATGTCACCCGCCTCCCCTACGCGCCGCCCGGGCTTGCAAATAGTGTCGTCGTGTCGTTCTTGGACACGAGGCAAGGAATTATGACACACTTGTCACTTGTACGGCAGTTGCACGTCCGCCGTCCATCACGTCTACGAGTGGTTCAATTCGTGAAAGAGATGTCCCCCCTTCTTGGCATTGTTCCGCCTACTGCTTCGTCCGAAAACGATCTTGCGGAAAATTTCCTATATCCAAGGGTTCTTACTCTTCTGAGCCATTCCCTGTCGGGGAAAGGCAACGCGACACCGTGGGAGATCTGGGTGAAGGTCGTGGCGGCTCAGGTAGCTTTTTGATGCAGAAGAAAGGAGGAAAAAGGAAATGAAAATTCCGTGGCCGACGCACAAAATATAAAGATGGGATGTGGACCACGCTACTCTTGTTTTGGTTAGTATATGTCATGGCGATTCTCATTGGTTCGTTGGACCTGCTCAATAATACACACCACCACCACGGCAGCAGCCTCACTGAAGCACACGTCCTGATTTAGTTACGTGCTCACAACATGGAACATGGAACTCGCATCACCTTCGCATCCTTGCAAGGCTCGGTGCAAACAATTTATTTACCTCAAATGATAGGCTCAGGCCTACACAAGCCCAACCAGCGCATATTGACCCACCCAAGTACGCCGGGACGGTGCCTTGTGACAGGGGAAGCCTTCCGGAATATCGTACTTTTCGTGGGGGAATTTCATCATGTCATGCATATCGAGGCCTCGTCCTCAACCCGGCTTATCCTCGGAACAGCCTCTCATTCTTCACTTGGAACCACCCCCCTTTGGATACAAGCGGATACAAGCACAGTCCGTGGCAATTATTCCCCTTGCACTTAAACCTCAAATCCCCAAAACACTTCTGTCCCTTCGGGCACGTCTCTTTGCCGGTCTGGCAAGTTGCCGCACTCCTTGGGATGCAAATACCAGGAAGATCGCAGGCCATGCCGCAGCTGTCCGGCGCTCGAGGGTCGTCCATGCATATCGACTGGGTCTCGCACTCATGGGGTTGGTCCGTTAGACCTCCGCAGGAGGGATATTCTATCCCGCTGACAGCGCGCGAGGCTGGACGCGCGGGAGCCAAGGTTGCGAAGTAGCTTGCCATGATGATCGCGTATTTAGGTAGCATCTTGTTGAATTGGCCGACTCTGGTAAGTCTCGTGGTGATTGGGTGATCGATTACTGCGTGTTCCGATGTAGAATAGCTGTAGAAGCAGTAGGTGGCAAGCTTAGGATTCTGAAGTTGTTAGTATACGAAAGACGAGGAAGAGGGGGAAAGGGGACTGGCTACCTACTTGTTATATGTACCTACCCATTACTTTGGGTAGTCGGCACATACACGGCTGGCTCCTTCCTGAGCACCTGCGTAGGTGCCTACCAAGTCCTTGATCAAGCAACACGCGCATCTCAAACTCTCGTGTTGAGTAACACAGTGACTAGCATCTGGCAAAGCCGATTCAGAGCAAAGAACATCTTGGTGGAACCTTTCATCACCCAAGTGTACCGAGCGCCGCCATGCTCCCATCCCTTGTTATGGTTTCCGTAACCCCCTGCCTAGCAGCTCCTGTCCCACTTCTGTTATAAGCCTTTCATTGGGGAAGAGTTTTATCTTTGCCAATATGATTTCCTGTGCACCTAATGCTCTTAAAAGATCAGCAAGCTCGCCGTCTAAGCCAACGCCAAAGAACAGATGGCCCAACGCAGTCAGCATGCCCTGCAGTGCTTCGACAGACTTGTCCTCTTGCGCGATAGCTTCTACCAACGCGGCAGCCGACTCAACTTGGTCCTCTTCGGGGAGGCCACCGCTAGAATCTCCATCTCTTGCTCGGCGGCTGGCCAAGGCGATGTTGAAGAGTAGTGATGACGCCGCCACTCGTATGTTGTTGTGAGCATCGTCCAAGAAACTAGAGGTTACTAGTTGTACCAGTGCAGATCTGAGACTAGCATGCTGCAGCACCTCGTGCACAAACAACGGCGTTGAAAACATATTACACGCCATTTGAATTGTAACTAGTCGCAGGGCGTATGGACAAGACTCTGAGCTGTTGACGAGATTCAAGACGCTCTTGATGGTTTTGTGTTCTGCTTCTTCAGAGGAGTAGGCGCTTACGCGAGGATCTGACAGCGCGCATCGAAAGAGGTCAATAACTGCGAACAGAACCTCAGGAGCAAGCTGCGAAACGGACTCGCGAATGAAGCCTGACAGATGCTCTAGGTCGGGAAGAACGGCATCCCGAGGACCCAAGTTACTTCGTGCTTCCAAGAAGGACTTGAGCTTCTGAATCTGTGGTTTCTTGGCAACATGGCCCATCCTTGCTTCCAGTTTTGCCATTGGTGGCACTTTAGAATAGAGAACAGGCCCAGAGTTCGGGTCGAGGAAGGTGGGCAGTCGTAGTCTCTCGTGTGGATGAGATGGGTGCGCCATTTGGACAAGAAGCTGGATCTTGCTCTGCAGAGCTGCTTTATTAGCTCCGCTCCATCTATTCTCCTCCTTACCTTTGAGCATGGTGATGAAAGTTGGGGTCGCTCGGACTGAGAAATGTTGCGAGATACTCATGGATTGCGGTTGAGAGATGTCGACCTTGATAAACGTGGCTTGGTTTCCAAACTCTTCTGCCAGCTGATCATACAGCGAATACATCATGTTGCATGGTGCACAAGTGGCAGATGTGAAAAACACTATGGCGCATGAGTCCTTTGCGCTATCCAGCACTCGCATAAGTTCGTCTAGTTTAGAAACAAGCACAACTCGGGGGGACCTGGTCCCTGTGCTGGAAACCTGCGAACTTTGCTCTAGGCCAAAAATTGATCCATTTGATCTGCCTGCATTGACTCCTTGTGTCAATTGAGGCACCAACATGCGGCCCATGGGTGAGTCTAATACAGCCTGTGGCATATTGACGATGTGACCGGGAATGCCCTTGCCGACAAGAAAGTTGGCGAACGAGTCGCTGAAATTGTTGCAGTTATGACGGAACAGATCATACGACTGGACGATGTTAGATGGTCAGGTCACCTACATAGTCCGAGTGTGATTGTGAGATACCTCGACTGTGAATATAGTGCGTAACGAATCTAGATATTCCTCGATTATGTCCAGGGGCAGATTGGTGGTTCCGAGGTGAATCTTGTCCAATGGCTGACCGAGGTGAGACGAGCCTGGTGTGATGGCGACGATACCGCCATCATAGACGTATTCGCGGCCATTCAGCTGAATTGAGGTGTGGTATATGGCATCGAGTTGGAGGCCTAATAGGCCCCTGGACATTTCACGAGCCAATCCGCGAGAGAGATCGTATACCAGCAAGTGTACATCCATGTTGCGGTGATAGCAGACGATTGACGCGTAATGATATGGACGTCTGAACTTTGAAGTAGTCTGGTTACTCGTACTGGTCTGGTTGGTTAACCACTGAGCATTTTTGTCTGATTTCGAGGGTGTCGCGGGAGGCGGCTGCTGATGCGGAGTACGTGGAATTTAAAGCGCAGGCACCCGCCCACCCACTCAGTGACGCAGCTAGGCACCTGGGTAGTTGCGTCTTTGAGTCCGCACTTGCTTCGAAACTCCGCGTCTTACCATTGACCCACGGCCACGGCTCTGAAACTCCGTCGTTACGCGCACCGCTCAGAATAACAGTGAACGGGGAAGCTTCCGAAGGTCTGCATCGGCTTGTGATTGATTGTCTGAAGAAATTCATCGACAGCTAACCGCGTAGGAGGAAAGCCACGCAGGGTTTTTAATTCCCACGACCTAGGTATCGACTCCCCGTCCCGTCCAGACATGATTTGCTAGTAGATGTCAGCGCAGTTGAGGAGACGGCAACCCTTGACTTGGATTCCTCCTTACGTAATCCCAGAAGCCTGGTCGCTAATACTGCGGTGCCTACAGGTCGCTCTAGCCTTTTATTACAGAGCCTCCAGTAACGGAGTAGAGCTAGCCAGGTTGACCTGCCTGCGGCCAACAGGGTCGGTGGGGAACTACGGATTAAGGACGGCGTGGGAATGTCCGACAATTCAAAAGGAAACCTCATCTCCATTATACAGGCTTAGATGCTATAGCTCTTATAACCTATTGATCCGTTCCATCACAAGCCAGACTATGCTTTCCAGAGGCCTCTTACTCGGCGGGCTGGCAAGTCTAGCTGCAGCCCAGTTTCCCCCCACGCCCGAGGGAGTCAAGGTCATCAGGTCCAAGTTCCACGAGAACGTGACCATTTCTTTCAAGGAGGTGATACCGGCCCTATCTCCGATATGTCGAGCAACTGAAATCTCTGATCATAAATTTTCGTAGCCTGGACTTTGCGAGTCCACACCGGGCGTCAAATCCTACGCTGGTCACGTTCACCTTCCACCGGGTTCGTTGGATGATGGGTCGGGGGAGAAGCAGGATTACCCCGTCAACACGTAAGTTTCTAGTAGGAACCAGGACGTTGGTAAAGGGTGTTGACACTTCAACCCTGAGAGGTTTTTTTGGTTTTTCGAGGCCCGTCATGAACCCGAAAATGCTCCGTTGGCCATTTGGCTGAACGGTGGCCCTGGTGGCTCCTCCATGATCGGTCTTTTGAACGAGAACGGTCCCTGCTTCATTGATGACGATTCCAGGTCCACAATCCACAACCCTTGGAGCTGGAATAACCATGTCAATATGCTCTACGTTGATGAGCCTAACCAGGTTGGCTTTTCATACGACATTCCCACCAATGTGACCATCTTCACTGGCGGTGAGGAGGCCAAGATTGTCCCTGCCAATTTTTCGAGTGGAATCCCTCATACCAACCTCACAACTCGAATCGGCACTCTTTCCAGCCAAAGGTCGTCTCACACCACCAACAGCACCCAGCAGGCCGCCCACGCTCTGTGGCACTTTGCCCAGATTTTCTTCGCCGAGTTCCCTCATTACAAGCCGAATGATGACCGAGTTAGTATATGGGCTGAAAGCTACGGCGGTCACTATGGACCTGGATTCATGCGCTTTTTCCAGCAGCAGAATGAGAAGATTCTCAATGGAACGATTAATGTCGAACACGCCCACTACCTTCGCCTTGATACTCTGGGTATCGTCAATGGGTACCTTGATGCCGTCATCCAGGAAGAGGCGTCCATCATTTTCCCCTTCAACAATGTAGGTATAGTCTAGTGACACAAACGATTTGTGTCGTACTGATAGACTAACAATTTCATAGACTTATGATATCAAGGCCATCAACCAGACCGTGCATGACGAGCTAATGCACAACTTTACTCACAAAGGGGGTTGTCGCGATCAAATCATTGAGTGCCAGAAGGAGCTTGTTGGTATCGACAAGAATGCACTCAGGATATCCCGACGATTCCCGTCTGAGCTGTGCCCCAAGATGGAAGACGCGTGCATGTCAAGTGGCGAGACGGCTTTCGAAAATAATAACAATGCTCGTTTCGACATCTCGCACCCCAAAAATGACCCATTCCCGCCCCCACACTACATCGGCTTTCTAGACGGACAAGGACCTCTTGGCGCTCTTGGCAGTCCTGTCAACTTTACAATGTCTTCGCAGACTGTCGCGCTGAACTTTTTCACCACCTTGGACGAGGTTCATGGCGGATTCCTGGACGCAGTTGGATATCTTCTCGATTCGGGTGTGAAGGTGCACATGATGTACGGTGACCGTGACTTCGCTTGCAACTGGATCGGAGGAGAGATGTCGTCTCTTGCCATCCCCTACTCGCGCGCACAAGACTTTCGGAAGGCCGGCTACACCCCGTTGATTACGTCTGAAGGTGTTGGCGGACTTACCCGCCAGTTTGGCAACTTCAGCTTTACCCGAGTCTATCAGGCTGGACATATGGTTCCCATGTATCAACCCGAAGCTGCGTACGAAATTTTCATGCGTGCCATGTTCAACCGCGACATCCCCACCGGCCTGTTGCCTGTACACGATGAGCTGTCGACTGTCGGCCCCTCGGACACATGGCATGTGAAGCAGGCTCCTCCTGAGGCGCCGGAGCCCAAGTGCTACATCTTGGCTCCTGAGACGTGCACGCCCGAGGTGTGGGAAATGGTGAAGAGCAACAAGGTGACAGTCAAGGACTATTTTGTTGTTGAGAATGAGGAAGTGAGCGATTGGGAGTTGTAGACCTGCCGCGATGGAAACCGATCTGTACTGCTAGTAGTTAGGCGAGGACCACTGTTGAGTCCATCGGTTAGTGCTAGCGCCATGTCGAATACCTATTAAAAAGCCCCCATTTCCGCTCCAAGCAAAGTCTACGTGCTGTGGCAAACGAGTGGAGTCGGCGCAAGTGGGTTTCCGGCGCTACTACTCCGTACTCCGTAGATCTAGATTTATTACTGCGTACAGTACAAGTTCACCGTGCGGCTGCAACGTCCGACCACCACACATCTCCTTTTCCCTCGACTCGGACTTTCGGTACCCACCATCTTCGAAGCCGCCATCGCCGTCGACCATCCCGTCACTGCCTTTACGCTACTGTTTTCGTCTTGTGCGGCACTGTTCTTTTTTGCTTCCCTCGAGCACCTGCTATTCCCTCTTCGTTACACTCCCTCGAATATATTGTTTGCAGCTTGCTATTCCAAGGCTTGCCTCAGCGTCACTCGTCAAACACGTTCCAATAGTTGCGCTTTTCGTGTCAGGTCACTTGCCTTCTCAATTGAAGGGTGGCCCTGACTTTGGTCCCGAACTCGTCCCTCATGAGAAAACAGTCGGTCTCGCTGCCAACAAAACATACCGTTCACGACCCTCACGAGAAACCCGCTCGATACGGAAACGGTCGGCCTCAAAGTGCTTCTGCGAGGATGAAGGAACAGTGGATGTCACAGTCGCAAAAGACTCGGTGGGTCAAGACTGTTGCGATTGTCTTGTCAGTATGTCTGTTGTTCTACTGGCTGTCGCCGAGAGGCGTTGACGTCTACGGTGAGGGTGCGTATTGGATTGTTCTGCGGCGGCAGTAAAACACTTGCTGATGGTGTTTCTCTTGGCAGTCTCTCACAAGACAGGTACCACGGGCACCGCGCCCGGCGCCAACAAATCCAATGATGGCCAGGTGCCTACAGATTCATCCTACGGAACCACTCGATGCGCCAAGTCCTACTCCAAAGACAAACCAATTGTACAGTATGTCCTCATGATTGATGCTGGAAGCACTGGCTCCCGAATCCACGTGTACAAGTTCAACAACTGCGGTCCCGTCCCTGAACTTGAGAACGAAGAATTCAAAATGACTGAGAAATCTGTCGGTGGCCTGAGCAAGTACGCCGACGATCCCATCGCCGCTGCCAAGTCACTGGATCCTCTCATGGCTGTCGCCATGGACAACGTCCCTGAGAAGCTCAAACGATGCAGCCCTGTCGCTGTCAAGGCGACTGCCGGTTTGCGCAAGGTTGGCCCTCTGAAGTCTGACGCTATTCTCAAGCAGGTGCGCGAGCACCTTGAGAAGAACTATCCTTTCCCTGTTGTCTCTGATGAAAAGGGCGGTGTCGCTGTCATGGATGGTGCCGATGAGGGCGTCTACGCGTGGATCACGACCAATTATCTTCTCGGCAAAATTGGTGGTCCCGACAAGAGTGAGACTGCGGCCATTTTTGATCTAGGCGGTGGCTCGACTCAGATTGTTTTCCAGCCTACCTTTAAGCCGGCCAAGGCCGGCGGCATGCCCGAAAAGCTTGCCGAGGGCGATCACAAGTTCTCTCTTGACTTTGGCGGCCAAGAGTTCGAATTGTACCAGCACTCTCACTTGGGCTATGGTCTGATGGAGGCCCGCAACGCTATTCACCGGCTCCTCGTAAACGACATGAAAAAGTCCAAGGGAAGTGACACCACCTGGCAGACCAAGGCCATCGTACATCCCTGCATTACCCCAGGCCGCACTCGCGAGATCGAGGTCGAATTCGACAAGGATAACAAGAAGACGTACAACTTTACGGGTCCCGCAGAACCCTCCGCTTCCCACGCGTCTCAATGCCGCAGCCTTGCCGAGCGAATCCTAGAAAAAGACAAGGAATGCAAGCTCGCTCCTTGCTCGTTCAATGGCGTTCACCAGCCATCGCTTGCTCAGACTTTTGCCAAGGAAGACGTATATATTTTCTCTTACTTTTACGACCGCACCCACCCTCTCGGCATGCCCGATTCCTTCACTATCCGTGAGCTTCACGACCTGGCGCAGACTGTGTGCAAAGGTCCGCCGGGATGGGGTACTTTTAACGGCGTTCCTGGTGCTCTTGAGGAACTGAGGGGTCGTGAGCAGTACTGTCTCGACTTGAACTTCATGACTGTACTTTTGCACCAGGGATACGACATGCCTATTGATAGAGAGCTCAAAATTGCCAAGAAAATTAAGGGCAATGAACTAGGATGGTGTCTGGGTGCTAGGTATGTCGATCTCCTCGAGAAGAATGCTTTATCAGTGACTAACAACAGTGCGTAGTCTGCCGCTTTTGGAAGCCAACTCTGGATGGTCATGCAAAATTAAACAAATTTCATAGAGCGAGCTTCGCACAGGACTTTCATCAAGCCCTTTATGATTTTAAGCATTGTGTAATTAATTTCTATCATTTGGCACGAAAGAATGCGCACGACGTCTTGTGTCAGGATTCGGCTGCGGGTTTCCAAAAACAACAAGAGTTCAAATAGCCGTCATGATCGCGGCTGGAGTTGAGATGGTGAGGTTTTTTTGGGTTCAGTCACGAACTGATTCGTGGATGGTAAGAAATAGGCGCCGCAAAAGAATTATAGAAACTTCTAATATATCAATTGGACGGTCATATCGGCGCCGTCACCATACCTAAAACATCCTCGACAACTTCCTCTGGTCCCACATCTGCCAAGATGGCTGCCACAGCATCCAACGTGCTTCCCCATTGCATGCTACGCTCATTCTCTGGGGACGTGATTCGTATCCGGTGTAAATAAACCTTCTTAACCGCAACGCCCACAAGGGCAGGTGTAACGAAGTCTATTCCGTGTAGGGGGGCAAGACACCGCATCAGCTTGTCAAGATGTTTTGTTGCATTGGGAGTTACACCGTCTGCCACGGCACGGTGCATGCGTAAGAATGACACAATGTTCATTTGGTAACGTATTACCTCGACGTCGACTTGCACTTGTTGGCTGAGCTGCGCGAGATGGCTTATTTCCTATGCGTCTGGTCAGCACTTGGCTCTCAAACTGAGCTGCGAAGCAACCCATACGCTTTCCGGTATCAAGACTGGACTTTTCTCGTCCCGCCCAGTCGCGCGCTCTGTCGATTCTCCCTCCACCTCTTCCTCCTCGTCAATGTTCACAAACCCTTCTTCAGGATCATGCCAATGCGCCAAGAGAAAGAAGTCGTTCAAGTGTGGTGTCACTCGCTCTCCCCTCCCAGGAGCCTCTGCCTCCAACACGGGTACGAAGATGAACTGCTTAGGGGCGGCTTGCACTGAAGTCCGTGTGAATATGCGTCGCGTACGGAGTAACTCCAGAGCCTGGATTTGGACGGACTTGTGGGCGAGATTAAAACTCTTGGCAATGATGCAGTTTGCGATTTGGGAGCTCGGCAGGGGCGGAGGCGTGTGCGCGCTGCGCTGTGGGCTCTGCGCAAAGTAATCTGGTTGTTGGGACTGTTGGGCGGATTCGGGATGGAGGAGGAGAGCGGAAGCGAAGTCGTCGAGGGTCGTGGAGGGCGTGCAGTCGATAACGGAGCAGGTTAACCCGAAAGTATGGATTGCCACGAGGCGGAGTTCGGTGGCGAGGAGAGAGAGACAGGCAGAAGGGGTGGTTATTATGCCGTGTTCGCGGGAGATGAGACAGAGGAGGATGGCGAGTTCGAGGTCTGATAGTTGGAGGATTTTGGAGATGATGGGCGAGGTGGAGGAGGCCATGGCTCGCGCTATGAAGAAGTCATGTCGGTGAGGAGAGTTGTAACACCGGCTCAGTAGGCCCGAGTGAGTACTGGATGATGTTACCGTCCCAGGTCGTCGTCGTCAATGAGGAGAGGGCCGTACATTTCGCAAACTGCGATCGTGACGGCCTGATGGGTCCGCTGGAGGTTTGTCATGGAGTCTGATCTGTCACTGTGGTGGCGTGGCGGACCTATCCACCAGGTGTGAACGCACGGGTACCTCCCCATAAGCTTACTTAAGGCACTTACTACTACTCAAGTACCTACCTAAGGTACCTACCTAGGTAGTAGTCAGTAGTATACGGAGTACTCCGTACTCCGCACTACAATAACATTGACGTTTTACCCTGGTCCTTCTGCAATCGGCGTCTCGTCTGGGTCCGGTGCTTGGTACTGATAACTGGAAATCGATTTGTTCAGCGATCTGCCCACCCGTCCAACGTCCGGCTTCAGCGCCCAGTCGCCGCATCAAACAACCACTCCTCCACTGCCCCTTTCACACGCATTCGCATCTCGTGTTCATCAACGCCTGGCCATTTCCGTAAACCTACCCCGACATCTTATTCCACGAGCACCGCCCTAGGTATCCAACAGCCACCTATTTCCCAACCAAACGGCCTGCTTGCCCCCTCGCTGCTTGAGCGCTCAGCGCTCCCGTCCATCACGTCATTGGCGATCCCTCCGCACTTGGCCACAAGCGTCTATACGTCACAGCCGTCAACATGTCTTCGCGGAAGAAGGTCCTCCTCAAGGTATGGCTGGATGAGCTGCTTGGCCGTGTCAAATCTTGGATTACAGGCGGACACTGACGGGTGCAGGTTATTATCCTTGGAGATAGCGGTGTCGGCAAGACGAGCTTGATGAATCAATATGTTCGACTTTCAAATCCCCCGTTTCCACCCGACGACCTCGCAGAGTATACTGATAGGGGATGATCGTAAACAGGTCAAGAAGAAGTTTAGTGCCAGCTACAAGGCCACCATCGGCGCCGACTTTTTAACACGAGAGGTCATGGTGGACGACAGACAGGTCACTATGCAGGTGGGTTTGGACGGACTATCATGCGCGTCCAGGATCAACGCTAATTGTTGATGCGGTATTCACAGCTCTGGGATACTGCTGGACAGGAGCGATTCCAGTCGTTGGGAGTCGCCTTCTACCGTGGCGCCGACTGCTGCGTTCTCGTCTACGATGTCAACAATGCCAAGAGCTTCGAGGCTCTCGACAGCTGGCGAGATGAGTTTCTGATCCAGGCCTCACCGCGGGATCCTCCCAACTTTCCATTTGTGAGTGGTACTTCGGGCATGTGATTGTATGACGTCAACTGAACCTGTGTAGGTTGTTCTCGGAAACAAGATTGACGTAGAGGAGAGCAAACGAGTGGTATGATGTGGCGATGGCCTTAATTTCAGATCGAGGAGGTTAACGTCTGCCAGATTTCAAACAAGCGCGCCATGACTTTTTGCCAGTCCAAGGGGGATATCCCGTACTTTGAGACCAGTGCCAAGGAGGCCATCAACATTGATCAGGCTTTCGAGGGTACGATGCCACAGCCACAAATCAAATTGTTTTTTGTGCTAATGGAAGGCAGTCATTGCCCGAAACGCTCTTGCACAAGAAGAGTCGGAGGAATTTAGCGGCGAATTCGACGATCCTATCAACATCCACATCGACAACGACCGTGATGGCTGTGCCTGTTAAGGGTATACGAATGATAGCAATGTGTGGAATTGTAATGGGTATATGTGTCGCAGGGTGTTCAAAGCACCATGTCAGTACCTGAAGAGGACATCGTCTTTTTGCGACTCACCATGGGTGCAGAATACTGAGTATTGAATGCACTTTTCTTGTTTCGGGTGTCTTATGAATGCTTCTCCTTTCAACTTTGTGTTTTCTCCATCCTCCTGCTCTACTGTTGTTTGGTCCTGATTTGTTACGCACTGGTTTTCAGCTTGGGTTTTAATTAGGTATCGCCACTGATCGAAATGTGGAAACCGCTTTCCAGGCTTCATGCATTGCATAGAGCTGATTAGAATGTATGTATCTTTATCAGGTGGTAGATCAGGTATGTAGAGCGGGTGGCAAAGTGTCTGTCAAATACATCGGGATGTTTACCCAAGCAGGCGCCAGCTTCGAATCCTTGGTTAGGAATTTAAAGAACTGTACGACGGATGACATGAAAGAAGCACAAACGGGCTCCCCTAAATCCTGATGACGTTTAGTATCTGAGTGGTAGTTACTGATTATCAGTATGAGGGATTTGCTATAGGGTAGCTTGGAGCCGTCGAATCGTATGGCGGTTTGCTGACCCGCCATGGCCGAGGCAGCCGGCAGAACCCCCTTGTCGACTCCCCCAGACAAGCAACTCGATGGGCCTGCTCCATAGTGGCTCGCTCGAGACGACTTGCGTCCACACGGTGCCAGTTATGCCGAAGTAGCGTTGATGCAAAGGACCTCGGCTCCTCTTGCGTACTTAAGAATGCCAGTTCAAGTGGCAGCCTCGACGTATTTTGCCCTGGTTCTCTTTAGTTTCGTTGAGTCTCAGTAGCCATCTGTCATAATAATCCACTCTACCCCGGACCTTCCGAGTCCTGTCTTTCTGATCCACGTTTAGTGGCTTCTTTGCTCGCCGTGTTACTCTGACAGACGGTTTATTGCCAGCATCGCGGAAATGTCCGATAAAATACCCGCCATCGTATGTGCTGCTGTTGACCAGAGACTTTGCTTGACTGATGGTGCTGACTCTGCAGGTCTCACACTTGGTGAGCGGTGAGGCCAAGAGCATGATTGACGTGGTGGCCAAGTTTGTGGAGGAAGAGTGCATCCCGTAAGGCCTCAGCCAAGGACCCATTGCTCTGGCATCACCTTCTTCAACTGACCACGCGGCAGAGCTGATCCGGTCTTGGAAGCCCAGGTCGGCGAAGGCGATGACCGCTGGGAGAACCACCCGAGCATCCTTGAGGAACTCAAGGACAAGGCCAAGAAGCTTGGTCTTTGGAACATGTTCCTGCCCAAGGGATACTACAAGGAATCACCCGGATGGACCAATGTCGAGTACGGCATCATGGCTGAATGGCTCGGCCGCTCACGCAGTGCCTCGGAGGCATGCAACTGCGCCGCTCCCGATACGGGCAACATGGAAGTCCTCGCCAAATATGGCAACGAGGCCCAGAAGAAGCAGTGGCTGAAGCCCCTCATGGACGGCAAAATCCGCTCTGCCTTCCTGATGACGGAGCCTCAGGTTGCTTCGTCGGATGCCACCAACATTGAGTTGGACATCAAGCGGGAGGGAAACAACTATGTGCTCAACGGACAGAAGTGGTGGTCCAGCGGCGCTGGCGATCCTCGATGCAAGATTTACATTGTCATGGGCAAGACCGACAAGGCGAATGAGGATCCGTACAGACAGCAAAGTGTAGTGCTGGTGCCTGCTGATACGCCCGGAATCAAGATCAACAGGATGCTCAAGGTTTACGGATATGACGATGCGCCTCATGGCCATGGGCAATTGACCTTTACAAATGTCAGGGTTCCGGTCAGCAACATAGTGCTTGGAGAGGGGCGAGGATTCGAGATTATTCAGGGTCGTTTAGGACCCGGCAGAATCCACCACGCCATGAGAAGCATTGGTGCCGTACGTTTTCGTCTTTTCTTTTCTTTCCTTCTTGGAAAGACAAAATCCAGCCTTTCTTGCCCCTCGCTTGTGAACTTGTGGCACTAACAAGCTTTTAGTCCGAAGTCGCTCTCGACTGGATGCTCATGCGCGTCAATGACGACCGGAAGAAGCCTTTCGGTAAGCTCCTCCGCGAGCACGGTGTGATTCTGGAATGGATTGCAAAGTCCCGCATCGAAATTGACTCTGCGCGTCTCATCGTCCTCAACGCCGCGCACAAGATGGATCTCCTGGGTCCAAAGAAGGCCCTCAAGGAGATCGCCCAGGCCAAGGTGCTCACCCCCCAGACGGCCCTGACTGTCATTGACCGCGCTGTTCAGTCCTTTGGCGCGGCTGGCATATGCCAGGACACGCCTCTTGCCAGTATGTGGGCTGGTATTCGAACCTTGAGGCTGGCCGATGGCCCTGACGAGGTGCATTTGCAGCAGATGGGCCGTAATGAGAATAAGCGTGGCAAGGAGGCAACGCAGAAGATTCAGCGGCAACAGGAGAAGACGCTGGGTTTGACGAAAAAATACAGCACAAAGACGGATCAGCCGGGTGCCAAGATCCGCCATGCCAAGATCTGAAGACAGCCTGAACAATCTAGCACAGGCTCGAATGGTAACTAATGCAGTGAAAATGCGTGACGAGCTGTCTCAATACCTGTGTTTCTGGAAGCTGGGCGTGCGCAGGCGAGAAGACGTCTAATGGAATCATTCGAACTATTTAACGTCTCGAGCTGGTATCGCACACAAGCGGGAATGTCGGGAAGATGATGCGAGGAAAATCTGTATATTAATAAGAGCCGTGTTTTTAGCTTCAATGGAGAGAATTATTCAGCCTCTAGTAAGATCGGCGCATGGGCCATCGGGGCATCTTGTGGTGCAACAGCCGACCACCAGACGAGGCCCGCTCTATCCTCTCGGATATGTCAGCACGGCGATCGATTCTCTTTGCTTCCCCTCACGTCTCCGGCTATTGCATCTCCTGTCCCGATGAATTGGCTCGTTTGTCATCGCGCAGCTCAACTCCACTCAATTACTCCAAGTGCCGCGGCAACGCTGCCTTGTTCACTGCTATCTATTTCTTCTCGCCATCCAGTTTGCGCCGTCTCTCGTCCTTCAGCATCACAATTCGCTGCGCAACCGTTTCCACAGACAGTCCGCAAATCCTCCGCCATGGCTTCTGCAACCAGCTTTTACGATTTCAAGCCGCTTGACAGTTTGTTATTCCATCGCTGCCCAAAGTGCCGCACGGACTTGGCATTTGCTAACCAAGTGTCACCGTGTAGAGCGCGGCCAGGAGGTTTCTCTCGCCGACCACAAGGGCAAGGTGGTCCTCATCGTCAATACCGCTTCCAAGTGCGGCTTCACTCCGCAGTACGAAGGTCTTGAGAAGGTCTACAAGTCCATAAAGGACAAGTACCCCGATGATTTCACCATCCTTGGCTTCCCCTGCAACCAGTTTGGTGGCCAGGAACCCGGCACCGATGATGAGATTCAGAATTTTTGCCTCGTCAACTACGGCGTCAGCTTCCCCATCATGCAGAAGATTGACGTCAATGGTGACAAGGCCAGCGATCTTTTCGAATGGCTCAAGGCCGAGAAACCCGGTCTGATGGGCCTCAAACGCATCAAGTGGAATTTTGAAAAGTTCCTGGTCGGCCGTGATGGCCAGGTCAAGGGTCGCTGGGCGAGCACCACGAAACCCGAGTCGCTCGAGAAGCCAATTCTGGACGAGTTGGAGAAGAAACCCGCTGGAGAAGCAAACCCACGCCTTGCGTAGCTGCTGTATGGAAATGGTGTCAGAATTCTAATCACCCCCACGTCGAAATAGGCTCGCGGGGACTCTGCATCCGGGTGAGGGTTCTTTTTTTCTTTTTTTCCTTTTTGGGTCTCTCTGCAAAGTACATACAAGGACATGTGAAGGTGGTATCATGGGAGAGCTGGCGGGCCCGGCTCCAATCAGGCAACGAACCTTGCGGATTTCTTGTTGAATATCCTCTTCAAATTAGTCAGTATACATCCATACCAGGTTCTCACGTCCTCTAGCTCTGCATGGGGAACGCCGAGACTGCGAGCAATTGGGCCGATACAACAATCGAGCAACTGTCCGATCACGCTCTCAGCTGTGCCCCTCCAGCGAACCAAGTATGCAATATCACTTGCTCCAGGTCCTCAGTCGAGGAGGCAACGACCTTTGGGTGTCGTTGATATGGCTCCGACACTCGTAGCCCAAAGCCATGTTCTCTATCCCTTGACAGGGACGCGGCGACTTTCCGTTCTGGGCGCCATGAATCTTGCTAGAATAGAGAGTCGGCTTATTGTGATGCCAGTGACGCAATTAAGATCAGTCAACTTGATCCATAATCTATCAGTGACAAGGTGACGCAGCATTCTGCTGCTATTGTGAAAAAGTCGACCCTGACCAGTGACAGTGACAACTCTGGCTCGATGAGCGAATTGTCCGCCCGGGAATCCATAATAAACAAAAGTCCGCGTCATGCCCCGGGCAACTCCATGATGCAACCTACAATGCGTTTAGAACTGCCTCCTCCTTTATGGATCGGTTGGACCGCGCCATCAGCCCCATTATTAAGCCACGAGAGGAACATGCTCGGGAGCCAATGGCCCCCCCCACATGCCGCTTCAGCCAGCGATGACTCTCTTTTATGGACCGCATTCCGTTGCCCTGCCGACGGCGGCAAAATGGACCATCCATTTGCCAGTGTGCCATCTCAAAGTGCACATCTGATTTTCCCCGAGTCCTGGTGCATACAACGCCCGATATTGTATAACAGGACAGCATCCTGGCCTTGTTCACTGTTTGTTCTGCTCCGACAACCACATCTTTCCCGTAAAACACAATAACGCACCGGCCATCAGGTAAGCCTCCCTGCATGCCGACATGGGTATTTATATCCTGCTCGATCCGTCGTTGTTATTAATCAAGTTCGTGACAAGTCCGCACGCAGAAACATATCCACGCTGGTCGTCACACGTTTATTTCTCCCGTCCAGAGCCCTTCTTCTTTTCATCTCGTTTCTCTTCTCCAGACGGAAAGAAGGAAAGAATAATGTCCGCCGTCCTCGGTGACAAGGACATCAACGCCGCCATGGAGCAGCAAAACGCCATCAAGGACGTCAAGAGCATGGAGTACCACCGCCAGGTGTTCCAGTCCAAGATGGCTGCTGAGCCGTACGCCCTACTTTCCTCGCCCGCCGCGGCGCTTGGACGACCACCGCGTCCGAGCGCTGCCGCCGCTGCCAGCAGCTCTGCTGATGCTGCCTCTAGGACCAAGCAATATGTTTCTCCGTCGGATAATATCATGAGCCCTTGCACGGCCAAGATTAATGCTCTGCGAAACAAGCACGCCAGCAAGTAGGTCTCTTTTTTGTTCCTCTTGTTGCGCATGGGCTACGAGCCTCGTCTTGCTGATTCCGTGACAGGGCCAAGCCCAAGTCTCTCTTTGCCCAGGCGAGCGTTAAGAAACTCAACGGCGAGAATGCCTTAGGCGCCAGGTCTATCCAGCAGTGATTGGAGCGGCTGGACAAATTTGCACACGGCTTGTTTTCCGCTTCTTGGTGTGCTCGCTTGCTTTTTTGCGATTTTGAACAGAGTCTCCGTCGTCCTTCCCTCGAGACGGTAAAACGATGGAGAGAGAAGCCCCTGTTAAAGAATGGACATGGTTGAGGCCGGCGTTATGGGAACAACTTACATGGACACACGCGACGATTTGGTTTTGGTTAGGGACGAGATGTGTCCCTTTTGGTTTGGGTTGATGAGGATCATGTTTGTGCGCAACGGGGGTTGGATGAATATGGCGGTTGGTTGGCGGGTTGATTGTTGGATTGGTTTTGTATTTCCCTTGTCAAGGTCAACTTTATATCTACTGGGAGACTGACGTTGCGTCATGTCGTGATGCCGCAGTAGTTCATGCTAGACTGGCATGATACTCGGTGGCCCGAGTTGAAGTCGCATCTGGATTTGGGCTGTCAATCATGACTTCCTGCTGGCGTTTGGAATGTCTTCGCGTGCGCACATCACGTAGAAACTGAATGCCTGCTGTTTGTTATCCGCGCAGTGTGTTTATGCTCGCCATCCGCTCACAATGTAAACTACGTCCTCGTCCGCCACCAAATGTCCCAACCCAACCCTCTGGGGAATATGTCTGGCGCTCGCTCCCCAAACCAAGGCATATTTGAAAGTGTCCTTTAAAGTGCGATGGATCCGGTCGCACACATCCTCAATTGAGCTGTTACTTCTCACAATCAGTGCCTCGTCGAAATCCGGTTCAACGCCCTTGCGCTTCGTGTATATTCTAATCAGCTTCAGTTCCTTCCAGCACCGATCAATCACATCCTGAATTCCCAGATTCAGCTCGCAGCTCATGACGACGGTCTGCGGTTCCCGCGCCAAGCTGTCCAAAAAGTCGAGCGACACGCTGTCAATCTTGTTGTATACGTAGAGGCACTTGATGTATTTGCGGTGGTCCTTCATGATGACGTCGATGAAGTCGTCAACCGTGGCGTTTTCATCGCGCACTAGCACCTCGCAGTTGAGGATTTTGTAGTCTCGCAGGATGTTGTAGAGCATCTTCTCGTCGAGGTTCTTGGGAGGTGCTTGAAAGGTGATTTTCATACCGCCTGCTTTTTTGGGCTTCAAGTAGATGTTTCTTGTGTGTATTGTTAGAAGATACCGTGCGCGGGATGGTGCGCGAGGGGAGCGGAACGTACGGCGGCTCGCGATTCAGCCTGATGCCCACGGCTTCCAATTCAGCTTCCAGGAGGGCTCGTTGCTCAGCCTTTTTCGTGGCATCCAACACCATCAGAATGAGGTCACTCGTCTTGGCTGCCGAGATGACTTGACGACCACGGCCTTTGCCCTCAGCAGCTCCTTCGATGATGCCTGGCAAATCGAGGAGTTGGATCTCTGCGCCGCCGTATTCGAGAACACCGGGAATGGCTGTCAGGGTGGTGAATGCATACGAGGCCACTTCCGATCTCGTCCTGGTGACTCTTGACAAGAAAGTCGATTTACCGACCGACGGAAAGCCAACAAGGGAAATGCGCGCGTCGCCGCTTTTGCTGACGTCGAAGCCGGACCCCCCGCCGCCGCCGGCTCCCGGGCCAGGTTCCAACAATTGTGCTCGGAGACGGGCAAGTTTACTAAGAATTCATTAGTTGTTGACTAAGAGAGACGAATATTTCTCGATTCCAACGCACCCCTTTAGCAGACCCAAGTGATATTCTTGGATTGGTCAACGGATTTCATCTCCGTGGGTTTGCGTTTCATACCTGTGGCCTTGTTTTCTGCGGCATGTTAGTAAGATCTCATTAGGACGAGAGGAAGCAGGATTTTGTCCCGCATGAGCCTATTGAACTGTCCAAGGCCGTCGGATGTCAGGTTCAAAGTGCCGTTCAACCCACTTACTTTGAGTTCTTCTCATCTCATCCTCAATCCTGCAAAGGTCAGCATAAGACAACACGGCTCAAACACTAGTAAATGGGCCCACTGACTCCTTTATCTTCTCCGTAATGTTGACCATTTTCTTCCTCTTTGTTTAAAGACGGCGTACCGTCTGCCCAGATGTTCAAGACCGCCGGCTTTTGCGAAAATGATGGTTCAAGCAGATTCGAGATAATAGGTGGGGTGTGTATGGTGTACGCCGGGCAGAATTGACTTGGGGGGGTTCCCAAAGCATTGCCAACTCGACTCACCGCCTACTATTTCCGGCTCTATCATCGCCAACCGCCCAGAACTTTCCCAAGCCGCTTCCAGGGCTAGAAGCGTCGTGTTGTCGCTGCCAACGTTCGACTCGGCGAATATTTCGCCACCGGTGATTCCAACGCGACCAGAACCATGGCTGACCAGGTCGAGCACAGGGAGACTGCAGCCGAGGGTGCGACAGAAGGGTCGATGGCAGTCGTAAACACGGGAGAAAGAAGGATTGTCAAGAAGATGGTTCGCAAAAAAAAGAGGCCTGCGAGAGCGCAGATTGATCCTAGCGAGTTCACGTCAGAGGCACCACCACAGACCGGAACGACATACAACATCTGGTTCAACAAGTGGGCGGGCGGAGATCGAGAGCCGTACCAGCAGACCAAAGCCAAGGGCCGATGTGTCATTGCGACAGACGCCGGCTACACCACGGCTGACAACGTGTCGGGAAGCTATTTCTGCCTGCGATTTGCACGCGGAATCTGCCCTCGCGGACAGGACTGCACAAATCTCCACCGATTGCCGGGCACGTTCGACCTTTTCAACCCAAATGTCGACTGCTTCGGCCGGGAAAAGTTCAGCGACTACAGAGACGACATGGGTGGTGTCGGCAGCTTTATGCGCCAGAACAGAACGATTTACGTGGGCCGCATCCATGTGACAGATGACATTGAAGAGATTGTGGCCCGTCATTTTGCAGAATGGGGACAGGTTGAACGAAGTATGTGCCGTCTGCCCGCTGCGCCGAGGACAGTACGATGCTAACAAAGGTCTGCAGTCCGAGTCTTGAACTCGCGAGGTGTCGCCTTCATTACCTACACCAACGAAGCCAACGCTCAGTTCGCCAGAGAAGCCATGGCCCACCAGTCACTCGACCACGACGAGGTCCTCAACGTGCGATGGGCCACGGCTGATCCCAACCCCATGGCCCAAGCGCGTGAGGCAAGGCGAGTCGAGGAGCAGGCTGCCGAAGCTGTTCGAAGAGCACTTCCCGCGGATTTCGTTGCCGAAATCGAGGGAAAAGACCCGGAATCCAGGAAGCGGAGACGTTTCGAGAGCAGTTACGGCTTGGAAGGGTACGAGGCACCCGACGATGTGCATTTCTCTCGGGGCAAGAACGCAGTCAATCCCGTCGGCCGTGAGGGTTTCCAAGTAGAATACCAGGAGCCGTTAATGCTCGAAAATGGCCAGTCAACAGAAGAAGCCGAAACGACAACAGCACCAGCACCGGAAGAAACTGGGATATTTTCCGGCTCCACGCTGGCAGCACTCAACAGGGCCAAAGTAGCCGTGACGTCAAAACCCAAGGTGGCAGCTCCTGCAGGGCCCCTTGTTTCTTATGATAGCGACAGTGACGATGAGTAGGCGTTTGGGAATTTTGTTTTCTTTTATTCCGTCCTGCATTGGGGAAAACAGGCAACATGTATGCACAATGTATTTTATCGTGATACCAATACACCACCAAGACGCCGTCACTGGATGGGCTTCCATCTTTCCTCCCGGATCAACTATTAAAGATCCTCGAGTACAAAACCTCATGCCGCCCGATCCACAGATCCATTACCGGCACGCTCTGCCCAGCCTCCTCTACCGTCGTCGCCCACTCCCGATCAATCACATGCCCAATCCACCTCTGCGCCTGCTCCCCGGCCAACACCTTCTGCGCCTGGTACGGCCCAAACATGCTCGCCCTCACTGCAGCAGACACCAACGCCTTGAGGTGGCTCACCATGTACATGTACGCCGTCTGCTGGAGCGTCAGTCCCACAACTGCGCATATCACACCAAACAGAGGTGCTAGGTGGGCTGAGACGGGCGGCACTTCATCAGCCGCTGATCCGCAGTCCTTGAGCAAGGCTGCAAACTCGCGGAGGACCGGCAGGTCGGCGCTCTCGGGGAGCGTGGCTCTAAACGAGCGCTCCCATATGGACAGGAGGGCCCGGCCCTGCGAGACGCTGGCCCTCCGACCGACGGTACATATCACGGCTGCGTCGAGCTGATCGTCCAGGGCCACGAGGGAGGAGGGATCGCGATGGGCGGCCAGGACAAAGGGCAGAGTCGTGGCGGCGTAGGAGGACAGCGAGAGCGGGAGGAATGAGGAGAATGTGGCGCGGCGGTTGTGCGTCAGGTATGATTCTAGCCCGCTGCTGAATGCGAATGAGCCGATGGGTAGCTGGGAGTCGGAGAGGAGGAGAAGGTAGTGTGTTGGTGAGTTGAGTGGTGCTGTCCGACGTGAGTCTGTCCGTGTTGTTTGTGGCGGCGTGGGCGAGAGCACTTACATTGGAACGAAGGTCGAGGTGGACTGGGCCCCCTCGATGGTGGTGTGCGTAGACGTGCCTTGGCTGCTGCGAGACGGCGCTCCAAGTCGGCTATTTCTACTTGAACTACGCCCTGTGACTCGACTGTCTGATTTTTGGAGGCCATTGGAGGGAGTCCATGTGAGTTGTAAAGACTAGGATCAACGTGAAATGTGAGGTGGGTCGAGACTTCACGGCGTCCCGCACCCGTCACTGATTGACACGTCCGATCCTGAAGTACCGGTAAGATATGTCGGTGGAGGAGCGAGGTTGAAAGGGAAACTGAGGGTAATCAGCTGCATTTGAAGCTAAACGCATAACAAATTTGCCTGAATACTATAATCCAACCTTGATCCTGCACGCCATGCAATTTCCTTGATTTGATAAAACCGAGAAATAGGTACACCCGGCTAGTCTATGGCCGCACATTCTCCTTGTCATGGCCGCCGCTTCGGTCCCGGAGCCTCTTTTTCTCAGCCATTCTTTTTTCAATCCTTGCGAGGGCGGCTGCTCGTCTTTCTGGCGGCAGAGTGCGCCTCGATGTATTAGCCACAAGAGAGCTGTTTATCTGTGCATTTGGTCCTGGGCCTCCTAGTCTGGCAAAGCGGCGAGACAGGAGATCGATATGGGGTTCCGCGGCGGATGTCGAGCCATTCGGAGGCAACTCTGGTACTGCAATCTCCTTGGGCTTGTTCGACTGAGTGAGGCGATTGACTCCGTCCTCTGCAGCATAGATGCGGTGTCTGGGCGATCGAGGGACAAATGGCTGCCACTGAGCCTTCCCAAGACTTGCTCGACCTGCTACCTTGAGCGGTTCTGACTTGGGAGCCAAGGCAGCATCATCCACAAACTTTTCGCGCAATGTGCGTGGTTGAGATGAATTTTTTGCCATGTCCAAGGGCTCGTCTGAGCTTCGTCTCTTGGCCGTTTCTACTTTGACTCGAATTGGTTCGTCTGACTTTGATTCCTTGATCTTCTCTTCGCCTATACTCCGGGGATGCCAACTGTGCGGTCTTGCTGGTCCTGTTCCTGCGGACCTGAGAGCCTTCACCTCATTTTTGAGGTCGGCAATCTTGTTGTGAGCCCGTTCCAGAACAGCCCTGGTATCGGCTTCGTGAACTTCATTCTCCTTCCTGAATGCCTCATACTCATTTTTGAGGAGTCGAATCTCGTCTTCTTTTCGTCGAGAGTCCTCCTTGGCTGCCTTGAGCAAAGCCCGAAGTTCCCGGGCTCGTGGCCCATTACTGGTAAGTGCTTCCTCCTTTTCGATGACTACCAGTTTCAATTCGGCCTTCTTCAACTGAGTCTTGAGTGAAAATACTTCGTCGCGCAATGCATCTAGTTCTTTCAACTGGGACCGCGCTCGTCGCAACTCTCGCCGAGTTTCCGTGAGCGTTTTTTGGGTAGCTGTCACGGAAGGGGTAGAAGCATATCGGCGGCGTGGCGTCTCAACTCCGGCTCCATTTTCTCGCTGTGTGAGCAACTCTCCCATCTGAGCTTCGAGTTCTTGTACCCGGTGACGGTACTGTGCAGCTAGCGATGATTGTTTAGTCAGTTTTGTGAGCATTTCCGCTTGGGCTTCTGCTGGTTGCTCTTTTCGTTGGGCGGCGATTTGAGCTGCATTTTCTGCAATCCTCTTTTCCATTTTTATGACGCGCTGTTGTTCGTCTCGCAGGCGCTCAGCAAGTTCAATCGCCTCGGCATCCTTTCGCTGTGCGTAAGACTTTGCAAGTTGCTTATACTTGAGCAATTTCTCCATTTCAGCTTTGGCCTCTTGATGGTACCTCAGAAACTCTTCTTTCCAGTACCGTCCGGATTGCGAGTGCGGCTCATTGAGATCCAGCGTGACATCATGAGCGCCGCAGTCCTCCTCTTCTTCCCATTCATCATCTGACACGGCGGGTTCGGGAGGTGCAACTCGCGATTGTGATTCTGTGAGCTTGGCCAGGGACTTGGTTGGAGCTGTTGGTTGGCGTGCCTCGGTTGGCAGGTCTTGTTCACTGGTTTTTGCGAGGTCCGTCATGGAGCCGCCTGGCACGTCATGGCCGAATGAAACACGCTTCCTCTTGGATGTTCCTATTCCTGGAGTAAGAAGGATACCTTGTGGCTTCGACGGCGTCTCGGACGACCGTGACGTGGGCTTTCTTGAGGCCGCACTTCGGAAAACGCGTCTCTCTTCGTTTCGTTTCGAGGGCGTACCAAACAGCGCGCTCTTGAAGGCTCTGGCAGCAAATACAGGCGCTGGTGTGTCCGGCTGATCTATTTGCGTGGTATCTGCATAAACTCAATTCGTCAGGAACTTGGATTGCCGACAAGGTGACGGGAAAGAGAGCAACAACAAAACAAAAACAATGAGCGTTGGCATCGAACCTCCATCGTCCGCGTGTGGCGCGTTCTCGCCTCGCTTCAACATCCACCCAAGCATTGTCAGACGTGAATATTGAGCAGGGGTTTCCAAGAAAAATGAGGAAGCAATGAGCTATGCCTGCTATCTCTGAATACCGAACACATCCATTGAGCCTCCGCAATGACAGAAGCGCAAAGGTGGTGTGGTGTGGGTATGAGCTACAAGCGTCTGTTGTTTGTGTTGTTGTTGATCTGCTATGTATGTCGGCGCCATGCGGCATTGGAGACTTACTTAGTACTTGAGTACTTAGTACTTAAGTACTTCTTACTTGGTGGGAGCAGGGAACGCTAAGCCAAGCCAAGCCTCCTTGGCGTCTGTGACGGGTGGCTGTTGACTCTCATCAAGTTTGACCACAGGTTCACCCAGACTGGTCAAAGCACCAAGCTGCTACGATGAGCCCGTCCAGCAAGGCAGGCTGGGTAGCCAAGTAACTACTTGGTAGATCGCCATGGATAGATTCGGCAGAAGCACGCATTGGATCCCAGTACACCCACCTGCTGTAGCCGTTGGATATCACTGGTGAGTCAATGTCGTTGATGCTGGTCGAGTCGACGGAACTTGGTGCCTGCTCTTCAGCACCATACTGGACCCTGGTCAGTGGACATCAATTACGGAGCACGGTACGGAGTACGGGGAGCAGTACCCCGCCATCTTGAATCAGCTTTGGAGCCTGCCCTCCTTGTTGGCGGTACCGGACTCTTCTGGCGTTCTGATAGGAGCTTTTCAATGCTGCCTCTCGATTATCCAACATATTCAATCCGAACTATTAACTACACACTGAACCGCCATGGCTTCTTCCGTCTAAAGTGTCACAGCTTCGCTGTGACATTCATTTGGACTTCACGCAATCATGGCGTGGCAAGCATCCGGCGCATGGAACAAGAAGTCTGTGCCCAAGGCGAGCAACCACGACTCGACCTTTCCTGGCCTCAAGCCTACGACGAATCCGGATGCAACGACAAAGTTTCAATATGAAGAGCTGCAGCAGAACGAGCTGCTGGCCCTCGAAGCCATCTATGGGGATGATTTCGTGAAGCACAGTGATGCGCACGGAGCGTGGGAGGTAAAGAGCACACACACACATACACAGAGAGAGAGAGAGATTCTTTGAATCTCCCTGATGCTCTCTCCAACGCGCAAATTGGACGCAGACCTGACGACAAGTGCAGAAGACGGAACCTTCATTCGATATACGGATTAAGGCATCCACCGACATTGACTTTGCCATAACTGTTGGGTTTGTCATGACGGCCACGTATCCCAAAACCCCACCGCTTCTGACTGTCAAAGACCTCGACGGCCTACGCGAATCTACACAGTTCAAGATCCAGAAGTTTGTGGACACCGAACCTCGAGAATTTGCCAAAGATGAACAAGAAATGGTCGACAGGATTGTCGAGGGCATTCGCGACATCCTCGAAGATGCTGCCCAAGTCAAGGCATCCGGGAACCAGCTGCCTTCCCTCGAGGAAGAGCGAGAACGACACGAAGCCAAACTAGCTGAAAAGGCGCGGCGTCAGAAAGAAGACGAAGAGCGCAAGAAGATGGAAGAAACCAAAGAGGAGGAGCGCGTCATGTCTGAAATGCTTCGGCAACAGATTGACAGACAAAGACAAAAGGCAAAGGAATCAAGGTTAAGTCGACGATCTAATGGACTAGAAGGCTTACCAAGCGACAACTCTGCTGCCTCTATTGAGCAAATCGATTTCGATGAGTTTTGCCATGTCACGAATAAAGAGGGTAATATCCTCAGCTTCAAATCGGTTACGGGTAGATGTGATCCGCGAGAGGGCAAGGTCACTGTGGTGTACACTGTCCGGCCGGTTCTGGGCAATGGCCAAGGTGACCAAACCTTAGCACTAAAGGAAGCTATCTTGCGACCCAACGGAAAAGGGATGGACCCCAAGGAGTTCAAAAAGCAGCTGCAGTCCGTCGAGTCCAGGCTCCAGGAGCTGAAGAACACCAAGTCAATTCATCACAACCGTTTAGTCGATATTTTGGATTTCAAGGTCGAAGGTGCGAAATCGGACGATGCGACAGCGTCAAATATCTGGACCATTAGAATATTGATGCCAATGGCTGCAAAGGGCTCGCTTGAGGAGCTGCTGGAGCTGGCAGGTCATCTCGAGCTCGGCAAAGTTCGGTCTTGGACTCGAGATTTGTTGGATGCCTTGAACTTCTTGCATTCAAAGAGCATTGCCCACCAAGATATCCACGCGAGTAACGTACTTTTGTTTCGAGAGTCGACGGGCGAGTTTGTCCCCAAGCTGTCTGATTGCTGGTACCAGCGAGAAATTCATAATGCCAGCACCTCAAAGCCGGGTCTCCCGGGACTCACCTCGGCAAAGTCAGCATATTGGTTACCGCCTGAGATCGCTGGTCAATCCAAGCCACAGTACTCATACAAGACTGATATATGGGAATTTGGCATTGTATTTACGCAAATGATCTTTGGTCTCAACGTTCTGCAAAAGTATTCCTCGCCGCGAAACTTGATGCAGGAGCTCACACTGTCACAACCGCTCGAGGAACTAGTCAGTCGATTTTTTAAAGAAGACAAACAAAAGCGACCTCGGCCGTTCGAACTTGGTTCAAGTGAATTTCTGGCCACTGACGCACCAGTCTTCGCAGAGTCCGGTTCGTCCGGGACACCGTCGGCGACGCCGTCTTTGACATCACTGCATGTCGTTCCAGCGAGACTTAGGCGAGACTCCATGAGTCGTGGCGCAGTGGTCTCCAGATATACTGAGGACTTCGTGGAAGAGGGTCGCCTTGGCAAAGGTGGCTTCGGAGAAGTTGTAAAAGCCCGCAAGAAACTTGATGGCCAAATTTATGCTATCAAAAAAGTCACCCAGCGATCTCATGCCAGTTTGACTGAGATTCTAAAGGAGGTACGGTTGCTATCACAACTAAGTCATCCAGCTGTGGTTCGCTACTACAACACCTGGGTCGAAGAAGTCCCTGACGCCACTGATACCGAAGGAGACACATCTACTGAAGGCTACACTGAGGAGGCGGAACAAACGGTCTCTGGTGGTATTGACATCCAGTGTGCGACTAGCACGGGTGGCCTTGACTTCATGTCATCTAATGCCGCCATCGAGTTTGGATATGACGATGACAGTGATGACAATGCCATCGAGGACGACTCTGACGACGATAGCTCTATTGACGCAGACCAGGCGGGGAATGATGCCATTTCGCCCAGCAAGGAACGTGCAGGACAAGTGTTGAGACGTGCACGGGAACACCATGCCTTTCGAACTATTCTCTATATCTCCATGGAATATTGCGAAAAGCGAGTAAGTGCATAGTTGCAACGTCCCCATCCTACAACGTTTGGTGCTGACCTTCAGACACTTCGGGACTTGATTTCACGCAACCTGTACAAGGACACGACTGAGATTTGGAGGCTGTTTCGACAGATATTGGAAGGCATGTCACACATCCATGCCCTTGGCATCGTGCATCGGGATTTGAAGCCTGAGAATATTTTCATTGGCAGTAGTCTTGAGGGAGTCGATCATGTCAAAATTGGCGATTTTGGCCTAGCCACTAGCGGACAATTTTCGGTCGATAAAGTCGTCGCCGATAGCCTTGAGAACGACAGCATGACTCGAAGCATAGGCACTGCTTACTACGCGGCTCCAGAAGTTCGATCCGCCGGCAATGGACTTTACAGCGCCAAAGTTGATGTAAGCAGTCGTTCGCGACTGTTTTACGATGAAGAAGCTAACCTGGTGCAGATGTACTCGCTAGGCATAATATTCTTCGAAATGTGCTATCACCACATGGTTGGCATGGAAAAAGCAGATATTATTGGAAAACTACGACGAACAAAGCCGGAGCTGCCGGTAGATTTCAAGCCAGCTGAGCGCAAACAGACAGATATCGTCTTGTCGCTGGTCAATCACAATCCCAAGGAGAGGCCATCGAGTGCTGATTTGTTGAAGAGCGGCAAACTTCCCGTGCAGATGGAGAGTGAAACTATTCGACGAACTCTTGCCGGTCTGGCCGATCCCAGCTCGCCGTACTATAGCAAGATGCTGTCGACGCTATTTGCACGACCTTGTGATGCGGCCAAAGATTATGCTTGGGACATGCTAGGCACTCAGACCAGCGCCAGCGAGCTCCTGAATCAGGGTGTGGTCCGCAGCACCCTGATTTCCATCTTTCGACGGCATGGAGCACTGGAAATGCCTCGGACCACAATATACCCCCGCTCAAGTCACTATGGTGAGAATGTCGTTCAAGTAATGGATCCCAATGGGACGGTTTTGCAGCTTCCTTTTGATTTGACCATGGGCAATGCCAGGATGATTGCAAAACAGTCCGGCGGTCCCGTGTTGCAGCGATCGTTCAACTTTAATAACGTGTACCGTGATAGGCTAGACACAGGCCAGCCGTACATGTTTGGAGAGGTCGACTTTGACATCATCACCACCGATACCCTTGACCTCGCTCTTAAGGAAGCAGAAGTGTTGAAGGTGCTCGACGAAATTGTTCAGGCGTTTCCGTCATTGTCAAATTCCCAGATGTGCTTCCAAGTCGGCCATTCAGATCTTCTTCAACTCATCTTTGACCACTGTGGAGTCGAGTCTTCGTGTAGACGACAGGCCGCTGAGGCGCTGAGCAAACTCCATGTCTATGGGCACACCTGGCAGAAGGTTAGAGCGGAACTGCGATCCACCGCCGTGGGCGTGTCAGCCACGAGCGTGGACGAACTCCAGCGATTCGACTTTCGAGGTGAGGCACTAAACTCTCTGGTGCAATGACAAAGACTAATCGTCATCTAGACACCCCCAACAAGGTAATTTCGAAGCTCAAGGTCCTATTTGAGGGCAGTGATTTGTATCAAAGGGCGGTGTCAACCATGGCCCACCTCAAAGAAGTTGCAGAGTACTGCAAACGATTTGGCGTGCTCAGCAAATTTTACGTTACCCCCCTCAACAGTTTAAGAGAAAATTTCTTCATGGGTGGAATCATGTTTTCCTGCGTCTATGACAGGAAGACAAGGGACGTGTTTGCGGCAGGTGGCCGATACGACCACCTCATCAAAGAGCAACGCCCGAAAATTGGCGGCAACATTGAAGAGAGGCACGCCGTTGGGTTTAGTCTTGCCTGGGAACGCTTGGCTCGTGTTCCTAAGAAAAGCGGAAGCAAGACGTTCCTGAAGAAGCAGGAGTCGGATGTCAAGACGATGTTTACTGGCAGACGAGTAGGTGCATTAAGTGATGCCGAGGGGTCACGTCGCAATGCTCACACGTGATAGTGCGATGTTCTAGTTGCTTCATTCGACGCCGCTATTCTTCGATCTACCGGTATCGAAGTTCTCCAGCTCCTTTGGGATCATGACGTCAGTGCAGAAATGGCCAAAGACGCTCGATCTCCCGAAGACTTGTTATCTAAGCACAGGGACGAGAACTACTCGTGGATCATTGTCATCAAGCCTGAATCGATGCTCAAGATAAAAACCATGAGTCGAAAAGACGTTCAAGATGTGGACATTCCTCTTGGCCAGCTAATGGCCTGGCTTCGGCCCGAACTCAAGGAACGCGATTCCCGCGCTCTCGCCAAACTCAGAGGGAACGTGTCGCACGGCGGCGAAACGAGTGGCACCCAAAACAGCGACCGGAACCAAGATCAGGACGTCAAGGTTCTCGTTGCCGGTACCAAGAGCAAGAAGTTCAATCGCAGAACCGTGGTGGATCAAGCCCAAGCCAGCGCTAGTAACTTGATGCGAAGCTACCTGGACGGGCCGATCCTGGCCATCGAGACTACTGACCAGGTTATGGATCTTCTCAGGGAAACAAAGCTATCTGAGCACGATAGCTGGAAGAGTATGGAACATGCAGTGACCATGACGGAGAAGAAGTATGTCCGCGAACTTCACGCCCAGCTCGACACTTGGCGATCGACGTATGAGAGGCAGAACAACTCTAAGCACGCATTCATATACAACTTTCGCACCGGTACCTGTGTGTACTATGATTTAAGTGCGTAAGATGAGATGTATTAAGCCGTACACGGGAAGGAGTTGGCGGTCGTGATGGCGGTACTTCTGGAGAGGACATGTTGGGACTTGGCATATTAACTACCTACCCGGGTAGGTAGTGTTTGTTGTTGCCTTGGCGGGACAGCCAATATGGGATATGGGGAAATGGATTACTATAGGAGCTGTGAACAATACCGTCTCCCAAGGAACATTGAAGTTGTCCATGGGCACGCAAAATGACGAGAGTCTGAGAAGCTGCCAAGCGCAGCGCAGCACACAGTAACAATCAATCAGCTAACTCGTCGACTAAAGTTTGAGCGTGTGGCTTTCGTTGATATCCAATGACGGACTCTTGGGTTTCGCTTGGGCGGCGATGGGATAAGCCAAAGGAAGGTAGTACTAGTAGCCTTTTGAGAGGATTACACGACTCATGGCACGCTTAGGCGTTGAAAGTGAGGTGAAAATGCGAGATGCAGGAAACTTGTCAGAACCCGCACAGCCTTACTCGCACACATGCTGTGTACATGGCCCAGGCGCCCAAGAGCAAGGAGGAATGTCTCAAGCCAGCATGGGAGATGTCAATGATGCGGCTGGATGGTGGCCTGCTGGAGAGGAGGTGCCTAACTGTCCGCACTGATTAAAGGCTAGGCATCTACGGACCAAGGTGTCGATTTTGGGTGCATAACAATATAGGGGCGCAGAGATCTACGGACCAAGTTGGGTACTTGGATGCTGGCAAAAAGCAGGAGCAGGACCTGATCCGGCTGGCCGAAGCCTCCAACATCGACTGAAGCCTCGAATGCTTCAGACAGTCTGTCGTTCACAGGGTTTGCCGAGCCTGGATGGTGTGTTATGTTGGACGTCTCATGGGCCGGGCATCGGTGCGTCTGGGTCGGACAGACTTGATCAACTGGCTGGCCGCCCCCTGCCTGGCATCTGGTTACAGGTGAGTCGTGACTAAACGCTTGGGGGTGTGGGGCTCGCTTGACGCACCAGTTCACGCGAGGGAGAGGCACTGACATTGTGCTGCTGGCATTAGCAAGTAGGGACCATGTGGCGGCCACCTGACGCTCCAGAGCCGTCACTCTGCTGCCATCATCCTGCCAACCGGCTTGGAAACGGTCATTTCCCGCCTCTCCTCGCCTCGCCTCGCCTCGCCTCGCCCGACCTGATGATCTTGGACTGAACACAAGGCAAAGCGTTTCAAGCAGCACCTGCAATAGACGGCCCCCGACAAGGCACATACATAGCCCTTTGTCTCACACAACCCCCCTTTGCCTCCAGAACCTCTGCCAGACCGGTGCCCTGCACTGCCGTCCCTTCGGCACAGCCCTTTAAACACACATCCTCGGCCCGTCGATTACCCCTCATAAAACGACTCCTTCCCCAACCTCTACTTCGCCCACTCTGCGCTCGCAATACTTCACCACACTACTAGGCCTCTCAAGACTCGGATCCAAATCACGGGTGCAGTGTTGATTCTTTCTTATCTCGACGGATAGCTGCCATGGCTCAAAGGCGTTTGATGCAGGAGCTGCAGGCTCTCGAGAAGGAGAAATGGGTAATCATTGAGGTACGAGGCGGCAGAACAACAGGCATTCTTCCATCGTGGTGATCCTGACTCTCTTTACCCAGACTGACGAGACCAACCTCCTGCGTTGGAAGATCGGACTTTGGGTCGTGAACCCCGACAGCATCTGGCATGGCGCATACCTCCGCGTACGTGCACCCTCTACAATGTTCGAAGTAGGCCTCTCGACTGACAAAATACTTACCCAGGCCGATATGCGCTTCCCTATCGAGTATCCCTATCAACCACCAACCTTCAAATTCCTTACCAAGAACATTTGCCATCCAAACGTCTACACAGACGGCCACCTATGCATCTCCATTCTCCACAGACCGGGCGACGACGAACAATCTGGCGAGTCCGCGAGCGAGAGATGGAACGTGCTTCATGGGGTTGAGTCTGTGCTTAGATCGGTCCTCCTGCTCATGGATGACCCTGAAATCAACTCCCCTGCCAACGTTGACGCCAGCGTTCTCTACCGCGATAGGCGACACGAATACAACTCTCGTGCCAAGGAAGTTGTGGATCGCACTCAGGCAGACATCCCATCCGATACGCGAATGCCCACAGCCGCCGAACTGGCTCCTGCACTTGTCAAGCCCGTCGAGGACGACGCCGACTTCTGGAACATGTCTGATGAGGAGGAAGACTTTGGCGGCAGCGACAGCGATGCGGGCCTGGGAGACTTCGAGGAGGAAGACGATGAGGACGAGGACGAGGACGAAGAAGACGATACAAAGTGAAGGACATGTATTGGAGCGAGCTTGTCACGACTCACTCGACGTCGTCACTTGTATGGCATAGCGGGGTTTCAATTTTATCGAACGGCGTTTTTCAATAACGTTGCATGGCAGGCCGTGGATGATGCGCTGGGACGCAGCCAGGAAGGGTCAAGGAGAACTAGCTGATCATTTTGATATTTGGGTGCTGGACTGTCGGTTCTGAAACATGGATCCGTCTCTGGCGGCATTGCTCTGGATACGGGCGCCGAGGCGAATGGTGACTTTGGTGACTTTGGCGGTTTGACTATGTGGTTGGCATTAGCATTTGGGCGCATTTGCCTTTTGATAGATAGCGGACGGCGTAGACATGAACTGAGCGAATGAGATAACACGTGATGGTTCAGCGTTTGACGTGACTTTTGTTGATTTGCGGTAGCATCGAAGGCAGGTAGGCAGGTCGACATGTCCGGCCTTTCCATGCAACCATTTCGCGAAGGCTAGCTTGTCCCGACTCCCGAGCGTCATTCCTTTCTGCCCAAGGTCGTTTTCTTTTTGCTATTTTTGACATGGAGTGGCGCCATCCCGCGTCAGACTGCAGACATTCAATGCAGAGAGTTCGCGGCACAACTCATCGCCTTTTTGGTTTTGTCGCTCTTGGTTTCGCCCACTGCTTGAGTGACATTGCTGACCACGCTCAGTTACTGATGACGCTTTATCGCCATGGCAGCCAAATGCTGATACAGTAAAGGCCATCACTCGGCGTCATTGATGGCCGCAAATGTTGTGTCTCTGGCGAGGGTGGCAGCCTTTGGGACCCTCTCATCGTCGTCCTTGTCCTACCAATTCCATCTAGGTGGGTGAGCGCCGAGGCAGGTTCAGAACTACCATCGGGCCCGAACGCATCAAGTCTGATCCCTTTACCAGCCGCGTGTGTTGAGAATGCTACGCGCATTCTTTGGTCGTCCGTATCTTGAATGGGTGGCATAATTGTATCGAAAGAGCTGGAGTAATCTTCTCGTATCACAATCACTGGCTAGTTCGAAAGAGTGTCTGAAGCCTTGACACGGGGAGTAGTCAGATTGTTGCGGTGACCCTCCATGAATGAGGTAAGAGCCCTGATCCAGTCTAGCATTTCCTCCTCCTCGAATCTGGATTTGTCAACAGTATCAAGTCAATCATGTCGTCATCGGGGACCAGAGACCTATTGCTGTAAGCGGAAAATATGCTCTCCTTGGAAATCACTGCCGATCAGGCATTGAGGAGAAAGATGCCCGCTTATGTGGAAGCATTCAGCTGATGGATGTTGCTAGAAATATGGCCCTGGTCTATTTTCTGAGGGATCACCTACGCCTACTCCCAAATCTCATTCAGTCTTCATACGCCACCTCACAAGACACAATCAAACTTGCCTCCTATCACCGTTCCTCCATATCTGGCTCCTTCTCCACGGTACGGCTCGCATGGCGACGTATGAATTTTTGCGAAAATTGCATCACCGACTATATGGATCGACCTGGTGGCGGCAACGGGCGCAGTGAGGTAGCGGCCATTTGTTGGATTGAATTCGACTGCTTGGACGGAGTGGTCAGAAGACAGGCAGCAGCCCCCTCTATCGGACTCTCTGATTCAGCAGAATGCATAATGAGGGTATAGCACAGCTGATGCGTTGTTTTTGGTCATTCTGCTTGGTAATGGTTGCGAAAGTGCTAATTGAAGACTGGAGACGGGTGGCTAACAAGACTAGATTAAATCTAACTGCGGAGCTCTTGAGTTCTTGTGCGTACGGCCAGCGGTTTGTTGTAAGTTGTAACGTGACTACCTAGGTACTTAAGTACTTTAAAACAAAAATTATAGACCTTGACCAGTAAAGGAAAACTATTTATACCTTGGAGAGCGAAAAACAACTAGACTACTCACGCAAGGGGTCGTGCTATTCGTGCTACTAACTCTATCTATTCGTGCTACTACAGCTCGATTTAGCCTAGTGACTAACTGCTTACACCCTACTATATATTTTTATATATACCTATATAGTTGCGCCTGCTTTTTAGAAATTTAATTAGTATTTAAATTAAATCTATTATTTTTTTAATAATATAAGCTTAAGCAAGCGCTAGTGTCGGCCAATGGAGGGACCCTTTATATATAGTATAGGTATAATAGATAGAGCTTATGTAATCTAGTTGATTACTAAGCATAAGATAATAGGGATTCTTAAGGTATAATAGAAGTAACTTTAGATATAGTATAAAATTGTATGTAATAGTATGTATTAAAGAATATAGTTGTAGAGGCTT